TTTCAGCAGATTATGCAAATCTCATCAGTGTCTGTCATTATCTTCATGCTGTTGTCGCTTCGCTTTCTTCACAGGAGAATCTCTCATCACAAATGGCAGGAAATGTGTGACCACACTGCAGTCAAAAGCACTTAGTCCTGGTTTGTCAAGGAATCAGACAGATGCTTATTAAATAATTTATTCAGGACAGAATGCACACAATAGCCATGAATCGTTCATTCACAGTGCAGACCTGCACAAGCAGCTGTTGTTATTATTCCTTCATCTTGGATCACACAAACATAGAATCCTGCATTCGTGTCTGTTTGATCCTGGATTTCCAAAGATAATCCAGTTATGATTGTGAACGATTTAGATGTAGAAGCGTCAGTGGATTAAAAGCTGAATTTCAAAAGTTGACAGGATGAAGGACAATGTTTAACGGAACTGAGATCAGTGACTCCTAAATTAGACCTGCATTATAATAAAACAGATTTACGCTTTAATTTTCAAATTAAAATGCAAAAAAGGAGCAAAAAGCTTAAATTGCAAAGAGAACTCACTCTGTAAATAAGGCCAAAACATGCTACCATTTAAGCTGACAGGAAATCAGTGTGTTGTTACTTGTTAATGTGATGTGTAAAATGCATGAATCACATAATCTTTACCTTCATGCAACACCCACTGAACTTGGAAAGGTCAAAGATCATATGCAGGTGCACTTAGATCAGCCACTTGAAAAAAATAGAGACACTGTCCTACTGCCCATGCTCTCCGTGTTTTTGTGCGGTTTTGCTCTCAATCTGTTACCATTAGGTGTGCACCCCTAAAAATTCATCAGATTAGAATTGTCCCAAAGTACAGAAATAGGTCTAATCTCTGAAGAGCTTTTCTGAAACTTTAAAAATAGATCATTTTTAAATTTTTTTTAACCATTGAAAAATGCCAGGAAGTGGTGATGTAGAACTGGAAAGGTCAAAGTTCAGTTCCTACCTTCAGGTCCAGGAGACAGGCAGGTAAACTCCGAGAAAATTTAATGAAGACACTGGACAGATACGTGAGCCTCAGAGGGAGGCTAATGAAGAATGTGAAGACTTGAGCAGTAAACCAGGAAGCTTATATATATATATATATATATATATATATATATATATTGATGCAGCTGATTACAGACAAGGAAACTTTAGCTGAGTAATAATGGGAGGCAGGTGTGCACAGTCACTGGGGATCTGAGGAAAAAAAAGACTAAACAGGAACACAAGGTTTTTTTCTTGGCCCTTGAACTCGCCATCGCTAAACGATAATTTATACACTAAAAATGAGAATAGTTAACACAATTTCAATAAATGGCTTCAACTAGTAATAAGTAATTCAATAAAGTCTATACCAGGTACTTTAGAAAGTTGTTAAATTTGTCAATTTAGACAAACTTCAAAACACAATTTTTTTTAATATTATTATTTCTGATTAAAATCGGTCCCTCAGAGTTTTTCATGCAGGCTGAACATGAAAATAGTCAAAACCTATCTCCTGCCTTAGCTTCTGATAGAAAATAGAAGTTGAAACGCTAGGATTTGAAAAGCCTGATAGATCTACGTCACACGGTCACTTAACATACATGGATTCATGGACTATCTTGACTCATGACAGGGAAGGCTGTTGTTGGTTTAGTGTCCAGGAAACAGCATTGAATGCCTCAGCTAGCAGAAGCTAACTGTTAGCATTAGCGACCGTTAGCGTTAGCGATTCAACCACATGACAGAAGCTCCATGTCGCAGAGCAAACTGAGTTAGGTAGAGTCACTTTGCTGTAATCCAGCCCCCCCCCCCCCCCCCACACACACACACACCCCCACACACCCCCACCCCCGAGATTTCAAAGGCATTCATTACTACCAGGAACCACTGCAAACAAGTGTTCAACACCATTAATAGCCTTAGTTGTTACCAGTTGAAGAAATTCATTTAAATTGGATAAAACATTCTATTTTTTCAGTGTATTAGCAATAACACATGTACATTATTTCTAAAAATCACAATTCCCCATTTGAGTGAATTATTTTTTAAATGCATTTTTTAAGTGTAGTTCACTGAGATCAATCAGATTCAGAATCACCCAAAATTGGTACCAGCTGGTCGGAGCTGAATCTCTAAAATAATGAAAAGGTTGCTAACCGTTTAGCTTACTGTTGAACAAAGATACATAATTTTTACCAATTCTGTCACGTTTAACCTCTCACAGTCAGAAGGGTTGATAAAAACTTATTGATGCCGAAGGAAATTACATTATGGCCAGCTACATTTGTATATGTTTAGGGCTGGGACGATAATCAATAAATCAGTCAGTCATCCGATAGATGAAAATGAACTCAATAAATCAAGGTTAAGAAATGTACAACTGCTTATTTTGGTCTCAGTAACATTGGCAATAATATCGTTTATCGTTAACAATTTGTTGGACAATATATCCGGCTCCGGCTCTTGGAGAGTACAGACACTTTTTTCTCCTCTCCCTCCCTCCTTATCCCAGGGCTCTTTGTCCTGTCTTTGTGAGCACGGCACTTCTTGCATTTTTTCTGGGAACTGGAAATTATTAAAAATGGATCTGGATCTTGTCAGTTGGTCACTCAGTGCGATTGACAAAATTTTTTCAACAATGAGAACGTGAGAAGGGGCTCCCGGATGCCCCTCTGGGACAGAGCCAGCTGGGTATATCATGGACTCCTGGAAACAGTGGAACCTGATCTGCCTCTCTGAACTGTCTGTAGAGGATTCTGAAGATGTCTGGATATTCGTCGTTTTGGTGTCGGGATTCCTGCTGTTTGGCCTGAGCGGTTACCTTGCTTACCAGAAAATTAATGAGCTTTCAAGGAATATTGGCTCAATCCCGGAGCTCAGGGATGGAATGCATCGTGCTGTGAACGCACAGACTCAAATAATTGTCGAGATGAGTCGTAAGCTTGGAACTTTGGCTGAGATTCAGGCTCTGGCACAGAAGGTGGATACCATCAAGGAGCGAGTGGACGGATCAGCACGGATTGGGATTGATTAATTACACCATTATTGGATCTAGAGGGGTTGTAGACCAACAGAACTTTAAGACAGAGAGGAAATTATCTCTGTCTGTCCCCAAAACAATTTTTATCTGAATCTGGTGCCCTTGGAGCCTGTGAGGCTGAAGTGATAACTCCCCCCTCAGAAGAAATGTGGAATGCTGTTGTCACTATGGAAACTCTTTCTCCCTATCCCAGCCTGGGCGGGACTGTGACTGGTGAAGGCCGTGGAACCGTATCTAGGAGTCACTGTGCTCTCCAACCCATTATCTCCCTCCCCTGTCCAAACGGAGGTGATGAGCGCTGCTCCATGCGGCTGCACGCACTGAAGTGAGGAGAGTCCCCAACCCTACCTTCCCACCTAGTGGACATTTATGTTGTGTAATGTCTGAAGTCTGTGTGCATATCTGTCTGAGGTGTTTTTTTGCATAGCAAAGCTACCCTCCTTGCTGAGGGTAACTCTGAAGTGCCTTTTTTTCCCTCCCCCCGACTCTATCCTCACATAAGCCCTCTTGATCTGTTACGTTAGCGCGACTGGCGTTGCGAATGACCACAGTCACCAATTCTTGTCATGTGTCTGTGTATGTATCTCAGAATTGTGTGTACTGAAACTCTAATTTCCCTCTGGGATTAATACAGTATTTTGAATTGAATTGAACTGAAGATCATCCAGCAACATTTGTTATCGTCCCAGGCCTATACATGTTTGTATCATTTGTGCAAATTTAAAGAACCAATGCAGAACACAGACTGCTATGATGCTCAAATGATGACTCAGAGTAAAAGACACAGAAAAACACCTAGAAATGAGCTAGGCAAGATGGTGAAGATTCAAGATACACACTAAAAAACAGGGTTTGTGAATTTCCATTTAAAAAATGAACAGGCTAATACACAAATTCACAAATGTCCTTTTTAAAGTCAACCTTTTAAATGCTTTTCTGTTTGACCTTTGACCCTTTAGGCTTTCTGGCGGTTGCATGTTTTTAAGTATGATTGTTTAAAATGTTTAAACTCCAGGTAAAAATTTTGTGGCAAAGGTGCGCAGGAAACCTCACATTTTTTCATAATGAAGATTTTCTGTGATCATGAGTGAATATTGTTCAGAAAGCCATAATATTCTAGCGTTCACTCGTTTGTTTGGGGTATATTAGCTGAGTATTAATGCTGGTTCCAAGGTCTCCCTGCAGTCAGAGGGTTAAGACTTTGTTTACTTGCTGTTTGGGGGGAAAAATGCCGTCATTGTGAGCAGCTTTATACAGACGAGACATTAAAATGTGCAGAAGGCCGAGAGCGCTCAGTGTTTTCCTCCCATGTTTCTGTGTGTCTGCAATGAACTCATACTGGGATAAAAGAGCTGTAAAGCTCTGCCATTTAAAGTGACAATGTGTAGTTTTTACCATAAATCTGTAGAAATATCCATCGAAATGTTGTTGTAAATGAATTAAAAGATGCCCATTTTATTGGCAGTTTCATAACAAGTAATCATAAAAATCTGTTCTAAAATACGTAGGAGCAGGTCTAAGTCTCTGGGTGACGCCATATTGGATGCCATGTTTACTTCTACAGAAGCCCATGAAGGCAAAACACATTTACTGTTTTGTAAAAATTGGTTATAAAACTTTAATAAATTTTGTTGTTTAATACATTTATCTCTTTGCTCATTGCCAGTGATGAAAGGGAATCTGATGTTGTTGCTATTTTGCTGGAGGTTGCACTATCAGGGATTTTTGACCCTAATGACCATCCGTTGGTAAGGTCTCCTTTGAACTCAAAAATAATGCTTGCTTGCAATCATTTAGGTATATACTGCCACCAGGGAAACTACACACTGTCACTTTAAATAGCACATGAAAGCTGATCTCAAGCTTCATTATTGTGTTGTAAATTTCCCAAATATTCAGCAGTTTATTAAATCAGACAGTTTTTAGCCTGTAAGTTAATTACATGTGATCTTCTCCTCTACCAGAAATTCATAGAGTTTGAGGACACGCTGGAAGCTGAGAAGAAGGATCTGCAGATGCAGGTGGAGTTTCTGGAGCTGCAGGGGAAACAGCTGGAGCTCAAAAGCAAAAACTACTCTGACCAGAGTGAGTGGGCTGACTGCACAACACGGACCTGAGCTCTCAGAGCCTCCGGTTTATATCTGGATTTCAATAAATCTAATTTAAGAGCTTCTCCTGCAAGTTTGCTAAGAGATTTATACAAATCATTGGAAAGATGACACTGATCCTGAGAAAACATGTTCTGTTGTGCATAAAAATATGGAAGCAGAAATCAGATTTGTGGTTTATTTTTGTTCTGTGACACACAGTTTAGTCCGGCTCTTCAGCATTTATACTACACCAGCCAGGGATCAGAAACTGAACACACATTTTAGGGTCAGCCTCTTAAATGTATGCAAGAAGTGAACTTCATTAATTAATTTTCCAGTTCCAAAACAAACAGAGTCTTAACATATTGCAGAATAATAAAAAATAAGAAGAAAAAGATTTTAAAAACAACCAAAAACTCAATAAATAACAACACTACAATAACAGCTACAGCTAGCACTAAGCCAAGCTACTGCTTGACATGTCATCCCTTGCTCGTCTCCAGTGTCCTCACTTTTTCCTGCCAAGAATCCACCAGGATTGCCATTTAAAAGTCGGCGCTTCATATTCATTCATTACCTGTTTGTTTCACAGTCACTCGTCTGGAAGAGCGAGAATCAGAGATGAAGAAGGAGTACAACGCTCTTCATCAGCGACACACAGAGGTGATACACACACATTTATATACTGTATGTATACGCTCACTGGCCACTTTATTGTCTACACCTTTCTAGTACCGGGTTGGACTCCCCTTTGCCTTCAGAACTGTCTTAATCCTTCGTGGCATCGTTTCAACAAGGTACTGGAAACATCCGTCAGAGATCTGGGTCCATATTGGTATGATAGCATCACGCAGTTGCTGCAGATTTGTCAGATTCACATCCATGATGTGAATCTCCCGTAACATCACATCCCAAAGATGCTCTATTGGAATGAGATCTGGTGACTGTGGAGGCCAGTGAGTACAGTGAACTAGTTGTCATGTTGAAGAAACCAGCTTTATGACATGATGCATTGTCCTGCTGGAAGTAGCCATCAGAAGATGGGTACACTGTGGTCATGGAGGGATGGACATGGTCAGCAACAGTACTCAGGTAGGCTGTGGCGTTGCAACAATGATCATTTAGCACTAAGGGGCCCAAAGTTTGCCAAGAAAATGTCTCCCACACCATTACACCACCACCACCAGCCTGAACCGTTGATACAAGGCAGGATGGATCCATGCGTTCATGTCGCTGATGCTGGCGCCAAGTTCTGACCCTACCATCTGAATGTCGCAGCAGAAATCGAGACTCATCAGACCAGGCAACATTTTTCCAATCTTCTTTTGTCCAATTTTGGTGAGTCTGTGGGAATTGTAGCCCCAGTTTCCTGTTCTTAGCATACAGGAGTGGCACCCGATGTGGTCTTCTGCTGCTGTAGACCATCTGCCTCAAGGTTCGATGTGTTGTGCATTCAGAGATGCTCTTCTGCATACCTCGGTTGTAGTGAGTGGTTATTTGAGTTACTGTTGCCTTTCTATCAGCTTGAACCAGCCGTTCTCCTCTGACCTCTGGCATCAACAAGTCATTTTTGCCCACAGAACAGCCGCTCACTGGATGTTTTCTCTTTTTCAGACCATTCTCTGTAAACCCTAGAGATGGTTGTGCGTGACAATCCCAGAAGATCAGCAGTTTCTGAAATACTCAGACCAGCTCATCAGGCACCAACAACCACGCCACGTTCAGAGTCACTTAAGTCAGCTTTCTTCCTCGTTCTGAAGCTCGGTTTGAACTGCAGCGGATCATCTTGACCATATCCACATGCCTACATGCATTTTGCCACAATGTGATTGGCTGATTGATAATTTGTATTAATGAGCCTTTGGAAAGCTGTTCCCAATAAAGTGGCCAGTGAGTGTATATATATTAGAGGACTTGATAAAAAAAAGTAATGTAATTAATTAATTTGGATAATTCTATTTTAATCGTTCAAGAAAATTTGCCCCAATGCAATTTTTTAAATCAAAAATAATGCGTAGAGAATTAAACAATAGACATGGACATTATTATTGTGAACTCAAGCTCTTTAATCTCTAAAAGAGGCTTTAAATTGTATTTCAATTAAAAACAGGAAAAAAAAATATATATACATATATATATATATATATATATATATATGTATATATATATATATATATATATATATATATATATATATATATATATATATATATATATATATATATATATATATACATATACATATATATATATATATATATATATATATATATATATATGTATATATGTACATATGTTACTCTCCCTCTTCCAGTATTTTCTCAATGAAGTTTCTTTTGTTGAATCACAGATGATTCAGACCTACGTGGAGCACATAGAGCGGTCCAAACTGCAGCAGGCAGGAAGTAACAGCCAGTCAGACGGCCCCGGCTGTGGACGAACGTGAGTGGACGTTTGACATCTATGTGTGGATTCAAACTAAAAGTTTCACTCGTTGCCTTGTTAAAAAAGCTTTTGTGCTGCATCCTGAGTGTTTTCATCTGTGGCATCATTGTTGGTCAGGAGCTGTGAGGAGCAGCTGGGCCCTCCTTCTGACTTAGGCTCCAAAACCTCGATGCTGCAAAGCATTGATTGTCTAAATTAGTGAATGAGGCCAAAGTTGCCGTGTAAACCCTATTGATATTTAAAGGATGCATCATTTATGAAGACAAGAGGAGGGAATTCTGTGTTTAAAATCTGAAGCAACACTTGGTGTGAATAAGTGTGTGTTTTTGTGGGTCATGGCATGTCTCTCTCTAATCTGTGTTTGTCTTGTCTGTCCTGCTGGTTTTTTCTCTGTGCTGCTGTTTGCACAGTCAACGCCACTCATGGAGGAAAAGGTAAATCTAATATGGTCCACCCAATTTTCTCTTTAATAAACCGGCCTGCTTGGAACTAAAATGTGACTAGTTGTTCCCTGATGTTTTGATACGCTCCAGTTCGGTGGCATGTGAGTGGTTGGGCACTCAGAATCAGTGTTTTTGTTTTTATGAAAAGTTTTGAGATCTAATCTTTAAAATGAGCAGCCCCTTGTGTGAAAACTTCACTATTTGGAATTTCTTTTTAAGGAAGCATGCATAAGAGGATTGTGAACTTTAAAATAATTCAGAATTTTGCTAATTTCCCCAGTTCAAATGCACATTCTCCAGATTAATCTACCTTCTCCTCATTTCCCATGATGTTATGTGTCTGCCTGCCTTGTGTGTGTGTGTGTGTGTGTGAGAGAGAGAGAGAGAGAGAGAGAGAGAGAGAGAGAGAGAGAGAGAGAGAGAGAGAGAGAGAGCACAGTGTGTGTGTGTCTGTTCTCCCCATTTGTACTGATAAACATCAGGTTAGATTTTGTTGACTCATTTTTGACTATAAAAAGCACATTCTGTGTTTTTTAACCCTTTGATGCATAATGGTCACTACAGTGGACAGGTACTCAAAATTGTTATGTATTTGTTTTTGCTATTAAGCACAGCTGTTGAAGACTTTATTGCATTTGAGCCCCTCCATTTGAACTTCAGTAAGCCAAGCCAACATATTTCATGTTCTGAATGCACGCTGTCCACTGAGGTGGACACGTAATAAATTATTTGTAAATTATAAAATTTTACAAAAAATATTTGTTGAAATTTGTTTCATTCACACCTAAAAATGAATGAAAAAAATTGTTAAAAAATCATGGTTGAAGATTTAATAATTCATGCATCAAAGGGTTAAACAAATTTAGGTCATTTAATTGCTTCCTCTAAGGAAGATAAAATTATATATTTGCAGAAAAAAGAAATGAAGTGAAAGCCACTGTGAGTTTCTAAGGGTTTAAACAGCAAAGTTAAAGCTCCATTATTTATAATAAAAAAAATGTAAAGCTTTAAATGAGTATTTTACGTTGTACCACACTGTCTGTAACATCTCCAGTAAGTTTTAAAAGTGGACTCAACCACCTTTCACGTCAGACTTAAATAAAAAATAAAACGATGGAGTTACATCTGTTTTGGTCCAGTTTAAAAAGTAACACGGTCCCAGTCTGTTAGCACTCGTTTGGGTGCTGTGAAGAACTCTTAGCTGGTCGTTTTTGAGTTTCCTAATTTTGATTAGCCGTGGCAGCCATCTTTAATTTGGTTGTCTCCAAAAGATAAAAAGTTGTACGAACTTCTGATTATCCCGTGGAAGTGTCTTTAACCCCGTCCAAGGGTTCATGCTATTTAACAAGGTTGCTTAATGTCCATCACTAAAGTCTTTTCTTTTCTACTATGACACCAAATATGAGTGAAACATCTATAAATCTGCATCCTTTGAAGGACCTGTCCCATCCATCATACGCCACCCCGATTGTCAAAAGGGAATGCTGGAAGAGAACGGCTATGAAATTGGTTGACGTAGCTTTCGTATTCCTTCCCTTCTTCACTTTGGCGTGTGTCCTGTTGCCTTGCAACTTTGCTAAACAGAAGTTAAAGCTAAACTTGGCTATGGAAATACAGAACCTGCCATGCCAGCATTTTTTTGGGGATTTTAATTATTATTTTGGACAAAGAATACAAACAAAACAAATATGTAAATGACAAAAGTCTAACTATGCAATGGCTTTAAGCTTTTCATTTTTGTACCGCCAGATATTATTATGCTTTCATTTAAAACTGTAATCCTGTTCAACTTTGTCCTCCATTCTTACAAAAACAAAAGTCTCCTGTTTGGCCCGCAATGAATCCTGGGAATCCTACATCAGACCCATCCTCCAGTTCTGGGTAAAAGAATGGTGCATTTGGAGGAGACCTTTAAATTTGGACAACTGTTGGCCCTAAAATGCAGCCTTGGAAGGAAGCAGTCCCTGAAAGGGGACACGGCCTTCGTTAGACGTGATGCTTCTGAATAAAACTGACTGGTTGGATTTGTGGAGCTTGCCAAAGAAGGCCTGATGGTGTCTAACATCTGTCTCCACCCTCCTCTGTGTCCTCTCCTCCAGCAGCAAGGCAGAGCGCCCACCGTCGTTGAGCCTGTACCCGAGCGGCGAGGGCATGGTACGTGGGGGTCTCGGGGGGGCTAGGATGATGCCCGGGAAAGACATGTGGCAGGTCAGCGAGCTCGGACATTCCACCTTCAGCTCCGCCTATCAGGTGGGACAGACAGAGGCCCCCTGTCCTCATCCACCTCCTCCACAGCCACAACGTGGGATGGGGGGGGGGGGGGAGCAAGTGGATGAGGGAGGGGCCAGCTACACCCACCACCACCTCTCCTCCCACGCCTGCTTGTGTCACTGCCCAGGAAATGATTTCTAACCACCTCAGCAACAATCCCGATCTGTAAAATCAGATCTCCCCACACTGACCCAAGCAAGCAGAGGCTGCGATTCTGCTCTTTGTTTCTTGCAGCTGTTTTTGTAACAGTGTGATTGTTTTACTGTTATCGTGCTGCTTCTGTCATGTGTCGCTGTGCTTTGCCTTACACATCAAATTTTAGCTCCAGTTTCCAAAGGACTTCCTTGGAAATTAAGGCTTAGTTGCCATATTTATAAAGCTCAGATTTAAAAGTGGAAGGATTATAAATAGTTAACAAGCTGCTAGCGAGTTCTGACTAGAATGACAAGCTAATGGCTAGTCAGTTTTAGCTGCCACTTTAAAACAGCTCTATTATAAAATGGAAATAATACTTTATAAAAGTTCAAAACTTGACATTACAGTCGGTTTTGCATTAAATGTTAGTTTGTACGGAATTCTCAGGTTATTTTTAGATGCAAAAAAATCTTCAAAAACATTTATTTCCATTTTATCTTGGTTAGTTTTACCAGTTATGAATTCATTAGAGCAGCTGCCATGAAAACAGCTTAAATAATGATGCCCATGGGATGTTTTTCTCTCTCATTTCCATGTTTGGGATTCACCTCTGCTTCCACTTCTCCAGGAGGACGGATCGGAGTCGGACTCGGTGGCCGTCACACCCAGCAGCACAGGGAGCAAGTCCAACACGCCCACCTCCTCCGTCCCGTCCGCCACCGTCACCCCCATTAACGAGGGCTTTTTCCCTCACTCTGACTTTGACATGACGCGCGCCGGGAACCGCAGGAAAAACGGCAAGCGTCTCAGTCGAAACATGGAGGTGCAGGTTTCCCAGGAAACCAGGAATGTCAGCATTGGTGAGAGAGTGTTCCCACGAGTATCTGTAGGGGGGCTTAGAGGTTTTTAAGCTGTGTGTTTCTGTGGCATTCTTCCAGGGATGGGGAGCAGCGACGAATGGTCGGAATTCCAGGAAATCATTGATTCCACACCTGAGCTGGAGATGTGTGTGGATCCCCGCGTGTACGGAGGAGGAAATAGGTAACAGAACACTGAGATTATTTATAAGCATTCAGGGTGGATCTTCTGTGAAGTTAAATGATCATATTTGTCCATATTGATCAAAGTGGACAAAATATTATCATTTCATAGTAAAATCCCCTTTTTTAAGCTTCAGCTCATAAATCCACCCGTTCCCAATAAATTCTGGGCAATTTTATTCCTTTTCATTTGTTCCAAAATCTGTTTAAACTTTTTTTTGTCTGAATTTTATGTTGATTTTTATGCATTTGTCCACCCAAAAAGGATTAATTAATATAGTATTATTAATGTGGTAGATTAATAAAGCACTAGGTTCGATTTTTCACATTTGTGATAAAAATGGTCCTAAACTACACATTTGTCTGTGTGTGTGTGTGCGTGCGTGCGTGTGTGTGTGTGTGTGTGTGTGTGTGTGTGTGTGTGTGTGTCAGTCCGTCTCAGGGCATCGTTAACGAGGCTTTCGGCATCAACACCGACTCTCTCTACCATGAGATCAAAGATACCAAGTCGGACATCATCGGGGATGTGGACGCAGGCGCTGAGCTGTTAGGTAAGATCTAGTTTGCTTCTATTTCTCCCAGGTGTTATAATTTGTAAGCTTTTAATAAACACAGTAATGTTATGTGTTTTAAAAATTGTTTTATGATGATAATAATAATAAGATTGCAGACGGCTGCGTATGTTGCACAGAGGCAGCGGTTATTTTGGGTTTTGCCGATAAAAAGCTTCTTGTGAGGCTGTGATTGTATCACTGCACCGATTATTTTCCCTTTGCATGTCAGGCTGCAGCAGCATCACTGCGACATCATCCTAAACAAATGTGCACACTCACACACTGGAACCACAACCTCTAAGGTCCACTGTCACTTTACAACAAAGCGTTTTTTACTGGTTATTTTTGTTTAACATGCAGGCTGAACGTGAAAATAACTTTCTACCCCCATTTCCTGCATTAGCTTCTGATAGAAAATAAACAGGGAAATGCTCCGATTAGCAAAGCCAGACAGATTTAAGTCACACTGTAAATTAGCATTCATGGACTCACCCATCTTGGCTCGTGATGGGAAACACGGTTGTTGATTTAGCGTCCAGGAGAGAGCAGAGCGCACCTTGGCTAGTGGAAGCTAATCGTTACCATTTGCAACCCCACAACATGTTTGAACTTCTTCAGGCTTGTTTTATTTGTGGAGATAAAACATCAACATTGCAGAGCAAGCTCAGGCAGTAGTCAAGTTGCTTTTAGCCAATCAGAGGCAAGATATCCAAAATGGGAGCCTAAGGCTTGGTTTATGCTTGACGCATTCACTTTCCGCTTGGTGATGCAGCTCGCGGCTGGAACGCGCTTCACAACTTGCAGCATTTATGGTTCTTGCGGCTTGTCTCTGCGGTGAGCCAATATTCTCCCAAACTGTAGGGGGCAGCATGGAGCTCTATGGCATGCATCCAACACTACACCTTAGTAGAAGTAAAAATTACTGTTGTTTACAACATGACATTCCAGCAGATTTAACAGCGTCCTCGTCTTTTCCGACAGTGCGAGCTATTTCTCTCCAAGAATTATTAACATGTTGATCACGGTGATCTCTGAGAGCTGAATCATACAAATGTCTGTATTTACCAACCTCTGCCGTACTAGTTCTTGCCAGTCCGCCATGTTTTTCCGCGTCCGACCGTCTGCGTGGTTAGAAAATTTCCTAGGTGCGCGGTGCGGAAAGTTTAGGCCGTGCGGAGGCGCGGTGGAGGGGTGTGGTTGTTAAAATGACGCAGCTTTTCCGTGCGGAGCCGTGCGAACCTCGCGGACGTGTCAAGCATAAACCAACCTACAGTCGCTTCCGCATCATGGGTTCCCAGAAGAATGAAAACATGAATGCAAGTCAACGGGGCTAAAACCGCTATTTTCTAATCCGCTTTGCCTTACGCCCTGGATCGCACATACGTTGTACTGCAATTTAAATTAAAACTGTTAATGGGTGTTTCGACCACGCCATTCACGGACGTTGAGATTTCAGCTTGTAAAAGTTCGTAATTAGCATGACTACAAACTAGAAATCGGCACGTTGCATATGTGACGTCACCACATAATCTCCTCTCCGCTAGCGTAGCTGCTACTTACCACATGACCAGATTTGTGGTGGTTCCTTCCTCCTGTGGGAAGTTTGCTGAACTTACAGCCAGTTTTCCCTCCGTTTTCTCCGTATCTGGTTCGATGACGTCACTTTCATGATGCGCATTTGTAGTCCTGGACCTATTTTCACACAAAACCTAAAATAACGTTGTAGTCGTTTTTATTTGTGTGATGAGAATTGCATTTAGATATGTTCATTTTTCAGATGTTATTGTGAGTCTGTTTAATTTTTATGTTGTAGAGTTTTCAATTTAATTAGAATTTCTGGATTTAGTTTGTAGTTTGTTTTAACAATCCTTTAACTTCGTGTTGCAGAAACAGAAAAACAAATTGGACGCATTTTCCTGCCCATCTGTTAACTTCTCACCCATATGTTTTCCTTCTTTATGTGCTTCTGCTGGTGAAACCCATAGGCGAGTTTTCAGGTGTGTATCCTGTCATGTGCCTTTTGTGTTTTTTTCACTTCTCCAGCATCTTTCTATTCTCTCAACTCCACATGTAGAAGTTTGTCAGGACACCAATCATAAATCTGCCTGTGGCAGGACGGTAGATAATTGTAATTATAAGTTAATAATAAATGTTTTAATAATTTTACTCAAAAGGTTTTTTCTGAGTTGACCAATCAGAAGAGACGGCAGTTTAAAAATGCTGCTTCCCACATTTCTAAAATTATTTTTTCATATTTATTTAGAAAATTTCATGTTTAAAGGTGTGGAACACTCTGAAGAACCATTTTTTAATGATTTTTTTAATAATCGGTCTGAGTTTTTCATGCAGGCTGAACATGAAAATAGTCTTCTACACCTACCTCCTGTGTTAGCTTCTGATAGAAGGTAGACAGTGGAACTCTAGGATCTGAAAATCCTGACAGATCTACGTCACGCGGTCATGAAACAATCATGAACTCACCCATCTTAACTCACGCAGATGGCTGTTGTTGGTTTAGCATCCAGGAAACAGCAGAAAATGCCTCGGTTAGCAGAAGCTAACCATTAGCATTATCAACTCAACCACATGGCAGATGCTCCTCAAGGCTTGTGTTATTTGTGGAGATAAAACATCCATGTTGCAGAGCAAATGGAGTCTTTGGTAGAGCTGGGTTGCTGTTATCCAATCCAAGGCAAGACGCCACTCTCTGCTGCAGCAGACTTGTCCGTGCTGATCAATGATGTTTGTGGGCTTTTTTTGCCCTGAGTATAGCGTGCAAGGTATTTATTCCTACCAGAGACCAATACAAATGCATTAAATAAACGAGTTTCCCACACCTTTAATGTTAATAAACAGGAGTACATTCATCTTTTATGATGCATCTGAATGCTTCCTGCAATAACAGCTTAATGAAATTTGATTTTAGGATGGAAATGAATCAGTCGTGGTTTCTGCTTTTGCAGGAAAACGCATTCATCCAGATCGCAAGGGTCCTGAAAGAATCCTTAGAAACAGAAAAAACAAGAGGGCATGCATGAATTTGCAGAAACATAAAATGGTTTTACTGAAGTCTAAAACAAACATGGTGACTGAATAAATGATCCACCGGGTCAATTAAATCTCACAAAATGTCAAACAGACGTATCCAGAAAATGAATCTAGATGAATAAATACTGATCAGCATCATCTTCTCTTTTCTCCCTTGTTTCACCCCCTTCTCCCTCCTTTGTCTCCAGTCCGTGATGATTTCTTTGGTAAGACGTTCCACTCCCTCACTCTTCCTCACTTTCACGATCCTCTCTCTGCTTCCTTTCTGCTCGTTTTAGGATGCATCTCGTTTTATTTCTCAAGTTTTTAATTCTGAGTCCAACCCAAGTAGAACACAACATTCTCACGTTGCTTCCAAAAACCATTTACTCTTTATTAAATATAAATAAAAAAGCCAACATCATGTGTGATATCATCTTTTTGTTTTATTAAAATATCTGCTTAAAGTTTGTGCACCCTGCTTATTTTTTAATTTTATTTTTTGCTGCTTCAATTTCAGTTGATTTCTGATCATTCCTGAGTTATTACAAAAACGGAACATCGGCCTGAGCATGACGTTATTTAAAACGTTGATTTAAACACGTATTCTGCATGTTTTTGCTAATCCTCCTTAAAATATAATGTAATTTTCAAGATTAATATTTTGTTAATCTAGCTCAGCCAGTTATTTAAGAACCTCTAAAGTTTTTGGTTCGTAGTAAATGTTTTTGTTAAATATTCACCTTTTTATTAAATGTTTTATCTTGTTGAATAAAAAGTTATGATGGGAGTGGAATTCATTCAGCTTTTTAATTAAATGACTGAACAATACTTGGTGATCAAAGACTGAATGGGATTTTTTTCAGGGATGGGGAAGGAAGTGGAGAACCTGCTGACGGAGAACAAACAGCTTCTAGAGACCAAGTAAGAGCAACAAAAAAATGGTAATTTTTATTAGGTATGATCTTCAGTGTTGACACATTTCCTGAAACAAATTATTAAAAATTAAAATATTCAATAAAAATCAAGTTTCTAAGTTGAACAGAATAACATGTTATAGTCTAAGAAGCTCCTATTGGGTTGCAGGTAGAGCAGGTTCACTGGGAAACCATAATTTACTTGTTATTTAAAAAAAATAATTGATCATTCTGAGTGTCACCTGCAAGATAAACATGAAAATGGTCTTCTACCCCTATTTCCTGCACAAGCTGTCTATAGAAAATAGGGAAATGCTATTGTAAAGTACCATTCATGGACTCACCTATCAAGTCTGTCTTGATTTAGCATCCAGGAAACAGCAAAGCAAGTCTCTGCTAGTAGAAGTTAACCGTTAGCATTAGCAACTCCACAACTTGGCAGAACGCCTTCAGGCTTGTGTTGTTTGTGGAGATAAAACATCAGCTTTGCAGAGCAAACGTGAGTCAGTGGAAGAGTTGTGCTGCTGTTAGCCAATCAGAGGTGAGATGTTCATGAATAACAATGAGTAAAACTCAAAATTCTGCCATTTTCTGCCCCCCTATCCTCCCACTAACTTCTACCGCCTGAAACAGAAGCACCTGGGGCCTCATTTATCAAGCTTGTTACATACAAAACGGGGTCGAAAAACTGCGTAAGCAACTTTCCACGCAAACTTTGGGATTTATGAAAGAAAACTTAGCGGAAAAATGTGTGCAACTTTAAGTTGACTAAGGACCTGGCTTACGCACATTTTGGACATGGAGAGCACCTGCAGTGCTGCTGCTGAGAAGGATAAAATCATGAAATCCTGCAGCATTATCACTTGTACTGCTTTGTTTTCACACAGAACAAGACCGCCCACACGCACACACACGCGCACACACACTCACAGCCTGAAGCCAGAATATGAATGCAGAATATCAGCAGGGGGACAGATTGAAACAGGATGTCATGCGTCTGTGACGGTGTGTGTCCTGTCACTGTGACCCGATTGATCATGCGCCCTGCCTACTTGGACATGGGAGATCTCTGTTTGGCTGACTGGTTAGCGCGTGACTTTCACCTTGGAGTCTGGGAATCGAATCCCGATCGGACCATTTTTTTTATGTCCGCCACAGATCTCTCTGAAGAATTCACAACATTGACGGCTTCAGCAACGCTGTGCCACTCCGTGGATTTTCTCTTATTTGTTTAGCAAAAATACTTCCTTTCATTTCTCCACCTCACCCACAGGTACCTCAACTTCTGCTTCTGTGAAATTGCGCTTCCTTCTGCCTTGATCTACGGTCACCATGTCATTGGCGGAGCGCTGCAACAGCCGGCTTATGTACATTTTGGACATGGAGAGCACCTGCAGTGCATACACCTGTATATGCATGAGATCCACAAGGCACTTTGCATTGACTACACAGGTGCTGGCCAGTAAATTAGAATATCATCAAAAGGTTGAAAATATTTCAGTAATTCCATTCAAAACGTGAAACTTGTACATTATATTCATGCAATGCACACAGACCAATGTATTTCCGATGTTTATTACGTCTAATTTTGATATTTATAGGTGACAACCAATGAAAACATCAAATCTGGTATCTCAGAAAATTAGAATATTCTAAAGGCCAATGAAAAAATGTTTGTTTCTCTAATGTTGGCCAACTGAAAAGAATGAACATGAAAAGAATGTGCATGTATAGCACTCAATACTTAGTCGGGGCTCCTTTTGCCTCAATAACTGCAGTAATGCGGCGTGGCATGGACTCGATCAGTCTGTGGCACTGCTCAGGTGTTATGAGAGCCCAGGTTGCTCTGATAGTCGTCTTCAGCTCCTCTGCATTGTTGGGTCTAGCGTATTGCATCCTCCGCTTCACAATACCCCATAGATTTTCTATGGGGTTAAGGTCAGGCGAGTTTGCTGGCCAATCAAGGACAGGGATACCATGGTCCTTGAACCAGGTGCTGGTGGTTTTGGCACTGTGTGCAGGTGCCAAGTCCTGTTGAAAGGTGAAGTCTGCATCCCCATAAAGTTGGTCAGCAGCAGGAAGCATGAAGTGCTCTAAAACTTCCTGGTAGACGGCTGCATTGACCCTGGACCTCAGGAAACAGAGTGGGCCAACACCGGCAGATGACATGGCACCCCACACCATCACTGACGGTGGAAACTTTACACTGGACCTCATGCAACGTGGATTCTGTGCTTCTCCGCTCTTCCTCCAGACTCTGGGTCCTTGATTTCCAAAGGAAATGCAGAACTTGCTTTCATCAGAAAACATAACTTTGGACCACTCAGCATCAGTCCAGTCCTTTTTGTCCTTGGCCCAGGCGAGACGCTTCTTGCGCTGTTTCTTGTTCAAGAGTGGCTTGACACACGGAATGCGACACCTGAATCCCATGTCTTTCATGAGTCTCCTCGTGGTGGTTCTTGAAGCGCTGACTCCAGCTGCAGTCCACTCTTTGTGGATCTCCCCCACATTTTTGAATGGGTTTGTCGTCACAATTCTCTGCAGGGTGCGGTTATCCCTAGAGCTTGTACACTTTTTTCTACCACATTTTTTCCGTCCCTTTGCCTGTCTGTTAATGTGCTTGGACACAGAGCTCTGCGAACAGCCAGCTTCTTTAGCAATCACCTTTTGTGTCTTGCCCTCCTTGTGCAAGGTGTCAATGATTGTCTTTTGGACAGCTGTTAAGTCAGAAGTCTTCCCCATGATTGTGGTGCCTTCAAAACAAGACTGAGGGACCTTTTAAAGGCCTTTGCAGGTGTTTTGAGTAAATCAGCTGATTAGAGTGGCAGCAGGTGTCTTCTATATTCAGCCTTTTCAGAATATTCTAATTTTTTGAGATACCAAATTTGGAGTTTTCATTAGTTGTCACTTATGAATATCAAATTTAAATGTAATGAACATTGGAAATACATTGGTCTGTGTGCATTGCATGAATATAATGTACAAGTTTCACGTTTTGAATGGAATTACTGAAATATTTTCAACCTTTTGATGATATTCTAATTTACTGGCCAGCACCTGTATGGCAGTAAGTGGGCGTGGTGAGGGCGGGATGTGACTGAAAAGTAGCTGAGAAACATTCTCGTTAGTCTCCGATTTATGAAGCGGAGATTTTGTGCAGCTGTGTGTACTCCTGCTTGGTGTAAATACATTTTTTTTGCTGAGCTTAAGTACGGTTTTAGTAAGGATTCTACACAATGTTTGATAAATGAGACCCCAGAGCTTTTTTTCCTCAGAGAACAACTCACAAGACATTCAGACCACTGCAAATGTTTTATAAAAAACAAATGAAAGGATTAAATTGGTTTATTTCCCTTCATCCACTCTGTTCTCTGATTGGTTCTTTTTATTTGTGTTTAGTTGTTAGATAATGATCTTCCTGTATCTTTGCTCTCCCCAACAGAAATGCTCTGAACATAGTGAAAAACGACCTTATTGCCAAAGTGGACGAGCTGTCGAGCGAACAGGAGGTGCTGAGGGAGGAGCTGGAGGCAGTGCGGCAGTCCAAGAACAAGGTGGATGCTAGAATCAAGGAACTGGAGGAAGAGCTGAAGAGGTGAAAGTTTTTATTTGATTCAGTGATGCTCTGCAGAATGAGGCTTAATGCAGATTAAACAAACAAAAAGGACGAGAGCTGGTGTTTTGTAAATTAAAGACAGAAAATGTGGAATCTGCAGCAACCACTGAAAACATGTTGGAATGCAGCCTTTCTTTTTAATGCTGATTTCTGTAAAACATTGAAATGACCAATTATGGTCTCAACATTCAACCTGTTTCATTTTCTTGCCAAATCAGAAGAACTAAAAATCAAATTAAAACAAAAATAAACCTATAAAAAAAAATAAGAAGGTTTTAAAGCAACATTGAATAATGATCTGCTTGTCGTCACTTTAAAAGCAGGACAAATGTACATTTTTTTGTATTTCTATTGCTTTTGTCTGGTTGCAGGTTGAGAGCAGAAGCTCTTGGTGCACTGCGCGACTCCAAGGATGAAGGAGGAGATGATGTGAGTAGAAAACTTTTCATCTGTTCGATGCTTTTAGAGATCCATTTTTACAAACCAAATGAAACTCCTGCTGGAATTATTAATAAAAATTGTGCATTTTACTTTCTGTGCCCAGTTTTCGTCACCCATGCAGGACGGAGACATGGCGATGACCCAGCGGCGGCGCTTTACCCGGGTGGAGATGGCCCGTGTTTTGATGGAACGTAACCAGTATAAAGAGAGGCTGATGGAACTTCAGGAGGCTGTGAGGTGGACGGAGATGATTAGGTAAGCGCTCAGAAGCAAAAAGTAAAGAGTTTCCTCTTTTTATTGTTTTTCTCATTTTGGCTTACACTGAAAAACTATTTTAAATTATTATTTCTGGTTAGGCTTTGCAGTGGCACAGTGGTTAGAGCTGTTGCCTTGCAGCAAGAAGGTCCTGGGTTTGCTTCCTGGCCTGGGATCTTTCTGCATGGAGTTTGCATGTTCTCCCTGTGCATGCGTGGGTTCTCTCCGGGTACTCCGGCTTCCTCCCACAGTCCAAAAACATGACTGTTAGGTTGATTGGTCTGTCTAAATTGTCCTTAGGTGTGAGTGTGTGTGGTTGTTTGTCCTGTGTGTCTCTGTTGCCCTGCGATGGACTGGCTCTCTGTCCAGGGTGTACCCCGCCTACTTGCCCGTTGACTGCTGGAGATAGGCACCAGCCCCCCCAGAACTCCTCCAGGCTTGTGTTATTTGTGAAGATAAAACATCAGCGTTGCAGAGCAGAGTTAGTGTTAAAGTTGTGTTACTGTTAGCAAATCAGAGGAGAGATGTCCAATATCAGGAAATAAGACTCTAAAACCTGCATTCTGATGCTACTTTCTCTAGCTGACTTTTACTTCCTGATTCAGATGCGTCTGAGCCCACGCACGCTCCCCCAATACGACTTACAAGGCCTTCATTCCAACTAGAGACCACTGCAAATGGACTAATTAAACCAGTGTTCAACACCTTCAAGTTAAAGCAACACTAAAGAAGTGTACTCCTTTACAATGTTCATCATGTCCTCTTTTTAAATATTAAACGAGGTTCTTTTAGCTTCAGAGATGAAGGTGTTTCCAGTTACCTTTTCATATTTCGACTGTCGTCTGCAGTCTTCTTCAGAAGTGTCACAGATGTTTGTGTGACGCGTCTTTATCAGCTGTTCTTCTGGTGGGCGTACCGACCCGGTGGATCTGACAGATCCGGGTTGGTCGCGCCCACCAGAAGAACAGCTGATCAAGATGCGTCACACAAACATAGATAGATATTTTTATTCGGTCAACAACAACAATTTACCAATTTTACATAAAAGTAATCAAGCAACCGAAAAAAGGAATAGGTTGAAGCCTAGTGCCTTATGATTAGCCTATCCTTAATTCCCACAGAGATAATCAAATCCTTAACCAAGAGAAAAAAAGTAGGGCTGATAAATCAAGAAATCAAGTCAACACAAGGTTAGACATCAAACTAAGTTTCTATAACTTTGGAAGATGCAAATTTAAAAATTTTTCTTGAAAAACGACAAAGAATAACACATCTTCGGTTCATCATTAAGTCCATTCCATAACTTCACTCCCAAAACCGACACACATCTATACTTAGCATTAGTTCTCACTTTAGGTATTTCATACATATAAGACCCCCTCAAATCATATTTTCCATCCCTTAATTTAAACATACTTAAAATACAAATTGGAACATTCTTTTTCACCACTCTATACATCATTTCTAAAGTTTTAAGATATATAATGTCCTTAAAATTTAACATAGCTGATCCTATAAAAAATTGGTTTGTGGACTCCCTATATCCAACTTTATTTATTTTTCTAATAGCTCTTTTTTGCAATTTAAAAATTGAATCCAGATATGTTTTGTATGTTTTCCCCGAAATTTCCACACAATAACTCATATAAGGCAAGCAAAGGGAAGTGTACAATAAATAAAGGCAGCTCTTGTGCAATAAATCTCTTGTTTTATAAAGAATAGAAATAGATTTAGATAATTTCCGTTTCACATGATCTATGTGAGACTTCCAACAAAGTTTATCATCAATTATTACTCCTAAAAATTTAGTCTCATTTACTCTTTCAATTTCAACATTATTTAGATTCAATTTTACTTCAGTATTACTCTTAATACCTCCAAACAACATAAATTTGGTTTTACTTTCATTCAGTGATAGTTTATTAAATACAAACCATCTATTTACTGTAACTTCATCAATTCTATTTCCACTGTTTTCAGTAATTCCTTTATGTTATCTCCAGAACAAAATAAGTTTGCATCATCAGCAAACATCACATATTTTAAAATATCACTAGCTGTACAAATATCATTTATATAAAGTAAAAATAGCTTAGGTCCCAACACCGATCCTTGCGGAACTCCACAAGTTACTTTTCTAAGTTTAGATTTCATATTATTAATACTCACATATTGGAACCTTCTTTCCAGGTAACTATTTAGCCAAAGTTGTACAACACCTCTTAAACCAAATCTTTCACATTTCTGTAACAGTAAAGAATGATCTATCGTATCGAAGGCTTTGCGTAAATCAATGAACACACCCATTCCAATCTGTTTTTTATCCACAATCGTTGCAATATTTTCAATAAATTCCATCACTGCTAGAGATGTTGAGCGATTTCTTCTGAACCCATACTGATGGTCATTCAATAAATCATAGTTTTCAAGAAAATAATTTAGTCTGTTTTCATCTGTGACACATCTGAAGAAGACCGCAGACGACGGTCGAAACATGTAAAGGTAACTCAAAACACCTACATGTCCGGAGCCTAAAAGAACCTCCTTTAATAAAGAAGTGTCCTGCTTCTCTCTCTCCTACTGGTTGAAACTGGAATTACAGCTGTCGTAAACAACCCTGCCACATCCTGTTGTAGCTAGCACTGACAACGAGCTAACACTAACACATGAGCCAACTGATACTAAACACTGTTAGCCAGAAGTAATTACTTAAAAGTCCAGTTGCAACACACCAGGTCACCATCAATCTGTGATTTTGTAGACTCCTTAGCTCCCTCAAATGAGTGTAGGCTGCACCAATGCTCACTGTGGTTTTAGCTCTTTGCTTCACCTCCAAAGACATTATTTTCTTACTTTTACTTTTAGGCTTCACCGTGATGGCAACAAAAAGCAAACTTCTTCTTCTTCATGTGCTTTTAATTGATGGTCAGAGTCTCTGAGAACTGAAAAAGCTAACTGCTAGCATTTGTTTTAGCTACCAGCATACAGGTGCTGGCCAGTAAATTAGAATATCATCAAAAGGTTGAAAATATTTCAGTAATTCCATTCAAAACGTGAAACTTGTACATTATATTCATGCAATGCACACAGACCAATGTATTTCCAATGTTCATTACATTTAAATTTGATATTCATAAGTGACAACTAATGAAAACTCCAAATTTGGTATCTCAAAAAATTAGAATATTCTGAAAAGGCTGAATATAGAAGACACCTGCTGCCACTCTAATCAGCTGATTTACTCAAAACACCTGCAAAGGCCTTTAAAAGGTCCCTCAGTCTTGTTTTGAAGGCACCACAATCATGGGGAAGACTTCTGACTTAACAGCTGTCCAAAAGACAATCATTGACACCTTGCACAAGGAGGGCAAGACACAAAAGGTGATTGCTAAAGAAGCTGGCTGTTCGCAGAGCTCTGTGTCCAAGCACATTAACAGACAGGCGAAGGGACGGAAAAAATGTGGTAGAAAAAAGTGTACAAGCTCTAGGGATAACCGCACCCTGCAGAGAATTGTGACGACAAACCCATTCAAAAATGTGGGGGAGATCCACAAAGAGTGGACTGCAGCTGGAGTCAGCGCTTCAAGAACCACCACGAGGAGACTCATGAAAGACATGGGATTCAGGTGTCGCATTCCGTGTGTCAAGCCACTCTTGAACATGAAACAGCGCAAGAAGCGTCTCGCCTGGGCCAAGGACAAAAAGGACTGGACTGATGCTGAGTGGTCCAAAGTTATGTTTTCTGATGAAAGCAAGTTCTGCATTTCCTTTGGAAATCAAGGACCCAGAGTCTGGAGGAAGAGCGGAGAAGCACAGAATCCACGTTGCATGAGGTCCAGTGTAAAGTTTCCACCGTCAGTGATGGTGTGGGGTGCCATGTCATCTGCCGGTGTTGGCCCACTCTGTTTCCTGAGGTCCAGGGTCAATGCAGCCGTCTACCAGGAAGTTTTAGAGCACTTCATGCTTCCTGCTGCTGACCAACTTTATGGGGATGCAGACTTCACCTTTCAACAGGACTTGGCACCTGCACACAGTGCCAAAACCACCAGCACCTGGTTCAAGGACCATGGTATCCCTGTCCTTGATTGGCCAGCAAACTCGCCTGACCTTAACCCCATAGAAAATCTATGGGGTATTGTGAAGCGGAGGATGCAATACGCTAGACCCAACAATGCAGAGGAGCTGAAGACGACTATCAGAGCAACCTGGGCTCTCATAACACCTGAGCAGTGCCACAGACTGATCGAGTCCATGCCACGCCGCATTACTGCAGTTATTGAGGCAAAAGGAGCCCCGACTAAGTATTGAGTGCTATACATGCACATTCTTTTCATGTTCATTCTTTTCAGTTGGCCAACATTAGAGAAACAAACATTTTTTCATTGGCCTTTAGAATATTCTAATTTTCTGAGATACCAGATTTGATGTTTTCATTGGTTGTCACCTATAAATATCAAAATTAAACGTAATAAACATCGGAAATACATTGGTCTGTGTGCATTGCATGAATATAATGTACAAGTTTCACGTTTTGAATGGAATTACTGAAATATTTTCAACCTTTTGATGATATTCTAATTTACTGGCCAGCACCTGTAGAAAACAGCTATTGCTTTCAAGCAGATAGAGACCTTGAGTGTCTGTCCGAACCACAAAATCGTAAATGCTGTTTCTGGTCAGCAGAGGGTTACGTAAGTTTTATGACCGAAGAACCACTTACACCAATTTGAAAGCAGTAGCTTAAAGTGTTAAAAACTCATTTGTGTTGCTTCAAGCTATATAGACATTGTAGATTCATTGAGTTTTTATGCTTTTTTATGTCTTCCAGAGCTTCCAGGGAGAGTCCTCCAATCCAGGAGAAAAAGAAATCCACCATCTGGCAGTTGTGAGATACAACTCCTTTAAAACAAATTTGTACTGAAGAAAATCTCATCTAGACAGAACCTAAAGCTGTCGTCTGACTCGTTCTGTCCTGCAGCTTCGCACGTCTTTTCAGCTCGTCCTCCAGCCCTCCACCAGTCAAGCGGCCGTACTACAGCGTCAACATCCACTACAAATCTCCATCTCCAGCCTTGACCCAGAGACGCAGCCACACCATGTGTCAGATCTCCACCTCCAACCGTACGCTGGAGTTCTTCCCTGAAGAGTGAGCAGCACCACTACAAACCTGCACACTTACCTCCTTCTGCTTTGATCTAACCACCTGGGTGCTTGCTTTGTGGCAGCTTGCAGAGTAGAAGCCTTCCAAATGCTCTGCCATGACCTACAAAAGTATATTTATTTTATTTTAAGACAAAAAACTTAATGAAATCTGCTAAAATATCCCAGAAGTTTAAAAAAAATAGCTGTTTTGAAGCTTTTGTTGTGATAAAAATAAGATTATCGCATGAAAACGCTTGAGTTGGAGTTATTTCATGATCAGAAGAAGAAAGTATAATTTCTATATAGAACAGCTTATTACTCACTTTTAACTCAAAACATGATTGCAATTCAAAGTGTGATCATCAGAGCTCAAGGAATTCAGTTTAAAGAGATAAAGTATTTGCTTTGCTTTGTTTAGTTTGCTTTGCAGTCCTTGTCTACCTCTCATTTCCTCTGCTGCTGGCTGGCCAGGCTGCTAATGCTTCGCTCTCTCTCCCTTCCCCTCCCGTTGCTTCCAGACTGGCCAGTAACGGTGTTGCGTCTCTCCTCAGTGACTCGGCGCTGCTGGCCCGCCGAGAGCAGCGGCGGGAGCAGTACAGGCAGGTGCGCGAGCACATGCGCCGCGACGACGGCATCATGCAGGCCTGTGGCTGGAGTGTGCCGTCTCGCTTCAAACAGGTAGACTCTCTGCTCGTCGTGTAGATCACTACACTGGTGGGAGGTTCAGGAGTTCTGTGTTTTGTCTGTCTTGGTGATTATGTCTGGGAGATTTGTGAAAGTCCAACCAGACAGACGGACAAGAAGCCTGAATAATTATAATCACGCAAGAGAGGCCTTGGATTGTTTGTGGCTTTTCAAATGATTCGCTGTGCATAAAATGTTAGATAAATGATCAAAAGTGATGAGAAACGTTAGATAAATGGGATCAGTCAGTCAGCGTGTTGGAGGCACAAGCTTCATACATGGCTGAGTTATGAGGGACACATGATGTTATAAAACACAAACTACAATAGTCGTGTTATTTTATTTATTGCACTTTATTCGCCAAGCTTTAAAGGGGACATACTGTTCGAAGCTCTCCTTTTCCTTTTGTGTGCTGCCATGTATTTTTCTGCCTCTACAAAAACTCCAAATGTGAAAAAAATATCTGTCCATCAGTTTTCTGTCAGTGTTTAGTTTTAGGAATTATTTATTTAAAACAAGTCGTTTCGGAAAGTCCCCATTTGTGACATCACAAACTGGGAAACTGGAATATAACCACCTCTCACGTGCAAGAACTCTGAGCCCCTCCTAGATGTCAGAGCTTCTCAGCTTATAGCAGCCTGAGCAGGGGATGTGTAACACGGCCAAGTCCTTTCATCAGAGAGGTAAATGTGTAAAACAATGTTTATGAGTGGCGAAAGTTTTGTAACCGCTTGTTACAAATCAGTAAATGCAGTTTGTCTTCACGAGCTCCTGTAGAAGGAAGCATGGCGTCTAATATGGCGTCGCCCAGAGACTTAGACCTGCTCCCGTGTATTTTAGACCCGATTTTTATGGTTATATGTTACGAAGCCGCCAATATTTTAAAAAACTGGGCATCATTCAACAACACTTTGATGGATATTTCCAGAGACTAACAGTAAAACCTTACACATTGTCACTATAAAAAAGCCACACAGAAAGCTGTGGGTGGGGTTTGTCCATCTTTTTTATACAGTCATTGGTTAGAGCATTCTGCCATACATCATCAAAGAAGAAGAAGCAAATACATATTTTTTTTAAGTAAATTACTTGAGTACTTCTATCTGTTCATGTCAAAGAAAAGCCCGCATCAAAAACGTTTCAAACAAGCATCTTCCTAAGCCGACGCCATCTTTGTTGTTTTTCTTTGTCGTAGTTCTGGGACTAAGTCCGCCCAACATTGATCTGTGAACATAATGAGAATTTAAGCTAACTTGTTTTGCTAATTTCTTATAGCAGCTTTTTAATGTCGAAAACTATTTAGTTTTGCTTTAAGAAAAAGGTCACAATACGTTCCTTTTATATAAGTTTTGTCTCAGTTTGGTCGCCAGCTGCTCCCAAAGTTGTCCTGGTTTTTTACGCCTCACAGAAACCAAATAGAGATAAAGTCACAGTACATGGGTGTCAAAGTCAGTGTCTTTGGCTAAAAACACCTGACTGGCCGAGACATGACTGTCACTGATTACGTTTGATCTGATTTCTGTAGCTTACGTTTTTAATGATCATGGGTCGGACATTTTTATTGGTATCAGCATGATATTTGTAGGATTTGGCTCCAAGCAGAATCTAGCGTACAGAAGCAGCAGTGGTGCATCTTAATTTGAGTGTGTTCTGTAACACTTGTGTTTAAATGAATCATAAAAAGAATTATAGAACCCTTTTAGTCTGTTGCTGGTGGCTGAGCGTGGCTCTGGGGGCCAGCAGTGGTAGGCAGGTGGGTCTAACTGTGGTCTCTCACAGACTGGAGGTCAGACGGACAGCGCTAAGGACGGCCCACTGAAGAGACAACAGGCAAGTGAGACCGACAGAGTGCCGGCCAGCATGCGTCTTTATGGCTCCTCCTCTTTTTTGATCTTTCACCCGAATCTCTGACGCCTGCTGAAGCTGGCAGCTGATAAAAACTTTGCAGTAAAAAAAAAAAAGTCCAGAAATGCATGAATGTGGAAAAATACTTCATTTTTTGGCATGATGTGTTTCCTACAAAGGTTACAGCTGATTCCAAATGATTTATTTATTAACCCTCTTCCTATGCTTTTCAGCCTTTTAACCTTTAACCTCTGTCTGTCTCTACCTGCCCATGCTAACACATTCAGGTCTCTGTAATCTATGTTTTAGTAATATTTTCTGAAAGGTGAAAAAAAGCAACATCTTATTGTGGTTAAGAAGAGTTGTTTTCATTTGATGAAATCTTTTAAATGTTGCAGTTTTTGGTGTGATGTGAAGATAACTGCTCAACTTGCCCACTTTATCCCAGTTTCTTACAATAAACATGTCAGTAGATCTGTGATTATTTTAACTAGAAGAATATTTTTTTCACTCATCAGCAGTTGCATGACTCCTGCAGAGGTATCATTTTTGCCTCTGAAACACTGCAAAGTTGTTAGTTTCTGAAAAGTTGGCAGAAAACTGTTAAAATTTTTAATTTGCAGTTTATGCTCCACATGCAAACAGTCGTGATTGACATTTCTCTGCGTGTATCAGTGTAACTCCAGATGCTAACTTTTGTCTTCTCTTGTCTCATCACTTCTCCCTGCAGACCAATGAGAAGGAGGACAACCGCATGAAGAATGTCCCCGTGCCCGTGTACTGTCGGCCCCTGGTGGAAAAGGACCCCAACAGGAAGGTCAGAAGCTTCATCTTCATTTTTCAGAAAGCCTGCATCAGCAGAGATGGAAATGTTCACCTTAAATTCAGGTGTGGTCCTCTGAGCTGGATGTGGGACAGTGCAGCTAGATTGGAATATGGTGCTGTTCGGAAATCTGAATAATTTTGGACACAATAGCTTAAAGGGACTTTTTCTTTCTCATATAAGATGGCCCATGTCTTTATCATATATAAATGTGTTAATGTTCCAATGAAACTCACGAATCAGGAGGTGAGGAGGTCACTCGTTTGGTTCGAAACGTGGACTGCAGTACCCAATCTGACCACAAGAAATCACTCTTACTTCATGCACCTTTTAAAATCGACCCTTTTACACCAGATGAGGGACAGATGAGTTTATGCTCCTAACTTATTTAAGAAGAGTGGAAAACGGCAGAGGGCTGCACAGTGGTGCATTGATTAGCGCTGTTGCCTTGCAGCAAAAAGGTTCCGGGTTCGGACGCCGATCTGGGGTCTTTTTGCGTAGAGTTTGCATGTTCTTTGTGTGCATGCATGGGTTCTCTTCGAGTACTTCTGCTTCCTTTCCCAGTCCAAAAACATGACTGTCAGGTTGATTGATTTCACTAAGTTGTCCTTAGGTGTGTGTGTGTGTGTGCATGGTTGTTTGTCCTGTGTGTCTCTGTGTTGCCCTGCGATGGACTAGCATCCTGTCCAGGGTGTACCCTACCTATTTGCCCGAAGATTGCTGGAGATAGGCACCAACCCCCCATGACCCTGCATGGAAAAGCAGGTATAGACAGTGGATGGGTGGAAAATGGCAGACAGGTTTATAATTTATAATGGTTTATATATGCAGGAGTTTTGAATCCTGACATGTGTGTCTGACCTTGTTTTAACTTGGGCATATGTGCATGGTGTAGCTGTGGTGTGCAGCAGGAGTTGACCTAACAGGATGGAGGGCTAGCAGCCAAGAGGCGGCACCATCCAAAGCTCCATCAGGCCAGAGCGATCCTCTTCAGACTGAAGAGGACAAGAAGACCAGTAACACGACACCTGAGAAGAGGAAGGTACCTGAGTTTATTAAATCAACTGTTCAGACTCGTGTTAACAACAGAAAAGCCCATCTCCTGCTCAGGAGGTCAGGACTCAGCTGGGTGTTACAGATGTTCCATGGGAATGGGTTGGTCTCAACTTTGAAATCAAGAAAAATGCAGCATATGACTCAGACTTCATCGTCTGTGTGTCCTTCCTTGTCTCCATCAGTCAAAGGAGCTCCAGGAGACAGACAGCATGAACAGCCGAGTGTGGATCCTCACCAGCACCCACTCTGCTAGCAAGGTGGTCATCATCGACGCCAACCAGCCGGGTTCGCTGGTGGACCAGTTCAACGTCTGCAACGCTCACGTGCTCTGCATCTCCAGTGTGCCAGGTGAGGGTCAGGGAAAACACTTCTATTTAATCCCGGTAACCATGGGTAACAGCGTGTTGGTCCTGGGCTGTAAATGCACCTGTGTGTTTGCGTCCAGCTGCCAGTGAGAGTGATTATCCAGCAGGGGAGATCGTGCTGGATCCAGGTGATGGTGGAGCAGGAGGTGGAGAGGACGCCGGCGGGGTGGAGGGCATGCTGGCTGGCATCACGCTCGTCGGCTGTGCCACAAACTGTAGCGTTGCTCGGAGCAACTGCTCCTCCCGCACCGACACACCCATCATAGACAAAGGACAAGGTGGGACCACCTTTAAGCAGAAATCTGAAATTTTCCCCCTTCCAGGAGTTATGTGTACTTTTTTTGAAATTCGTAATAGTGATAATCTTTACCCTGTGATATAATGTAGGCAATATATGTTATTTAATTTTTTTTTGACTAAGCCTGTCCTCATCCTGTAGACCCACATGCAATTTGAACTGAGTGCCTTTCAGCTTTAGCCAATAGCATTAGACATCCGCTTACGTACAGATGTCAGAGAGTGCGCATTCACATTTGTGGAAGTATATGGACAGATGCAGAGTTAATATATCCACTCCCATTGTCTTTATGGGTGACCCCGCGAGGAAAGTTGACCATTGAGCAGGACTGATGCTTTATCCCTTGAGGTCCACGTGGCAGGGGTGAGGTGGTGCTCACTCACCCCTGCATACCCCGGGGTCACACCCATTATGACAGTGGGAGGGCTAAGTGAACAAATATTGGCTAACATGTAACGTGTGGACATTTCCACATTGTGGGGACATGTTGCTGGTCCACACAATCCTAAGCACCCTAAAAACTTGGTTTTAGAGGAATGGTGTGATTTAACCAGGGTTCCCACTCTTTTCTTGAAATAATTTTCCAGGACTTTTCCAGGACATTTTCAAGACTTTTTCAGTGTACAAGTCAAGTTATCATAACTGCGGTTTGCCGATATCCCGATATATTTGAAACAGATATGATATTGTACCTACCCACACCGTTATTTTGACAATATAGTTGTGGAAAGATTTTTGTCTTTCACAAGCCCACCTGCTTTCCTCTACTTACAATGCAACACAACTAAAACAGAAGTTATTCTCTACTTTAGTTCATACCAGAGGTGTGACATTGTGGCATCATCAAGTCATCTCCATGTCCTGTTTTTGTTCTGCTCAGCAACTGAACCAGGTTAATCCACTGTGCTGAATGAAATCGTTGTCGTCTTCCTCCGCTTATCCGGGTCTGGGTCGCAGGGGCAGCATCCCAACTAGGGAGCTCCAGACCGTCCTCTCCCCTGCCACCTCCACCAGGACCCCAAGGCGTTCCCGGACCAGATTGGAGATGCAACCTCTCCAACGTGTCCTGGGTCGACCCAGGGGCCTCCTGCCGGCAGGACATGCCCGAAACACCTCCCCAGGGAGGCGTCCAGGGGGCATCCTGACCAGATGCCCAAACCACCTCAACTGACTCCTTTCGATCTGGAGGAGCAGCGGTTCTACTCAGAGTCCCTCCCGAATGTCCGAGCTCCTCACCCTATCTCTAAGGCTGAGCCCGGCCACCCTATGGAGGAAACTCATTTCGGTCGCTTGTATCCACATTCTCGTTCTTTCGGTCATTACCCAAAGCTCATGACCATAGGTGAGGATTGGGACGTAGATTGACCAGTAAATCGAGAGCCTGGCTTTCTGGCTCAGCTCCCTCTTCACCACGACAGATCGGCTCAACGTCCGCAGCACTGCAGATGCCGAACCAACCCGCCTGTCGATCTCCCGATCCCTCCTACCCTCACTCGTGAACAAAACCCTGAAATACTTAAACTCCTCCACTTGAGGTAGGACCTCTCTCCCGACCCGGAGTTGGCAAGCCACCCTTTGCCGGTCGAGAACCATGGTCTCAGATTTGGAGGTGCTGATCCTCATCCCAGCCGCTTCACACTCGGCCGCGAACCTACCCAGCAAGAGCTGAAGGTCAGAGCTGGATGAAGCTAGGAGGACCACATCATGCACAAAAAGCAAAGACAAGATTCTCCTGCCATCAAACTCGACACACTCCACACCACGGCTGCGCCTAGAAATTCTGTCCATAAAGGTAATGAACAGAACCGGTGACAAAGGGCAGCCCTGGCGGAGTCCAACCCTCATCGGGAACAGGTCCAACTTACTACCGGCTATGCGGACCAAACTCACGCTCCTCTGGTAAAGGGACTGAATGGTCCTTAACAGAAAGCCACCCACCTCATACTCCTGGAGCGTCCCCCACAGAGTGCCCCTGGGGACACAGTCATAAACCTTCTCCAAATCCACAAAACACATGTGGATTGGTTGGGCAAACTCCCATGCCCCTCCATCACCCTTGCAAGGGTATAGAGCTGGTCCACAGTTCCACGGCCAGGACGAAAACCACATTGCTCCTCCTCAATCTGAGATTCGACTATCGATCGGACCCTCCTCTCCAGTACTTTTCCAGGGAGGCTGAGGAGTGTGATCCCCCTATAGTTGGAACACACCCTCTGGTCACCCTTCTAAAACATGGGGGCCACCACCCCAGTCTGCCACTCCACAGGAACTGCCCCCGATGACCACGCAATGTTGCAGAGACATGTCAACCATGACAGTCCTACAACATCCATAGCCTTGAGATACCCAGGATGAATCTCATCCACCCCTGGGGCTCTGCCGCTGTGTAGTTGTTTGACTACCTCAGCAACTTCTGCCCCCAAGATTGGACAGTCATTCCCCATGTCTCCTGGCTCTGGTTCCTCCTCGGAATGCGCGTAGGTGGGATTGAGGAGCTCCTCAAAGTATTCCTTCCACCGTCCGACCATAGCCCCAGTTGATGTCAGCAGCTCCCCATCCCCACTGTAAACAGTGTGAGCGAGTTGCTGTCTTCCTCTCCTGAGGCGTCGGACAGTTTGCCAGAACCTCTTGGGAGCCTATCAACAGTCTTTCTCCATGGCCTGACCAAACTCCTCCCACGCCCGAGATTTTGCCTTGGCAACTGCCACTGCTGCACCCCGCTTGGATATCCGGTACCTATCTGCTGCCTCCGGAGACCCACAGAGCAGCCACGCCTTGTAGGCCTCCTTCTTCAGCCTGACGGCTCCCCGAACCTCTGGTGTCCACCAGCGGGTACGGGGGTTACCACCACAACTGGCACCGGCCACCTTGTGACCACAGCTAGCAACAGCCGCCTCAACAATCGCAGAGTGGAAGAAGGCCCGCTCGGAGTCAATGTCCCCCACTGCTCTCGGGACACGGTCAAAGCTCTGCCGGAGGTGGGAGTTGAAGACCGTCTTGACAGGGTCTTCTGCCAGGCGTTCCCAGCAGACCCTCACTATGCGTTTGGGTCTGCCAGGTCTACGCAGCATCTTCCCCTGCCATCTGATCCAACTCACCACCAGGTGGTGATCAGTTGACAGCTCCGCTCCTCTCTTCACTCGGGTATCCAAAACATACGGCCGTAGGTCAGATGATAAGACTACAAAGTCTATCATCGACTTGCGACCTAGGCTGCCCTGGTACCAAGTGTACCGATGGGCATCCTTATGTTTGAACATGGTGTTTGTTATGGCCAAACTGCGGCTTGCACAGAAGTCCAATAATGAAACACCACTTGAGTTCAGATCAGGCGGGCCGTCCCTCCCAATCACACCCCTCCAGGTCATGCTGTCATTGCCCAGGTGAGCATTGAAGTCCCCCAGCAGGACAATGGAGTCCCCTGATGGAGCACTATCTAGCACTCGTCCCAGGGATTTCAAAAAGGGTGGGTACTCTGAACTGGTATTTAGCCCATAAGCGCAAACTACAGTCAGGACCCGTTCCCCGACCCGAAGGCACAGGGAAGCTACCCTCTCGTCCACTGGGGTAAACCCCAACACACAGGCAGAGAGTCTTGGGGCTAGCAAAAAGCCAGTTTTGAAAAGTTTTGAATTGGCACCGTCTTCCTGACATCACTCACTCCTGCCTATAAAGGACACAAAGACATATTTTGAAAGATTGTTACTGTTTATACAATAAATTAGGCCTACTTTTCAAACCTTAGCTCTTTCATATCTTTCATATTCTATGTATTATACTTACTGTACACACCACATTACACTTTACTGCTTATTCCACATAGTTGGATGTTAAACTGCATTTTGTTGTTCCAGTATTGGTCATTTTAGGTTAGTCCAGTCATCCAGAAACAAGATTCAGGATAGATGACTAGGCTAATATCTCCCGCTAACACCACAGACATATTGGACCTGAAAAATATTTTTTTCTACCTCAGAGATAAGTACTTGTAGTTGTTCGCTACCATTTTAGTCTGGACTGTACGTAGCATTACTATGATATATAGTTACCACTTAAAATCATTCTAGTTATTAATTTAGCCGTGTTGAATTCAATTTAATTACGTTAACAACTTTGTTCAATGACCATGCCAGTCCAGTTCTCACTGCCACCTGGCTGCGGTCTGTGTAGCTAGCTAAAAACAGTATGAACAGCTGAGGCTCTGTCCTCTGAGCACATACTTAGTATTTTGATAGAATCAAATTCATGACATTTTTATCATTCACATATTTTTGTTTCTGCTGTTGGACGATAGAACAAGTATGAATTACTGAGTGGAGCGCGGGTCCGGTAGACTACCTGCTTTCCGTTGCTATCCCGAAGCTCTCCTCATGTTCACTCGTCTCATCGCATGAGTGAAAAAAACAAAAGCTCTCCGCTGCTCCTTTGTCACTCAACAGAGAGAAGGAGAAAAACCTCTCGCTCTATAAACTGCGATAACGCAATACTCGCGAACCGAGTCGCTACTTTTGGCTCTTCTTTAGAGAAATAAATCTAGGGGTGAAAAATCTGTAAATCTAGCCAAAAAGACAGTTGGAAAAACAGAAGTGGAACTGGAACTGAAGGGGATTATGCAATCTGATTGGTTGGAAGCGTCATGTGGGGCGCTGTGCCAGCTAGATGCAGAAATTAAAGGAGAAGCGCTACAGCCCAATATTGCCCAAAATGTTTAATCCATTTGTTTATCCACAAGGATGGAAAATTATTTTCCAGGACAACTCAAAAATTTCCAGGACATTTTGCAATTCCCCCCATTTTCCATGTGTTTTCCATGACTGGAAAATTGGACTATCATTTTCCAGGTTTTCCAGGTTTTCCAGGACGCGTGGGAACCCTGTTAACTTTTAGTTTAGGTTAGTGTGTGTGTGTGTGTGTGTGTGTGTGTGTGTGTGTGTGTGTGTGTGTGTGTGTGTGTGAATAAACAGCTGAACATCAAAATAATTATTGTAAAATTTTGGGCTCTAGCTCTGTTGACCAGCTTGAGGTGCACGTTTATGATCAAGTGGTGTTGCTTCCAGCTGTAAACACGGAAATATGGAGAGGGGCTTAAAAGAGAAATATATTTTTCTGCCTCTAGATGGTGCTGTCTGGGGAAAAAAGTCTGGATTTTTGCTTTCAAGTAACACTCAATATGTTTCCCACCTCTCCGTTCTACTGGTTGAAAGCAGAATTAAAGCTGTCGTAAACAACCCTGCTGCAGCCTCTTATGCTAACTCGAGCCAACTAATACTAAAACGTGAAAAAATCCACTTTGGGACAAAAAATGTTTTTACTTTCAAGTCCAGTAGGAAGAAACCCAGGTCACCATCAGTCTGTGACATTGTAGCCTCCTTCAGCTCCCTGAAACGAGTTTAGGCTGCGCCGATGTTCACTCTTTGAACATCTTAGGTGTGTTCTTGCTGTGCGTTATTTCTAATTCCATGTTGTCGTTCTTTTTTAAAGCACAGAAACGGTTTTGTTACCTGTTGTTGACGCTACGTTTCGCCGACAGCTGCCGGCTTCTTCAGGCTGACGCTGAAACGTAGCGTCAACAACAGGTAACAAAACCGTTTCTGTGCTTTAAAAAAGAACGACAATATGGATGTTCACTCTGGTTTTAGCCCTTTGCTTCTCCTCCAAAGACTTCTTGTGCTTGTTATTGACAGTCGGGGAACTATAAAAGCTAACTGCTAGCCTAAATATTAGCTACCAGCACAGTAAACAGCTATTGCTGTAAAGCAGGTAGAGACTTCTACAAAACTGTTAAGTGCAGAGGGCTATGGAGTGCTGTCCAATTTAAAGTTGGTCTAGTTTCCGGCTCTAGAGCGATACTGGATCCAGTTTGAAAGCAGTAGCTTAAGGTTTTAAAAACTCTTTAGTGTTTCTATATTTAGCTGTTGCACCAACTGAGTTCCTGTCTCCTCTAGCTCCCTCTGCTCCTCCTGTGAACGGGAAGATGCACCCAGCTCAGTCAGCAGAGGAGGCCACAGAAGCAACAGAAGTTCCTGAAACTACTCCCAACCACACAGAGATGAGATCCGGACCCCCGGGACCCTTCACCGAGCATGTCTTTACAGATCCTCAGCCTCGTCTGGCAGATGACAGGTACAAGTCTGTCTAAGCACAAACTAGTCATCAGAACTCCCTTCATGCTCACGTCTATCCACACAGGAGCACAGGTCAGTCCAAAGAGGAGGCGTCCCAACCCACAGAGTCAGAGGACGGAGGGGAAGAGACCAAAAACTATACCAGTGTTGCCCCCACCATGTGGCTCGGGGCCCAGAATGGCTGGTGAGTCTCTACAGTAAAACATTTTAGAGCCTTTAGGCTTTCCGGGTCTGTCAGGAATTTTACTTTTCTTCTAGGCTCTATGTCCACTCGGCTGTTGGAAACTGGAAGAAGTGTCTCCACTCCATCAAACTGAAAGATTCCGTCCTCAGCCTGGTGTAAGACAAACAAATCTGAACTCCTGCGTGATGAGTCACCAATCAGCTAGCTGGAGATAAATATGGTGAATTTTGGTTTCTGTCTCTTCAGACACGTGAAGGGTCGGGTTCTGGTGGCGCTGGCCGACGGGACGCTCGCTATTTTCCATAGATCAGAAGGTGGGAGGATTAGGGATTTTCTGTTTCGGAGGTTTCTTTTGTAATTAATCCATGCTTCATGGAACCTGAAAAAATATCTTTTTTCTCAAAAACTTTTTAAATGAAGTTCCATGAATGCTTTTGGGTTTAGGTTTTATTTCATATACTGTAGGTGTGACCTCCTGCTGTTCAGAGACATAGGTTTTGCTTTAAAAGTGTGTTTTTTTTCTTCCACAGATGGCCAGTGGGACTTGTCCAATTACCACCTCATGGACCTGGGTCGTCCTCATCACTCCATCCGCTGCATGGCTGTTGTCCATGATAAAGTGTGGTGCGGCTATAAGAACAAGATCCATGTCATCCAGCCCAAAAGCATGCAGATCGAGGTGAGTCTCTGACAGGTGGAGCATCAGCTGTTGATGATTCCCTTACCCACCCAGTCCTGTTCTGGTGTCGTAGAAGTCCTTTGACGCTCACCCTCGCAGGGAGAGTCAGGTGAGGCAGCTGGCGTGGATCGGTGACGGTGTGTGGGTGTCCATCCGACTAGATTCAACACTGCGACTGTACCACGCGCACACACACCAGCACCTCCAGGACGTTGACATCGAGCCATATGTCAGCAAGATGCTGGGTCAGTTTGTGTAACCAGCTAATTTTTACGGGGACTTGAAAAATCTTTACTGGTTTAGCTGTCGTTACACTTCGCTGACTCTGATTGTAAACCTCAGGTACTGGTAAGCTGGGATTCTCTTTTGTTCGGATCACGGCCCTCCTGATTGGTGGAAATCGTCTCTGGGTGGGAACCGGAAACGGTGTGATCATCTCCATCCCGCTGACAGAAAGTGAGTGGAGTTACGCAGCAGAATATGAAATCGAACTTTTTTTATCAAGAGATTAATCAAAGCAGGATTATATAAATATAGTTCTGCCTTTACTCAGAACAATCTGCGATGAACTTGTCTGATTATTAAGAGCTCCTGGAAAACTCATGCATTATAAAAATATAATTCAAGTTCAAAGGAGGTTTTTTTTTTTTTTACATTTCCATGTTGTTGGAAAAAAATATTTGCTATAAAACACATTTCTGTCTGTGGCTTTCCGTAGGATCATCATTAAAGGGGCATTATGGAAGTTTGACAGCCAAAACATGTATAGAAATAATAAATTTCTTCTTCATACATTCTCCTGCAATGCCCTGGTCCGGTAGAATGAGCCCTGGCATTTTACTGTGATTGCCTGTTTTTCTGTAAAATCACAGAAAAAGAGAGCTGCTCGGGTCGAGCAGGCTGCTTCATGCGCGTTCACGCTCAGGCATAGCCCTCCGAACCATTCGTTGAACGTTGTTTCAGCTGTCATCAAGAATATAAATGTTACAGATGGTTTAGCTCGCCTGGTAAGATTTGGGGCTTTTGTGCAGAAGTCCCGGGTTCAGTTCTGAATGTGAACATAGTTATTTTAGAGTTTCTTTTTTACATTAATGGTATATTTTTTTACAGTAAGATGCCCACATTTTTATTTGACACTCGCCGAACGGCATTGAATTCACAGATAAAAAAAGATGTGGGTCCAACTTTCATTTTGGAACAATTTTTTAAGCAAGGGAAGGGAATGATCTGAGCATGCAGGAGGACTGACCCATCATAAACCTTTGTCGGCTGTGCTGAAGAGAAAGGTACAGAACCAAATTATTTAATTAATTAGCTGCATGTTCTCCTGTCCTCTGTCCTCCGGGACACACACACACACGGGACTGTCTCAGCTGCTATTTTCGTTAAGGAGTGTGCACGTACGGCATGCGCGCCTCGTGCACGAGCCTCCTATTGAAGCTGTCGTTACGCTTTTGGCCTGAGGGGGCAATCGCGAGCATAAAAATTCTAAACTCCGTAAAGTTCCTTTAAAACATTTAAATAGACCAAGACATAAATACTCTGCACAATGAGCACATAAGGGGCGGGGTTTAGTACATAGTTAAGTCATTTTAGAGGTTTCAAAATAAAATACAGCATGAAAAAAGGAAAAAGTTGCTAAACCCGTGACGAGAACTTTATTGAAATACAAACAAAAGCTGATAAAAAGCATATTCATATATTTTTATGAAACAGAATCCATGAGAGTATGATTGTTTGTGTTTATTTTTCACTGTATTAAAATTACCTGGTATTCTGTTATTAAATTATAAACTATGACTTCCATACACATAGCTAATAATATTAATTAATATATTATAATATTACATTTTCTGATTGGTTTAAGTTGAGTCTTCGGACATCCATAAAAAACATCAGCGTGTCCAGTGTCCACACGGAGACCTCTTCAGCTCCCCTCAGCTTTTCCCACTTTCTGTTTCCTTCCTTTGTTCAGTAGTAGCAGCTTGTTCTCCCAATCCTAATTATTACTGTCACTGTCCTCTTTCTCCACCTCCTCCTCGTCTTCCTTCTCCTAAAGCGGTGGTCCTTCATCGGGGACAGCTCCTGGGTTTGAGGGGTAAGTGGGACCTCCCCTCGTCTCCCCCGGCCAAACCGTCCAATCTCTTGAGACTGTTTTATTTTTGAATTTTCATCTTTCAGTTCTTCCTTCTCTGATTAATTTCCTGAAAATAAAAGTATTCCGTGTTTATTGTTTTGTCAGAGAGATGTTTGACTTTTTAGATGCATGTCATCAGTTATTGTGACTTTAATAAAACGTTACGTGCAATGTAGAAGTTAGTATATGTGTTGTTTATGGTTTCTGTTATGTTTATGATTTGCTTGTGAACGTTCTCGTCGTCTCTCGTCCCTCTGCTCCAGCCAATAAGGTGTCTCCCACGTCCTCCGGAGGCGTGATCCACGTCTACAGTGATGACGGATCAGAGAAGAGCAGCGGCAGCTTCATTCCCTACTGCTCCATGGCACAAGCCCAGCTGTGTTTCCATGGACACCGTGATGCTGTTAAGTTCTTTGTCTCCGTACCGGGTCAGTAAACGCCGAGATTAGGTTTAGAGCTCCTGCTGTTTCAGACCCAAGCTTATATTTAAAGAGCAAGTCACCCCCAAATCCACTTCTTTTTTGCTGATTAACTATATAAATGAGTGTCTAACCAAGCTGTAGACACATGCAATCATTTGGCACTTAAGTGCATCTTAGTTAACATTTAAATATTCTGCCTAAAACTGTCATTGTTGCACAGTTTTCAGGTAAAAACTCTGCATTGCATTTAAATTTAATCTGCCATTGCTATAGGCTAAGAAGTACACTATGATGTCAGCTGTTACATTATGAGGTCACAATATCATGTGTGTGTGTAGTCTGCCAGGCAACAGCATTTTTTGCATTTTTCAAACAGGAAGTGGGAGTGGAGTAAGACTCTGGCAGGGGGTGACTTGCTCTTTAAAACGTTTAGATTATTTGGTTCAGATTAAATGGGCCTATGATTGGGGTTGTACCTGCGAAAATTAATGTGATGTTTTTAGATTGTTATTTTAACAATTAATGCAAAGTTTTGGGCTGTATTTTATGACAGGCAACGTTCTGGCCACCTTGAACGGCAGTGTTCTGGACAGCCCGTCAGAAGGGCAGAGCTCCACGGCACCAACAGAGACGGAGGAGCAGAGTGTTCACAACGTGTTGGTGTTGAGCGGGGGCGAGGGCTACATCGATTTCCGCATAGGTAAACACACACACACACTGCTATCAGAACACCCAATTAATAAAAGAAAAAATTTAAATATTAGCTAATGTTTTCCAATATAATTTATTCATATTCTGTCTGTCTTAGTTTAAAAATGAACTGAATTGTTACGGTTGCTTTTCTAAGGTGGTAAAAATAAAGAAACCCTACAACAGCTCATCTAACTGGGAGTTTAAAGCAAAGAAAGGATGTGTTTTCAGGAGAAATTAGAAGTTTTTGTGTGTTTTCCTGCCAGATTCCACCTTTAGATCTTTTCCAAACATTTGCGTAAAAAGCTTCGTGGATCTGTTAAAATATGAATGTAAAATTATAAATACCACAAAATAAAATTTCAAATTTGAATGACTTTGATTCAAATGTAACTAGAATTGTAGTTCCTTTTGTTTCCAGGTGGCACTAGAGGCACGGTGCAACCCTAAAATGTCAAAAAAACATTTTTTTAAATTAATAAATAAAATTCTGGTTTCCCAACAAATGGAATAAAAGAGTGAAAGAAACTAATCACAAGTATTTTTCATCCTTTTTTTAAAATAATTCTAGCCTGACTAGCTGTTGAGTTGGATTGGTTCGTCCTCCACAGGTGACGGAGAGGACGATGAGACGGAGGACGGAGACAACAGCGGGGCTTCACAGATGAAACCTGCTTTGAGCAAGGCTGAGCGGAGCCACATCATCGTCTGGCAGGTGTCTTATGTCCCAGAGTGACACCGGAGTTTGTCTTGGAAGCTTCCAGCCATCCAAACCTTGCAATTCCCCCCCATCATGTAAAAGTTCCCCTCTGGCTGTAAAACTACCCTCTGAGCTTTGCATTGTTCCTGTAACTAATAAACCTCCTCCTGTCCCTCCATCTCCTCTGATCTAGTTATCTGCCTGACACCCTGTGTCCGTCACACAGGAAGCTGTAACCATCACCATAAACCTCATTATCTACCTCCCTACATCCATCCCCGTCCTCTCCCTCGGCTGTCCTGCAACAGCTGCTCCTTGAGTTTATCTGTAAAAACGTCACCTCCTCTTCCAGATCCCATCAGATTCCCCAAAAACAAGTAAAAGTGTGAATGTCGGCCAAGAGTCTGGTTTCACCCGCTGACTTCTATTTATCTCGTAAAGGTAACAGATGAGTGAAAGTCTGATAATCTGGTTTGTTTTGACTAAAACGTTTTGTTTAAAACCACCAGGGTGAAACATCTCCAGCTTCCTGATGCAGGTCAAAGGTCGGATCATGTTCATATTCACACAGAGGGGTGTGATGCAGGCGAGCGCTGGCATGTTATTTATGTACAGGGATAAAAACTGTAAATGTCAAGATGCATCCTCCCGGTTCAGTATAGAAATCTGTGCATTGATCTCTTTATCTGTGGATTAAATATTAAACATATTTGTGTGCTGAAAGCAGCGAGTGGTGTGTGGTTCGCTTCACAACAAACACGCGTAAAATGACTGATTTGTTGTTGCTTTAGTAACGGATAAATGCAGCTGGGCTGGTTTAGTAAAAACGTGTTCAAGTACAGATTCACCTTAAAGTCAAGCTTCATATGAAAATATAAAAACACATGAAAGCTGCAAACTTTACATTCAAGTCCTTCCACATGATCATTTTCACAACTCTGAACAATCTGAAGTCAAAGATGCTGATATTTGGATAATGACACATAACCGTTTTTTGCAAGTCAAACAGATTATAAACATCTCAGCTCAATGGAAAGCTGAGCCGTCAGGTTGTTGCACACCTGACAGGTGCAGGATGTGTTCATTTAACACAAATAAAGGTGCATTTACCTGATAAACAATCCTTTCATCTAAGTTTTACAATCTGAACTGAAAAACAAAAACCAGAAGACAGCACTGGCGTCCCTTATTGAGGCATTGCCCATGTTAAAGTCTTACTTTAATAAAAATGTAAACAGAGAAATGCAATAAGGCAGAGATGACCGTTCTGTGTAACTAGATACCTGCTAAAGCCAAAACAAAGCATGTCTGAGGAGGATCTATTTGGTGTTCAGGTCTGCAGGTGTTCATGTGGGACGGGATTAAGCTGCTGTCAGTAGATCCAACTGGTGCTGCAGCTCTCCCAGCGATGGAGCTCGTTCTGACCAAACCACAGAGAAATTTCCTTCATCGCGCTCTCCATCGAGTCGCTGCCATGGATCACGTTCCTGAACATGCAGAAACAAAAGTAATGATCACTCCTTTGGAAACATAGTCCCTCCAGCATATCCTGGGTCTTCCTTTGGGTCTTTTCCCAGCTGGACATGCCTGGATAACGTCACCAGGGAGGAGTCCAGGAAGCATCCTAACTAAATCTCCGAGCCACCTCAACTGGCTCCTCCCGACATGGAAGAGCAGCAGATCTACTCCGAGCCCCTCCCGGATGACCATGCTTCTCACCCTATCTCTAGTGCTAGGCTGGTTTGAATCCTACCTGTCTGACAGATTTCATTTTTGTAAACGTACATGACAAATCTTCTTCATACTCCAGGGTTACTTGTGGAGTACCACAGGGTTCAGTGCTTGGACCAATTCTTTTTACTATATATATGCTCCCAATTGGTAAAATCATTAGACAGCATGGGATAAACTTCCACTGTTATGCTGACGATACTCAGTTATATTTATCCATTAACCCTGATGAACCTAATCGGTTGGGTAGATTACAGGCTTGTCTTGAGGACATAAAAATTGGATGACTCTAAACTTTTAGCTTTTAAATCAAGACAAGGCGGAAGTTCTCATCTTTGGACCAGAGATCCAGAAAAGGAAATTGCTTAGTCAATCACCTGACCTGAACGGCATTAAATTAGTCTCCGAGAATAAAGTAAGGAACCTTGGTGTTATCTTTGACCAGGACATGTCATTCAATTCCCAGGTTAAACAGGTTTGTAGGATTTCCTTTTTCCACCTTCGGAATATTGCTAAGATTAGAAGCGTCCTTTCCAGGAGTGATGCTGAAAAACTAGTTCATGCATTTATTACATCAAGACTAGGGATGGGTACCGAATTCTGTACTTTTTAAGGTACCGACCGAATTCCACAGTACCGACCGAGCACCGATTCACTTCATTTCAAACGGTGCCTCGTTTCGGTACCCGTCCTTCACAACGAGAACTTGTCTAGACAGCTGCGCATGCGCAAGAGCGTTATGTCATAGGTCGCTGCGAGCGAGTTGTAAACAGAGCAGCATGGTAGAAAGAACGAAAGCTAAAGCTTGGGTCCACTTCACTAAATGTGATGGGTAACTGGGTGATGATGAAACCAGCAACAACGATCTAATTGAGACATCCTCATCTTAATCTGCTCCGGTAGGTAAATAAAATGTTTAAGATAACGTTAGCTTGATTTGTTAGCTTCCGTTTCACTAATGGTGCGTTCGCTTTCTCCTCGGAACTCCGAAATTCGACTAGAAGAACATGAACGCGCTCTAAAGTTTGGCTTCACTTTACTAAATGCGACGGGTGATTGGGTGAAGATGAAACCAGTGACAACGATCTAAGTGTGAGGCATCATCGTTTTAATCTGCTCCAGCAGTTAAATAAACTGTTTAAGATAACGTTAGCTTGATATGTTAGCTTCCTATGCCACCATTGTTATCAGCTAATGGTGCATTCACTTTCTCTTCGGAAATTCTAACTTCCCAGTAGGAAAAATCAATTGAAAAAGGACGGTAAAAGGAATGAAGATACACAGTAAATTTAGTTCACAGTAAAGATGTTTGCTTCAGTTTAATTATCAACTTATAAAACTACAAGGACTATGTTAAAATACAAACAGTTGTATGTTATTAATCGTGATATTTATCAAATATTGTTATATATTGAGAAAAATATATATTTAATTATAAAAGAGAATTCAAAATATTAAACACTCAAAAGTATCGAAAATTGGTACCGTTAAGTACCAGTATCGATTCCTAGGTACCGGGAATTAGTACCGGATCGATTCAAATGTCAAAGGTACCCATCCCTAAGCAAGACTGGATTACTGTATTTCATTACTCTCAGGAAGTCCACAGAATGTAGTTAAAAGTCTTCAGCTTGTCCAAAATGCTGCAGCTAGAGTTCTGATGAGAATTAAAAAGAGAGATCATATTTCTCCTGTCTTAGCTTCCCTACATTGGCTACCTGTTAAATTCAGAATAGATTTTAAGATCCTTCTTCTCACATATAAAGCTCTTAATAATCAAGCTCCATCAGATTGTTCCATACGTTCCTAACCGAGCACTTTGCTCTCAGACTGCAGGTTTACTGGTGGTTCCCAGAATATCTAAAATTAGGATGAGAGGCAGATCTTTTGGTTATCAGGCTCCTCTCCTGTGGAACCAGCTCCCAGCCTTAGTCCGTGAGGCAGACACCTTGTCTACTTTAAAGAATAGGCTTAAAACATTTTTATTTGATAGGGCCTATGGTTAAAATCTGATATTTGCCTAACTCTGGACAAGTGGGGGAGTACAGGGAGGTGGAGTGTACAGTCGGTAAAGACGGCACTCCCTTGCCCTGCCTCCAACATGCCTCCATCTAAAAAGGCTAGGTTATCCAGAGTTATCTCTGTAGTTATTAGGGCTGGGGGTAAACGATTATTTTTAAAACGATTATTCTGACGATTATTTTATCGAATAGTCGACTATTCTAATGACTATATAGAAAATTAATCTAATGATTATTTTTCTATTGCACAATTAACAAAAACCAGAAAATCTCAAATAAATTCCTCAAAAAAATTGATAAATTCTTACTGTAAGAGAATAAACACTACAGGCCTTCCATTTTGTATAACACTGCTTTTATTGTGTTGTGGTTGGTTATGTTCTGGTGACGTGTAGAACTTGGGAGTGCAGGCTGCTGCCTGAGAGGTGGTTGGAGATGGAGTGTCTCCATGCTGCTTTGTTTTGGTCACTTATGTGCGTGAGGCGAGTGGTGTTACGACCCTTCCTGGGGAGTTTGGCTCGTGTGCAAAAAGGAAGGGACAATAACGGGATTTAAAAGTTAAAATGATGATCAGGTTTATTTACAACTACAAAAAATCATAAATCTTTCCATCCACAGGTTGGGAATAATACAACTAATTCTGCCTGTGGGGAATTAAAACAAAGTACAAATAACTAGGGATGTCCCACTGAGCAAAGATTACTGGGTTCTGGACCAAAATGAGGATCTCCAAAAGTCCAAACTCTAAACTGGGCGGTTAAACCAAACTCAAGGTGATATTTTACACTAAACCGAAAACCCACAATACTCTAAATGTAATAAAAGGGAGATCTGCACCACAAAAAAGATGAACTCTAAACCAAAACGTAACAGCTTATCCAAACGCAAGAAGCTGTTAGCGAAGATGCTAACAGTAGCTTTACCATCATTAAGTTCAAGTTACCAAGTTTAAATAAAACAAAAACACCCAGCAGCAAACAGACCAGCACGGAGGAGAGACTGCTACCACCAAAACAGCTCTCCTAATGTCTGAAAGAAGCTCCTTTATGAAGGGAGAAACGCTCCCGGTGATGTCCTACATCTGCGGTAGAGACGAAGCAGCGCATCTGACCCCGGAAGTTGTCGTCCGTTGCCGGGAGACGAAGGCGGGCAACACAGGAAAATAATCTAGTAGTGGACGGACATTGTTCCGGGTCTTCGGTATTTGGCGGAGATGTTAGTGAAGGCGGAGAAGAGGGCGAACTAGAAGAAAAACAGGCAGATTCCTCCTCTATTTACAAACTCCTGGGGATGCAACAAGTGGGCGCGGTGCATCGACTTCCGGATCTGACGTCGACAAATTTTTAGAATCGAGCCATCGACGTCGTCGAGGCTTCGCTACAGCCCTAGTAGTTATGCTGCTATAGGCTTAGACTGCTGGAGGACACACTGACCACTTTTCACACTCGACTACTTTCTTCTACAATCTGCTCATTAACTGTATTAACCCTAACCCTAACACACACACACACACACACACACACACACACACACACACACACACACACACACACACACACACACACACACACACACACACAACTTAATCAACATTGTTTTGTTTAACTGTGTGTGGGAAAAATGCCAACAACGTTAGGACAAAATCAGTTTAATCAAATTAAAATAAAATGGTTCTAGTATTTCATATTTCCTAGTTCCTACCGCATGAGTTCAGATGCATTAATTCATGCACTTAAATATTAAAGTTCTGATATTATTGAAAAACTTGTTCTGTAATAGTTCCTTTACTATTGTGATCAAAAATATTTAATCTCAATTCTGAGGCTGCTCTGTAAGTAGTTTTCCAATAAACAATACACATAGCAACTTCTGATCAATCCATATCAATTTCAGATTTAAAATAATGCATTGATGTAAACCACAGTCTAGGGATGAGTACCTTTGACATTTGAATCGATTCGGTACTAATTCCTGGTACCTAGGAATCGATACCGGTACTTAACAGTACCAATTTTCGATACTTTTGAGTGTTTAATATATTTAATTCTCTTTTATAATTAGATATATATTTTTCTCAATTTATAACCATATTTGATAAATATCACGATAAATAACATACAACTGTTTGTATTTTAACATCATCCTTGTAGTTTTATAAGTTGATAATTAAACTGAAGCAAACATCTTTACTGTGAACTAAATTTACTGTGTATCTTCATTCCTTTTGCCGTCTTTTTTCATTTGATTCTTCCTACTGGGAAGTTAGAATTTCCGAAGAGAAAGCGAATGCACCATTAGCTGATAACAATGGTGGCACAGGAAGCTAACATATCAAGCTAACGTTATCTTAAACAGTTTATTTAACTGCTGGAGCAGATTAAAACGATGATGCCTCACACTTAGACTGTTGTCACTGGTTTCATCTTCACCCAATCACCCGTCGCATTTAGTAAAGTGAAGCCAAACTTTAGAGCGCGTTCATGTTCTTCTAGTCAGAATTTCGGAGTTCCGAGGAGAAAGCGAACGCACCATTAGTGAAACGGAAGCTAACAAATCAAGCTAACGTTATCTTAAACATTTTATTTACCTACCGGAGCTGCTCTGTTTACAACTCGCTCGCAGCGACCGATGACATAACGCTCTTGCGCATGCGCAGCTGTCTTGGCAAGTTCTCGTTGTGAAGGACGGGTACCGAAACGAGGCACCGTTTCAAATGAAGTGAATCGGTGCTCGGTCGGTACTGTGGAATTCGGTCGGTACCTTAAAAAGTACCGAATTCGGTACCCATCCCTAACACACCCACTAATTTACAAATAATAAATAAGAGGTGCATTCATCGGTGTATCTCCTTTGATCCACATTAGTGATGTTTTCAGCACCAGAACAATGAAGCAAAGAAACAGATTCCTGAGTTTATGTTAGTAGTTTTATTTATTAGGTGCATCTGAGCCGTTCTATTTTTCTCTGAAATGAGACCAAATCAGTGCTTCTATGGGTTGTCTCCTCTCTGCACTAGAAAAATGTACTTAATTATAATGTTCACTGTAATGCATCTTGACGTTCTTAACAAATAAATTAAATCAAAGATATTGGTAAATAATGCCAAATATGTAAACTTGTGTTTCAGTCATTTTTATACTGGCTTAAAAATACTTCATTAAGTCTACTAAGCAGGGGTGTAGAACGTATTTAATAGGGCCAGCCCAGTAATGATCTTGGACCAAAAATAAAGGGGGCAGAAAGTCAAATACAGGGGGGCAAAAGGAGATGTTTTTCCAGACACCAAGAAAAATTAACGTATTTTCCGGACTATAAGCCGCTACTTTTTTCCCACGCTTTGAACCATGCGGCTTATGAGGTGCGGCTTTACTGAAGATTTTCCTTCACTTGCCAGGGGGCGCTTTAGCAGAAAGTGAAACAGGTGGAAGTCAAAAGTGGAAATCGAAGAAAGTGCTCATTTTAATTTAGCACATGCAAGCAGCCGGCACGACGAAGATTATTTTTCAAACCCATACCCCCTCATCATGGAAACTACACGTATGAGTTCATATGATGCCGCATTTAAGTTGAAGGCCATCGATCTGGCAGTAAAGGAGGGAAACAGTGCTGCCGCACGTAAGCTTGGCATGAATGAATCCATGGTTCGGCGCTGGAGACGGCAGTGGGAAGAACTCATTCAAGCCAGCTTCACCCGGGGATGATGACAGCAACACGGAGAGCGACACTGACATCGCCACAGAAAAGGTATGTGACGAAGCTCTTCTGAGGCTGTTCAACTCCGACACTGAAGAAGATGACTTCAGTGGTTTCAGTGCGCAGGAGGATGATGAATAAACTAATCAATAACTTTTCTGTTTTGTTTGATACTGATCAGTTCAGTTACATTTTGTTAAACTACGTTTTCAATTCAGTAGATATCTGCGGCTCTCAGCCCAGTGCGACTTACATTGAGGTGCGCTCTACAGTCCGGAAATTACGGTAAATGCCAAATCCCCCCTGCAAAGTGTGTCACTGAGAGTTTAAAACAAAAATTATTCTTGTGCAAATATTGGTGCATTCACCTTTAATACTGATTATTACAATGCAGCAGTTGCTGGATTGGTGCAGTTCAAAGTGGAGTGCATCAAATAAAATAATATTAACATAAAGGTGAGACGTGTCACAATTTTACCCCCCGGAAAAATTCCTAGAGGAAACACTATTCCTATATTTCCTGATATTTGGACATCTCTCCTCGGAATAGCCAACAGCAGCAAACACCCTACTTGCAGTTTTGATGTTTTATCTCCACAAATAACGCAAGCCTGGAAGAGTTCTGCTGTGTGGTGGAGTTGCTAATGCTAACGTTAGCTTCTGCTAGTCAAGACGTTCGCTGCTGTTTGCTTAATGTTAAACCAAAAACTGCCTTACCTGTCATGAGTCAAGATGGGTGAGTCCATGAATTTTAAGTGACAGTGTGACATAGAACTGTCAGGCTTTGCAAATCCTAGAATTTCACCGTCTATTTTCTATCAGGAGCTAATGCAGGAGATAGGTGTAGGAGACTATTTTCTTACTCAGCCTGCATTAAAAACTCAAGAGTGACGGATTATAATCAGAAATAATGATTAAAATTTGTTTTTTTCTGTGTTCACACCTTGTTTTGTTACAGGAAATTCAGGATGCAGTTTAGGATAAACTTCAAAATTACGCTTCTCACTTACAAATCCTTGAACCATCAAGCTCCTCCATATCTGTGTGAACTTGCCCGTTACTACAACCCGCCGCGTGCTCTCAGGTCTGAAGATAAGCTCCTCCTAGCTGTTCCGAATGCACGTTTAAAAAGCCGTGGAGAAAGGGCTTTCTCTGTCTGTGCACCGAAGCTGTGGAACGCATTACCACTGCTAGTGAGGCAAGCACCAACAGCTAGCATTTTTAAATCACGCCTGAAAACTCACTACTTCAACCTAGCTTATACAACATAATTATGGACCTCACTGACATCTGCACTGTTTAAATAATGGACTCCACAATTATCGACTTCCGTATTATTGAGGTTCTTTGTAAAATGTTTTTTCCCATTTTTATTCACCATGTATCTTAATGATTTTTAGCTGTTATTTTTGGGAATTTTGTTGTATTTCCTTTTTATCTTTTATCTGTGTTCGACATGTTTATATAACGCCTGTTTAATTAACCAACATTTTTAGTGTACAGCGCCTTGTTTGGTTGTAATGCCTTGTGAATGCACTTTATAAATAAAATTGGATTGGATTGGAGGAAATAACAGCAAGTGTTTTCGAAAACTTCTACATCTCTCACTCGTCACCTCACACAGATACTTGTTTTTGTTGATGTTTATGTTGTTTTGTGTTCATCAGCAGAGCAAGTAAAACAAAACATACACAGAAAAACCATCAAAGCATTTGATTATAGGGGTTTTCCAGCTGCACTACTCAGCTTGATTCAGATGTGAGCGATTCCCTTTGACAGCCGTTTCCAACAGCATGATTCAGTATTTTCCCCAACTTTCGAGTCCCTGTCTCATTGTGGTTCCCACGGTGCACCGAGATAGTTTTGGCTGAATAGTGTTGCTGGAAGAACAGCTTTACTGACGTGAAGGACCTCAGCTTCACCCTTCGGAGGAAACTCACGATGAGCCCTCATCAGAACAGCTGGATTAAAAACAAATTCAGCGACCCTTTTAATGAATTTGTGAAAAAGCCAGCTCTTACTTTCCCACTTCCACACAGAAGTCTCCTCGAATGGTTCCTGGCAGCGAGTCAGCAGGATTGGTTTCTCCTAGCATCTTGCGAGCCGTTTTGACCACGTCCAAACCCTGCCACACCTAAACAAACACAAAAACGTACAAAACAGTAAGAGCCTGGATGTAAAATAACCGATGGACCAGCTGAGAAGAACATGACATCATTTCTAGCAGCTTATCTTGTTAAATGGTGACCTCACCATTGCAACAACCGGTCCAGAACTCATGTAGCTTATCAGTCTGCTGAAGAACGGCTTATTCCTCAGGTCCCAGTAGTGTTCCCTAAGAACATCTTCAGATGCCTAGAACACATGCAACAAGATGGATCATTTAATGGCTCACCTTTTTCACCACTGGGGAAAATGTGCACCGGATTTACCTTCACAAGTTTCAGGCCCACAAGTTTGAAACCTCTCTTCTCAAAACGACGCACGATTTCTCCCACCAGTTTCCGCTGCACACCATCTGGTTTCACAGCTAGGAAGGTGCGCTCATTCGCTCCCGTCCAGCCTGGAACATTACACCAAGTTTATGACCATACCTGAGCACATTGACCCTGGGCGCAAGTTAACATTTTTGAAGAAATTCTGAGAAGCGCAGCCTAAAATTCCAACATGGACTAATAATCTACGAGAAAATGTTTGATTGTATTATCTGTAGAAGTTTAAAGATGAAAACAAATGTTATAACTGAACCCAATAGCTCAATAATCTCACCATGGCAACTACACACCTGTGTCTCTCCCTCCCTGACAGAGAAACCAGACAAAGAGCAGCGGTGGCACGGGGAACATTAAAAGTCATGTTGATAAACTAACTGAGCAGCAAAAGCCTCTGATGGTTTCCTATCTGCTCCTCCACAGACAGGACAGGTTAGAGGAAAGGTTTGTAGTTAGCTGGTTAGTGAAGGAGATCCAACAGATGGGTAATTTAATCCTAATCCAGCCCACAGCCTCCTGCTGGTGTTATTATCAGGAATAAAACAAACATCTTACATATTATTGGAAGTTTAGTTTTTTTTTAATGTTTTATTATTTTCTGCTTTAAACAGAACTTGATTAGTTCTCCAACATTTCAGAAATGAGACCACTGGGTTCAAATAAAATAACAAACTAAGCCAAACATTTAATTTGGGGTTACTTCTTACACCCTTAAACTGTAGCATAAATATCTGCTCAAAGACATTAAACGCTAATAAATTATAACTTAAAGGCAGGAATCGGATGTGTCCTATAGGTTTTCTGTGTTTTTTTTTCTGATTTTGTGAGTATTTGCAAAGCAAATGAGGTGTGACGGTTGATTGAGGAAACAGATTTTTTTACTTTGTTAAATCTTCTTAAATGATTAAAATGTTTTGTCCTAATGACTGTTGTGAATGGAGAGCTTTTGGGGGATGGCAGGTTGTGTCAGACACATTTTTAATAAATAAAAAAGCAATTATCTGACATCTGCTATTTATCGATTAAAACAAATCAATATGAAATAATGGTGATGCATCGGGATATCGAATCGAATCGTTGACCCAATAATCATAATCGAATCGGGAGACAAGTGAAGAGTCACGCCTCTAATGGTCAAACACACAAAGTAGAAGTAAATGTATACCAAAGATTTGAAAATGTTAGGTCAGAGGTCAGAACATCAGCTCTCCCAAAATCCTCAAACTACAGCACGTGCACTGAGATGTAATTTATTCAGAAAATGGACAAAATCCTGACCGAATAGTAATAAAGACGCTCTAACGCTAAAGCACGGACACTTTTAACTGTCTAGTAATGAGGCTTTTTGTGATGGACTAGATTTAATCCCTAATACTTGTTCATTTACTGATGTAGTTCAAATCTCTGCTAGATTTCTCAGGTGCGATAAGTAATGTCTAGAGCTGCTTTTGTTGTAGCTACTGTGTGCGTCACTAATCTAAGAGAGGACAGCTTACCTTCACCTATCCTTTATTTTGTCATTCATCTGCAAAAATACTCAACTCCACTACTGATGTTGAAGATAATCTCGTCTCGTGCAAACTTTGGCCATCTGAAACACTTATGCACCGTTTTAATTAACACTGCATTGTTTCTATATAAACCCTACCTGAGGGATAATATTGGTGCATCTGAAGCTACATCATGTTCGTCTCACCAGATTCATCAATCCGAGCTTGTTTCTGCACCAAACCTTCCAGCTCGCGCATATCTCTCAGTGACCTTTTTCTCGGCCTCATTGCGGCGGTCCTTCTGCAGCTCACTGAGGCTGCGCACAAGCACGCGAGCTAATAATAGGACGATGATTAAACTTTTCTAACCGAGGAGCGCGCGCACATGCAGGGATGCGGTTAAGCTAACTACAAGCTTCACCCACAACAGCCATGCTATTACAGACACGAACAAATTAAAATAGTTCTTGCTTTTAGTCTGTTTTTGTTTCCTCACACTTTCAGATGCCTCATAGCAACACAATACCAGTCAGCTCTTTGTGAAGCTAACCGAGGAGAGATGTCAGCCTGGACAATCCTGAAAACCGAGAATATCAGCCCGTCAAACTCAGAGTGAGGGTCGGAGTCCAGACCGAGTTATAACAGAGTTATGTCACCAACCTGGCTGATAAATGTGCGCGAAAAGCGACAGAAGCAGGCAAATCATGTCGGTGCTGTAGCCAGCGAAGGAATGGAAGAGACACGCGCAGTTTCTCGTTGCTAGGGAATACTTAATAGTGGGGCGGTACCACGTGAAAACGTGCCCACACCACGGAAGCCCACGAGGTTACAATTAAATAGAAAGAAAGAAAGAAAGAAAGAAAGAAAGAAAGAAAGAAAGAAAGAAAGAAAGAAAGAAAGAAAGAAAGAAAGAAAGAAAGAAAGAAAGAAATTTGGATAAATTTAAGCTTAAAATGTTTCTAAATGAGTCCAAACGTTTACTTCAAATATTCTTACTGGAATGTTTCACATTGTGTACAAAGGCTATCAGACATTTGGCTTGCGACCTCTTTGTTATGCTCATTTGAGTTATTTTTGGAAATAATCCTTGCTCAGACCAAATACTTTATCAGTTTTTAATATAGAATGTTAGAAATTCTAGAATTTTATATTTGTAAAGCACAGAAGTTTTCAAATTTTTTACCACATTTACGGCTGCTAGCATTTGCCTGTAGGAACCGTTTGGGTTAGAAATGGGCTGGAAAATGGTCCCCATGTAGGTCTATGGGTTACATAATGGCCCCATATGCGATTTGGGAAAAATCCGGGAACTAACTGGGCCCAATTGAGCAAAGTACAGAAAAACCCATCTAGCTCCCATCTTTCAAGTGGGAACAACATGAATTAGTGGGATCTATTGCTTATTGTGCTACAATCAAGAACGTTAAGACCAAACCCAGACGTTTTTGGTGGATGCATTTCAGCTGAGACTCATATAACCCTTACTTACCCAACATCAACCCATCAGGAATTAAAATTAGGCCAATATGGGATCCATGGCAGACATCATAAAACTATCAAAAACCTCACAAGGGCACACAAAACACCTTTTCCATTTTTTTTGTTCAACAATAATCTGATTCAATTCAACTTTATTCCAAATTGAGTAAACTATTTAAAAAAACTGTAAAAATGAAACAAACTTGGAACATTAACATGGGAAGAAGACATGAAAAATCCCAAACTTTTTTCAGACGAGCAGTGTCTCCTATTTTACAGAGACGTAATTCTATTGTGTCCCCTTGCTGCTCTCAGTCCTCCTCTGTCCCTTGCTCCACTGAACCACTTGGACAAAGCCTTCTCTGCTTCTTGCAGGTTGACGTTTGAAGTTAAGGCATTCTTCTTCAGGGACTCTGCACAAGAAAAAAGAAGAGTAAGCTCAAGTATAGTTAACCCGGCTTGCTTACTCACTGAGATCGAGCTTCATGTTTTCCAAAAATGTAGAAAACTAAACTTGATAAACAAAAGTACATGACTATCGAATATTAAGCCAAGTACCACGTCATAGAAAATGACGTAGAACATATCCAGGACTAAGAAACTGACGTAACTTACCGTACACAACGTTAAAAAGACGCAAGTCTCTGAACTTTTTTTTTCCCATGTCGGCCAAACATGTTGTACTCCAACGCCAGCTCAGGCGATAGGAGGTGTTTCATCATCCTCCTTGTGGCGTCATCCACACTTGTTCCCCCTGTATCTGCCACCATGGCAACCTGAGGAAAACACCATCAAGGGTCAGAAGCATTTAAAGATGAGAGACTGTGGTTATTGTTTGGGTGACAGAATAAGGTACTGAAAACACATAAGACTAAGTCATTTAAAGTAGTTTTATAAAATGAATGAGAATCAGTAAAATTGTAAACTTACAACTGAAGTCATGAACTTGCGGTCCTCCAGTCTTGCGTTAAGATCCTCGACTTCCTCTTGGGTGTTGAGAGGTAAATCAACTCCTTCAGAAACCTCCACAGCAGAACCATCTTTCGGTTGCAACAAGGCATTCAGCATCCTGCTGTGAACGCGCTGAGTCTCCTTTACTTCCTCCAAAATTGAAAGAACTTTTGAAAACATGGATTCACAAGTAGGGCTGGCGGCACTCCGGGCAGCGGGTCTGGTGGACAACAGCCCACTTTCACGACCAAAACGGTGACAACTCTCTCGACCCATCGGTGTGACCTCACAGTCCTTTAACATACTGAGCAGAGTTCTGGGATCTTTTGGTACATTTAGACCAAGTTCCACAAGTATTGGTAAGAGCTCCGACAACACAGAGTGAGACACGTTTTGGTTTGCTGCCCATTCAGCAACTTTCTTCTTAGCATCAGATTTGGTCTCCAAATAAAAAAAAGTCACAGTTTGGTTCTTCACCAGCATCACTGGCCACGCTAGAATCAATGTCAAAGTCCAGATGTGAAGCTGTTTCTTCCACACCAACACTTGGATAGTGCTCCACATCTTGCTCTGCCTTGATCATCAACTCATCCTTCTCCACATCTTCATTCACAACTAGATGTTTGTTCTCCAGGTCTTCAGTGCATGGTGAAGTATGGTCCACAGCTTCTAAAGCGAGGCTCCTTAAATGCTGCTGAACTCTGGCTTTGATCCTCCTTCTCCTCGTCCGTGAACTGGCAGAAAGGTAATCCATTTAGCTAAAATAAACAGAAGATTGTGTGCACAGTGAGCAGTCAGCCATTTTTACATTATAGCAATACTAACTTCTATTTGTCTCACAATTCCAACACATGCTGCTCCCTCAGCCGTAGACAAATATACTGATAACCCGTAAACTACCAACATGTAGATTAGGGATGTCCCAATACAACTTTTTCACTTCCAATACAATACCAATATTGCAGCCTTCAGTACTGACCGATACCGATATCAATCCGATGCAATATCAGCACAAATCACACATGCTTTTATCTATTTCTTCATGTAGACTGTATGAAAGGCTTGATCAAGTAATATTACTCAGAAAACAAAAGCCAGTAACAGTAAGTATAAAAAACTAGGGATGAACAATATATCGGCATCAATATCGGTATCGGCTGATGTTAGTCATTTTTAACATATCGGTATCGGTTCGTTAAATAAAACCGGGTCGATATTAACAACCGATATTTAACCATCTTGTCTCCATTTGTCAGCCTGTTTCAGAGGGTGAGGGGGTGATGTGCAATTGTTTACTCATGTGAACAATGATTGTAATCATCTCAGAAGAATGTGTGTGTACATAATAATGTGAATTCAGCTTTAAAAATGTTCATTTTATACAAAATTGCTGATTTTAGAAGCAATAATGTCAGAATATCGGTATCGGTAAAAATTGGTTATCGGCCATAACAGTGACGTTAGTATCGGATATCGGTATTGGCCCAAAAATTTCATATAACTATAAAAAACCGACCATTTTTTTTATTAACCATTGGTTGCATAAATGTAAACCTTAAACATAATGTATAACTAATAAATAAAATAATAAATAGTAAATTAAAAGACATATTTAAAGTAAATAAACAAAAAGTGCAAAATACTAATTTAAGGTTCCTTCATTTATGTTTTACTGTCAGCAAATGGTAGGAACAGCTGAGGTCAAGGACATAAGAACACAAACACAATACTGTCCATTGACCAACTGCTAAAAATCGAGGGTCCTACGTTCCAATTTCACACACTGAAAATCCTCATGCAGTGTTTTGTAATGCTCCTTCAAATGTGCAATGAGGTTGGACTTATTAAACTTTCCCGGTTCTTACAGGAAAACATATGCACGGCAAATGTTGCACTCAGCCACACTGTCTTTTTCTGACTTCAACATAAATTACTGCCACACAGCCAACATTGCTCTTGTTCCTTGCTACTTTGCTAGCATGCACTGGTCTGATCACGTGGGCTTTGCATGCTGGATTCTGAGCACTGCTGGATAGAATTGCTAGAATGAAATTTAAAGTGGAACGGACTGCTTATATCGGAGGTTTTTGATGCAGTCCGATATAATCCGATTGTGTTTTTGGGCCGATATCGGACTCATTTCCTATGTCAATATCGGAATGGGACATCCCAAATGCGGATGCCCACTGGACATCATTTTCATTTAAAAAAATCAGTGTAAGTTACAAAATATAGCCAATAATTATTAGAAATATTTAGAAAATTACTGACCTGTCAAAGATGGTGTTCAGGTTTTGTGATCCAGAAAAATCTAACTGCGACAAGAAAAAAGAGGTTTTCTTTCCAGGATAATAAAGATATTCACTTACCAATAAAGTTAGAAGACAAATCCTCAATATAAAAGACACTTCATGTGTTGGTATAGCAAAATATAAAGACCAATTTAAGTCCCATTCTGTCGCAGAAGAAAAAAAACACTCCTTCCTCATGATGAGCCCTCATCTGGTAAGCTTTTAACCCTTTGATGCATAATGGTCACTACAGTGGACAGGTACTCAAATGTATTTATTTATTTTGCTGCACAGCTGTTGAAGACTTTATTGCATTTGAGCCCCTCCATTTGGACTTCAGAAAGTCAAGCCAACATATTTTATGTTCAGAATGCACGCTGTCCACTGAAGTGGACATGTAATAAATTATTTGCAAATTACTAAATGTTACAAAAAGATGTGTTGACATTTGTTTCATTCACACCTAAAGATGAATGAAAAAAAATGTTTACGAAAAATCATAGTTGAAGATTTCATCATTCATGCAACAAGAAGAGGACCAGAAAAATGTCCTCAGTTTGTAGGGATGATGGTGGTAATGGTCATCAGTATGCAGTAAATTCTAGAGGGGGGGGGGGGGGGGGGGGGGGGAATAGAGAGAGAGAGAGAACAGGTTACCAGTTTCGTTGGTCTTCTTCTTCACATGGCGCTTGGCAAACAACAATTTGGTGCATTACCGCCACCAACTGGCTAGCAGTGGACCAGAACAACACTCAAACCCACTAAGAATAAATAAATAAATTCAAGCTTAATTGTGTGATGGTTTCCCTAGTTACGAATTACTATTCTCTGATACTCTTGACTCATTCTACAGCAGTTACATTTCCCAGTTTGATGTTTAAGATGAACAAAGTACCATTCAACCCAGTGGGTCAAATTCTGGTCCCGTGTGCTTCTCGTGGCTCCTGTTTCCTCTGAAAATAGTAAAGCCACCTTTCCTCCTTCACTGCTTTTGCCATCTTTTTGTTTTATCGTGCCCTTCACTCCAGCTTTGCTGACGCAGATATCTACAAGAACCAGGTGAAAACTCATGCTTAGGTATTCCATTGCTTTTAGATAAAAATGATAATTTATTCTGGTAAAATAAACTATTTCAGCTTTTTGACATTTTCTATTTGTAATTATAATTGTAACTAATGTGGCATTACAAGGAAACTACATTGTTTGCTCAAAATATTGTAAAGTTCATTTTAAGTTTAATATTTTTGGTGTTTTTAATCCTTTAAGCAACTAAAATGCACAAAATGAGCTGCGTTACAGCAGCAAAGCAAAAGTTAACAGCTTCAGGGATGTAATTAAAGTTCTGATTTTTGCGGACACTACTTGAAAAATTCCCTTTAACCAAATTACTCCTTCAAGATTTTATTAATTTTTATTATTTGTTTTTGCAAATAAACCCATTGTTTTAAACATATTGCATTTAAGATGCATTTATTAGTAATAAAACTGAAATGCTTTTGCACAAAAGTAAATTAAAAAGGACACATTTACACAAATATGTGAATAAATGGACTCATGCATAAAAAATAAAATCATCTAAAAGAGCCATGTTTGATCTCATCTTTAATATTCAGCATGTCACTCAGATATACACAAACACATATAGGCCTGTATCAGATGACCAGAGAACTCATTAAAGTCCAAGATAAAACAGAGATGAGCCATATCCGGATTCAGAGATTCACGTTTTACTTCATACCGCCGTCCCCTCTTTCTGCTGCCGCTCCTGTTCCTGTCTGCGGAAATAGTCTTTGTTGAGATGCACATCCCTGGATAAAGGCAGAGCTGGCTCTTCCACCTTTATGCTGCCACCTGCTTTGCGTTGCTTTGCTAAAATCATTGCACGAAGTAGCGGAGGATAAGGAACATAACGCACTGGAGGCTCTGGGAGTGGCTCGAAGTCCTTAAACTGCTGCTCCATGTATTTGGGAATCAATCGCCAATCATGGTACATAACCTTGTCCACCTCTTTTACCTCAGGCTCTGGTTTTCCTGTCAAATAGAATGATTTTTTTATGCATTCAAATAAAAAAAAACAAAGATTTTGTTTAATTTTAAGGGGAATTGGAATATAAAACAATCATTGTTGTAATGTCTGAGTCAAACATGATCCAAAACCATGTTAGTGTATTAGTGCTGTAATTACAGAGTCTGACCTTACCTTTATACGTGAGGATGCCCCAGGCTTTGCCATGATCCATATTCTACACAATGCAAGCAAACAGAGGTGGCTCACATTCAGGATGCACTTTATTCAGAAAAAAACCCAAAGCAAGCCTGTTTTCAGTCTTTGGTATAGACATCTATCATAAATAATAACATGTAAACAGAGTAGTTTATGTATTTAGCAGACGCTTTTGTCCAAAGCGACTTACAAGTGATAATCAGCATGTTGCCCTTGAGGCTAACAACAACAATAACAACAACAACAACCAATTTCCAGTCAGTCGTAGGTGGCAGTGAGGCAGCATGATGAATCATGGAGAGGAGGGAACAAGGAGTGGACGGTAGAGAGGGGGACAGGTGCTTGGAGGGTGCTAGTTTAGAAGATGCTCTCTAAAGAGCACGGTCTTCAGGTTTCTTGAAAGTCGAAAAGGAAGCCCCTGTTCTTGTAGTGCTTGGTAGGTCATTCCACATTTGTGGAACGATGCATGAGAAGAGTCTGGATTGTCCTGAGCGTGGTGTAGGCACTGCTAGCCGACGATCCTGTGATGACCGGAGCGGCCGGGCCGAGACGTAAGCCTTTGCAAGAGGATTCAGGTAGATGGGAGCCGTACCATCTCGGACTTTGTATGCTAGTGTTAGCAATTAGAATTTGATAAGTGCTGCTAGCGGTAGCCAGTGGAGCTCAATGAACAGAGGAGTGACGTGTGCTCTTTTTGGCTGATTGAAGACCAGACTCGCCGCTGCGTTCTGGACCATTTGAAGAGGTCTCACAGTACAGCTTAGAAGACCAGTTAGAAGGGCATTGCAGTAATCGAGGCAGAAGATGACAGCAGATTGCACCAGGAGCTGGGTGGCATGTTGTGTTAGGTATGGTCTAATCTTTCGTATGTTATACAGCAGAAAGCGGCATGAACGAGCAACAGAGGCAACATGATCTTTAAAGGTCAGGTGTTCATCAATCACAACACCCAGATTTCGAACTGCCTTTGAAGGAGCCAGAGATAGGAAGTCATTTTGGATTGAGATATTGTGCTGCATGGATGCTTTTGTTGGGATGACAAGTAGTTCAGTTTTAGAGAGGTTGAGTCGGAGATGGTGGGATTTCATCCATTTTGATATGTCAGAGAGACAGTTTGATATTCGTGCAGAGACAGTGTGGTCGTCTGGTGGAAATGACAGAGCTGTGTGTCGTCTGCAAAGCAGTAGTAGGAGAAGCCATGTGATCAAATGATCTCACCCAATGAGGTGGTGTATATGGCAAAGAGAGAAGGTCCTAGTCCAGAGCCCTGGGGGACTCCTGTGGCAAGATGGTGCACGGTAGAGGATTGTCCAAGCCAAGATACACTGAATGATTGTCCTGTGAGGTACGATTCAAACCAGGCGTGTGCTTTCTCTGTGATGCCCATGCTAGAGAGTGTGGACAAAAGGAAGCCATGGTTGACAGTGTCAAATGCAGCCGATAAGTCGAGCGGGATAAGCACTGAGGATTTGGCAGTCGCTCTAGCTCCTTTTAAGGATTCCGTCACTGCTAACAGAGCAGTTTCAGTGGAGTGGCCCTTTTTGAACCCAGACTGGTAAGGGTCAAGCAGACAGTTTTGTGAGAGGTATTCTGTGATCTGCTTGAAAGCCACCCTTTCAATGATTTTGGACAGAAAATGGAGGAGAGAGAGGTCGGTAGTTCTCCACATGATTTGGAGGAAGAGATGGGGGTTTTTTTAGCAGCAGTTTAACCTGAGCATGCTTGAGAAAGGTGGGAAATGTACCGGATGTCAGTGAAGCGTTGATCACATGTGTGACTGCTGCGGCTACTGTAGGAGCAATAGCTTGGAGCAGCTTAGTCGGAATGGGGTCAAGAGGGCATGTAGTAGGGCGGCTGCACGTGAGAAGCTTGGACACACAGTTCTCAGTGAGAGGGGAAAAAGAGGAAAATGAAGCAGTAGGGCTTGAGATGGTTGGGCTAGAAGGAGTTTGTGGTAGCGAATGTTCAGGAGTGGCCAGTTGAGTAAACTGTTTGCTTATAGCTGCCAATTGTCAGTGAAGAATGAGGCAAAGGTGTCAGCTGATAGATTGTTGGTAGGAGGTAGAGATGGAGGGTTGAGCAGAGTTTTGAATGTTGAAAATAGTTTCTGAGAGTCAGTAGAGCTGATAATTTTGACAGTGTCGAAAGCTTTCTTTGCATCAGTGATGCTGGGAGAGAATAAGGACAATAATTCATGAAATTTCAATTGACCACCAGGATCTTTTGTTTTGCGCCATTTCCGTTCCGCAGCTCTAAGATTGGTGCGTAGAGACCGGAGCGTATCATTTAGCCAAGGGTCTAATGGCTAAAGGGCACAAGTTGTTAAGACAAGAGCAGAGTGTGGAGCAGAGTGACTCGGTGGCATCATTCACTTCATAAGCAGAGAATGTGCTGGGAGATGGAAGAGTGGAGGCAACAAGAGAGATGTGGTTGGGTGCCAGATTGCAGAGGTTGCGGCGAAATGAGACCATTGGGGAGGAAGCAGTGGACCTCCCGTGTAGTCGTGCTGAAATGGATGAAGTAATGATGGGAAAGGTTCAGCGGTGTGACAGAGATTGTGTCTATGGCACAGTTTCTGGTAAAAATGAGGTCAAGTGCTTTTCCAGCTTTGTGAGTTGGAGGACTTTGTACTAGTTTAGGTGTTTAAAAAGTGTTTTCAGGGAGGGGAGAAACGGTTCGTTCACAGCCCCTGATTGCACTTATTGTGTTCAGATGGCCCAAACCGGAGCTACTAGACAACAGGGTTACCCACAGATGTAGAGCCCTGCACGGGCCTAAAATCTGAGCCCGTGTCCGGCCCGGCCCGAGGGGGTGGAGCCCCAGCCCGACCCGAGCCCGACTTTTTTTTTAACCTTTCATAATGTTTTAGCGTGATAGAATGCTCAGCATTCTAATTATCTGTGAGAAGCATTCTGCAGTAAAATAAATAAATAAATAAAATAGAAAAGAAAGAAAAACAGCATTCAATGTAGCTTTTTTTCCCAACAGAAGTGTATTTTTCAAGCGGCAGATGAAATTTACAAACACTATATTAATTGGATGAGTTTGTAAATTTAATATGCCCTGAAAATGCGCTCTTGTGCAATTAGAAAAAAAAAGCAGCATTCTTATTTTCTAACTGCAGAGCGCATTTTCCGAGCGGCAGATTAAATAAACGCCCCCAATTAATAAAGCGTTTGTATATTTAATCTGCCGCTCTGAAAATGCGCTCTCCAGTTAGAAAAAAACAGCAATGAATGCTGTATTTTTTTAACTGCAGAGCAAATTTATTCACAGAGAAATAGAATGCTGCCATTTTCATGAGAATAAACGAATGGTTTCTGACATCAAAGTGGACATAAAATGGCATATGAGAATAGGGGCACATGTTTCAATCAGCAGTTTGAGAATTTGTTTATATAGGCGCATTTATAAACCACACAGACCTTAACTGACTTAACGGTGCTGGTGCGTGAGAAGCAGGCAGGTGCTGCTGCGTTCAAGTGTTTCAGGTTTTTTTATGAATTCGATTGAAAATAAAGGCGCCCGGCCCGGCCTGGCCTGGCCTGTGTCCGAGGTAATTACACAGTCGTTGGCCCGAGGGCCTAGGGCTTCAGTGCAGGGCTCTACACAGATGAGTTTCCTTCTATTTCCCAATGGAAGATAGTGCAAAGCAAAAGTTTAAGAAGACAAAAACAAGCACTAACAGACACTCAAGGCCCTTCGGTGCAGATTGTGTAGTGACAGTAATCAGTCAGAAGAGAAGGATCGATATATTTAGCAGAGGTTACACAGTAGGTTATACTAGTGTCAGTGAAAAGTAGCAACAGGCTGTTTCATTTATGTGTTTGATGCTGTTTTGTTTGTGGTCCAATTGCCTCGACAAAAAAATGCAGTGTGTTATTTTTTGTAGATTTATGGTAGACAGACTCGTGTGCTACTTTTCAGTACTTCAGTAAGAGATATCCTGAGTTACATGTTCTCCTGTGATTTATGGAACTCAAAAGTATTCAAAATTCAATAAATAAATAAATATCTACATGAAGAAATACCAGACAATCATGTAATCTGACAATGAAATGATGAAATAACCAAATGTTATGTAAAATCTAAGCTCAGTATTATGAAATATTTTGTTCCTTCTTTTAAAATGTCTTTATTAATGTAAAGTTTTTTTCAAAAGTCATTTTTTCATTATAATCCAAATTAATATTGAGCAACTTTTATTTAATTCATTCAGTTTTTATTACATAACGTCTTTTAACAAAGACAGCTTTTATTTCATAATAGTGTTTTTTTCCCATGGCTGATTTATTTCATAATGACACTTTACTGCAGAATGTCTCAGTCAAACCACTGGGTGTGACCTGCAACACCATTGGTTAATCCTTCAACATCATTTGGTTTTCCTGGATTTCTCTGTAATAGAACAAGGATATCCCAGCATGCTTTGCGCGCTGGCTGTGGACTTTCAACAGGAAGAGAAAATGGGGAGAGCTACGATGTTTTAAATGTAAGTTTGTTAAAAACTAGCGGTAGAAAACTAAAAAGCTTAAAGCGGTTCTGTTTATGGACATTTTTCGTTTGTATATTTATTTTTTGAATTACATTTTAGGCAGAAATCAGCCAGAACGAGTATGTTTCGCAGGTCCCAGTTATTCCCGTGTGTGTGTGTGTGTGGCGAATTTAACTTTTAATTTGTTTTAGGGTTAGGGCTACACACAACCACAGAAGTTCTGCTGTGAAAAGTCGTTTTACATTCAGGGATTTACACGGCTGACACGTTTTAATGAAGTAAAAAGTGTTTGTGTGAAGAATATAATTTTTATCTTCTCATGTGGATAAATGTAAAAAAGTGTTTATTGCCTTTTTGTCACCTGTGGTCTCTGATTTTCTGTGTAGGACTGCAGGTGTCCAGGGTCAGGAGAGGCTTTACCTGGTGGTCCTCCTGGGAGAGAAGCCTTCTACTGTCATCATGTTAATGTTATTTAGCTGTTTGATATTTGAACACATTTATTAAAACAAATACTGATAACTATTTTGATCATTCCTTTTATCACCAGTTTTATTATTACAGATGTTTTTGAACATGTTACATGAACAGAAAATGAAAAGATTGTAAGGAGACAAGATTATTTATAATAGGTTACACTTATTTACAGATCAAAACCAGTATGGACCAGTTATGTACGGTTAAAGCAGGATTCACCTGAGTGACTCTTCCTGGATCATTTATTTAAACTGAGTGAGCAGGAAGTCTTTAACAGTGCAGCTGGATCTGCTGCAGGAGGATCCAGACGTGGATGGAGGGCTGGAGCAGACCTGTGGCTGAAAGTTTCTGGTCAGAGGAACATCATACAGGACAGTCTGCAGAGAGCTTTGGGACGCTTCCTCTCACTGTCCACTCCATCGTCCATCTACAGGGCCTGCTGGGCTGGCTCAGACGACGGCTGTTACATTTCTGTGAATGACTTGCCTGTTAACAGTAGTGGTGGTCTGCTGGTACCTCCTGCAGGACAGAGCACCACTGACCTCCTCCACACACATCTTCCTCACGCTCATCCTCCAGACCCACAACTTCACCAGCACAGAGGCAGATGTGCAGCACAGTGCATGCTGACCTGTAATAGATTAAAAAAAGAGGATTTTTATAGAAAAATGTAAAACAAAACATATAACCTGCAGTACACTGGTTCTGTTCAGTTTAAAGAAAAGCAGCAGGGAAAACTACAGGGAATTTACATTTTTAAGACAGATCTAATCATTATTAGGCTTAAGTTGAATAAACAAATGCACACTGAAAACACTTCAATGTTATTTTATTAAAAAGCCTGTTTTTTAAACGTTTTACCCCCATTTGATGCAAAATAAGAAGTTCTAAGGTCAAATTAACATCAGAAAACATCCTACTGCATTCAACAATTATAATGCATTTGGTTTATATTACCTGCATAATAATACTCAGTAGAAATGTGTTGTGTACGTTTAATAAGTTCATTCTGTAGCTTAAAACATACATGAAACTATATAAAGTTAACATGTAAGTCCTGAAAGCTTCTAGAATAAACAAAATGACTTTACCTGAAAACGTTTGTGAACAAACGCTGCTGATGGACGTGATGCTGCTGTAGCTCCTTAAATATTCCTGCTCCATTTTCGCTAGCTTTAGCATTCTTCCTTTGCATGTAGCTGCCGCCACGCCTGTGACGGGACCTATGGACCACAAAGCCGCTGGGTTCCGGTCTTAGCGGTCGAGCAAGGACCCGGTCTTGCTAGACCGGTGAGGACCCGTACTCATAAGCATCCTACCCACGGATTCGGACACATGAGCACCGTGTCCATACTTTGTGAGTGATTGCTTTTGTCTGACTGAATTAGCAGCCAATGACACACTGGCTCCACCCCGTTAGTCTTGACTGACGGACTGAGTGTCATTATGAAATAAATCAGCCATGGGAAAAAACACTATTATGAAATAAAAGCTGTCTTTGTTAAAAAGACGTTATGTAATAAAAACTGAATGAATTCGATAAAAATGGCTCAATATTAAAACGATAAATGACCCGCACTTGTATAGTGCCTGTCAGAGTAAGGACTCCAAAGCGCTTTACACTACAGTGCATCATTCATCCATTCACACACATATTCACACACTGATGGTGATTAACTACGATGTAGCCACAGCTGCCCTGGGGCACACTAACAGAGGCGAGGGTGCCGAGCACAGGCGCCACCGGTCCCTCCGACCACCACCAGCAGGCAAGGTGGGTTAAGTGTCTTGCCCAAGGACACAACAGCAGAATTCTCTGTCCAGAGCCGGGATCGAACCTGCAACCTTCCGATTACTGGACAACCCGCTCAACCTGTTGAGCTACTGCTGCCAACAACAACATTAATTTGGATTATTATGAAAAAATGACTTTTGAATAAAACATATTAATAAAGACATTTTAAAAGAAGAATGAAAAATATTTCATTGAGTTTGATTTTACATAACATTCTGTTATTTCATCATTTCATTGTCAGATTACATGATTGTCTAATATTTCTTCATGTAGATATTTATTTCATAAGGTCTTATTTATTTATTGAATTTTGAATACTTTTGAGTTCCATAGGGATTAGCTAACAAAACTCCTGCATGACTCCTTCTCCCACCTCTGCTGTGTAGTCCACTTTGGCCTTGGTGATGTGCCAGTAGCTGGGCTCTGAGTGCTCCTCCAGCCAGGACTTGCGGGTGAACATTCGGCCCACTCCGAACAACCTCATACCAGCCATTAGAGAGAAAAGGCGACTCTCCCTGCGGACATCCTGCCAGGCCAGCACGGGGAGCATCTTCCCGGTGAGAGGCCGCTTCATCGTCTCGTAGTCCAAGGCGTACTTCTGGGACTCCCGCGGCCGTGACTTCAGCTCTCTGTACGCCCGGACCTTCCGAGCCATTTCTGCTATAAGACGCAGCCTCTTCTTTTTTGCCATGTTAGTGAAATTTACTAAAAAAAACACAGATATACAGAAATCTATAAAACCTTTTATCGAAACACACGCTAAGCTGCTGCTTTTACTCCGAGAACAGGTTTCAATATTCCACCTGAGGTAACGGAGCAAATAAACATACGTTGTTTGTAAAATAAATAAATACTTTAAATGTTTTAAACTAATATGCAGATAAATTAAACTTGAAATGAAAACATTGTATAGTCCTCACGGTAAAGTAAATCAAAGTTTAATACCTGACAGATGAGTACTTGACCTCGAGAAAAAGCACGCAACTTCCGTTATAATGGTCCGAACAAATATAGCTCCGTACGAACTGATAGTTTACTTTGGTTCCGAAGCAGAAAAATGTACTAAAATAAAATAAACTTTTAACATACAAACACAAAACACACAAAAATAAAATAAAATAAATTTAAATTAAATACAATTAAATTAAATTATTAAATTAAATCAATAATAATAGTTATTATTAGTAGTAGTAGTAGTAATAGTAGTAGTAGTAGTAGTAGTAGTAGTAGTAGTAGTAGTATTAAAGGGACAATGTGTAGTTTTTAACATTAATCTCTGGAAATATCCATCAAAATGTTGAAAATGAATTAAATGATGCCCAGTTGTTGAAAAATATTGGCGGCTTCTTAAAATGTAACCATAAAAATCAGGTCTAAAATACATGGGAGTGGGTCTTAGTCTCTGGATGACACCATATTAGGGGTGTTTTTCAGTGCCAAGGAACTTCGCCTTGATGTCTTAGTTCCGCCCTGGTTGCCTAGGAGATACGTCATCAGGAGCCACCAAGACGTGTTCCATGTTCATGTTCTACCGAGGCGTGTGTTCTCCATTTGTTAGCCGTTTAGCTAGCTGAGCAAGGATACACGGAAGGTGTCTTGTAGCCTTGCCTTGGTCAAAAATTTCCCAGAATTCACTGCAGTATTTTCAAAAGGATGGTGGATCAGAAGCCGGCAGCCATGTCAGGGGCAAATTTCAAGTTTAAATGTAAGTCAACTGATTTAAAATTTTTTTTTATAGATCTTACGAAGTTATCTATGGTTGGTTAGTTGCTTAGTAGTTGCAGCTTCGATGGCTAGCTGGTAGAAACTCGCTTAGATATTTAATTTAACAAATATATCCACAATTTAAAAAGTAAAAGTCTCATTATATATTTATATTGAAACTTATACATATAAAATATAACGTTATCTCCCGTGTCACGTGACGTTATGTGATGTAAGTCTGTTCCATTTAACCATTTTCTTTGACCAAGGAAGGACAGTGTCCTCGTAAGCAAGGCGCCTAGCCTCACAAGACATCACCTCGCAAGGCCAGGTGTCTTGACATTGACAAACCCTAGATGTCATGTTTCCTTCTACGGGAGCCCTTGCAAAATACATTTACTGGTTTGTAACAAACGATTACAAAACTTTCACCATTCATAAACTAGTTGCCAGCGATGAAAGGGAGTCTGATGCTTGTTAAATTTTCAGACGTTTGCACTCCCCATTGCTTTTGGACCCTAATGGGCCCCCGTTGGTAAGGTCTTACTCCAACACAAAAGTACAGCTTGCTAGCAACAATTTAGGTATCTACTGCCACACACTGTGCTGAACATGACGCAAAGAAATGAGACAATAGGAAACATTGGAAAACAAACAATAAAAATCAATAATTGGTAGATAAAAGATAGGTAAAAATAGTCTGCTGTCCCAAGAAGAAGAAGAAGAAGAAAAATAAGGAAGGATTTTTACATAGCAATACATTTCACATAACAATAAATAAAAAGAGGTCATAATGAAAACAGTAAAAAAAGGTGAAAAATTAGGGTTCAAACTGAGAGTAAAAATTTTAAAAGTTAACCACGGGGCCTGAAGAATGCAGGAATGACAGAAACAGCAGCATGAAAAGATGAATGCCATGCAACCTTCAAAACAGTAATGATGAAATTATAAAAGCCACAAATGCCATAATAAATTTAAAAAATAAACTCACTAAGTAAAGAAGATAGATCTAACCAACAAATTGATCTTGTGAGTACATATCTTTCTATGATTGCTGATACATTGAGATGAGCTATAGCAAATGGTTGGAAGACAAAGACTAGAATTTTGAATTCAATGTTGTTTTTCACAGAATGTAACGTGTTAAGTATTGGAGATATATCCAAAGATAAACCTTGCTGCTGTGTTTAGGACAATCTGCAGTTGTGAAAGTGCAGAGTGACTCAGTCCAGCATAAAGTGAATAGCAGTAATCTAGCCTTGATAATACAAAAGCACGTGCTACGTTCTAATTCTTTTATGAGAACACTGACCTAATCCTAGACAACTGCCTAAGCTGAAAGAAGCAAGAACCGACCATTGCATTAATTTGGGAGTAAGATATCAGTGCACAATCTAACTCCCCACCCAAATTTGAAATAGCATTTTTCTCATATGGGACAAGTGATCCATGGTTTGCTGCTGGTGCTCATTGTTGGTTAAAAAAAAAAAACTATGACATTGAATTTGAAAACCCCAAAAATTCAAGGCCAACCACGAGCGCACCTCTTGTATGCAGTCCACTAAAGGTTGAATTAAACCTAATAACCCCCGATTTGACCGACAGATAAATCTGGCAGCCATCTGCATACAGGTGAAGTCTGACGTGGAAGCAGGTAAACAGAGGCACATCCCTGAGGAACCATTTCAAAGGAGGGTCCTCAAACAAACAAGCATCCATTTATGATTTACACACTAAATGTCTAATAATGTCTAATGTCGATAAAAATAGAACTATGGAGTCATTTTATTTTATTTTACAACATAACACAACAGTGAAAACAAAATGGCATTTCTCTCCTGCAGTTTTTGGATTTGCCACAAAGACGTACAAGACTTGAAAAGAAGGAACGTGGAGAAATGTGATCAATTTGGCTTCAAAAAGTTAAATACAAAAATAGGAAATTTAAGCTGATTTCTTTATTTTAAGCAAAAGTTTTACGGTAAATGCTACACTTTTAGATAACTATACGCACGCGCGCGCGCACACACACACACACACACACACACACACACACAAATACACTTGTATATTTGTGATGTCTGAAAATAATGTCTTCTCGTGCAATTTAACGTGCTTTACCAGTTTCATTTATATTTTATAAGAATGGACATGACTTGTGCAATTGATGCTGGAGATATTTCGGTTTACTTTGAATTTAAGTTTTCTACTATGAGAGACTTGTGGCTAAAATGACCGCATCGTGGTAGTTATAGCAGTTTGATGCAGCTGAAAACCTACTGTAAAGAACTGGTGGTGTTTTTGTTTACGACAGTCACATTCACTGAAAGTAGGTCATGGAAAACGAAACGAGCTGTGCAGCCTCTTCACTAGTCGTGTGTTAAACGACATTATAGTTCGAAGAATCAGGAAACGCTTTCTGTTTTTAGACTAAACATTTACCGTAGTTTTGTATCGCTCGTGGCCGATAAAACACAAATAACGTAAATCAGTGTTTGTTTTTCATCCACGGTTTATAGCAGCCAGCGGCAGCTAGCTACCGACGCTAGGTCTTTTTGTGCATCTTCAGGTATGCTACGCTACGCCAAATGTTTAGTAAATAGCAAACTACGCAGCTGTTAGTTTTTAGATGTAATTAACGAAGTAAAAATTGTCATGTTACTGTTTTGTTCTAGACTAATATTTGTGTTTTGCGTGATAATGCCCAAACTAATCTGAGGAGCTAGCTGCGAGTGTTAGCATGCTAAAGTGGCTAATCGAGCTACAAACGTAAACATCTAGTGTTTGCTGCTAATGTCAGAGATTTGATCAGATTACAGGTATCATTATAGCGTTATTTTGTCCTGCTGGGGTGTGTTTACTATAGTTACAAAGGGACAGACTTTATTTATGTTTTGATGTTCGCTGGTTCAGATTTAGCCTTAAATTACACAGGAAAATATCCTGATTTATTGTAAGATAGAAAATAGATGCATACTTGGAAAAAAAGCAGTGCGTCTTCTTAAATACTGTTGTTGATGTTGTTCATTTTTATGTGATTATCTTTAAAACGTTATGTCATATATGTTTTTGCTGCTGTGTTTCACTGCCTTTGCTGTTTGATTTTCTGATGGAAGATCTGATGATAAGCAAATTTTCGTAGAAACAAACCATAAAACCAGATTATCCTGCTGGAGAAAAACAGATTTGCCATGAGCAGCAAATGTGTGTAAAACTCAGTCATGTTTATTAAATCAGAGCCTGTTTAGTGTGGGAAAGAGCAAAGCAGTTATTAATAAGAATACAAGTCAAATCTTCATGGATACTTCTCAGAACGGTCATGTTGTGTTGTTGGTTTTCAGCAGCTGGACTAATGCTGTGCTTCAAACATCTGGACTGAACTGCCACTAACTGACAACCTCCTCAACTTACTGCCATGTCCAGACGAAGCAGGAACAGTCGTGCATGGCGATATGTTTGGGATGGGATACGGCGGGATGCAGATGCACGAGCCCTTGTGTTGGCCTCTGAAGCCGAAGAATGGAACTACGACCGCCTAGAGGTATGACACAACAAGTTAATCCAGTCTGAACGAGACACTTGTCACGGTTTGTCCCTGCTGCTGGTTAACATCTAGCTGTTGTTCTCAGTACAGTGATTCAGACTCGGAGGCAGACTGCTCAGCAGTGATGATTCCCAAGGTTCCCAGTGCAATTCCTGTTATTGGAGAGTCCTACTGTGGCTGTGATTCCCAGGCAGAGACCAGTTACAATCTCCGTCTTCGGGGATTTCACCAAGTTAAAGACTGCCACTGTGGAGAGGATGATCAAGGTAAAAGGAAAATGCCTAAATTCTAAGGATCACTGAAAGGGTAAGCAAATGTGTCATAAAATCATTGTCATGACATTCTTTGATGTCTCAGATTTTGACTGGGTTTGGGATACCAGCAGCCGATCAACAGCAACTTTACTGAGCTTTGACAATCGCAAAGTTAATTTCCACTCCGACTACAGCTGTGGTACAGCAGCGATCCGAGGCTTGAAGGAGCTGGCTGAGGGGCAGCACTTCTGGGAAATCAAGATGACCTCTCCAGTGTACGGAACAGATATGGTAAGCCTTTTACTCTGTGCTTTCTTCAGACCACCAGTCATCTGTCACTAAAAGATTTGCTCCTGAATAGATGGTTGGTATTGGAACAGCCGATGTCCACCTTGACAAATACAGACATACGTTCTGCAGCCTACTGGGCAAAGATGCAGACAGCTGGGGCCTTTCTTACACTGGTGAGATCAACACTGAAGCGATCTAACAGCACGGGCCAAACACAGATCAGGCTGAGCATGCTGTTCTTTCCCCAGGCTTGTTGCATCATAAAGGGAAGAAGATGAACTTCTCCTCTCGTTTCGGACAAGGATCCATCATTGGAGTTCATCTGGACACGTGGCACGGCACCCTCACATTCTTCAAGAATCGAAAGTGTATAGGTGAGTCCAGACATCTGTCATCCTGGAAACACTTTGGTGTCTTGACTAATAAAAATCACTGACACAAATTCTTGTTGTTGACATTTTGATCCATCAAATTAATGAAAACTAAATTGGAGACATAATCATCTCACTTCAACATTATCGAGGGTTTTGTGATTAGTTTTATTGACGTGTTGTGGCAGGTCATGCTAACATGATTTTATATTTACGAGGATTGCACCAATACCAGTATTGGTATCGGACCAATACCGACACTGATGTGTGTTCCTTTGTACTCTTACTCGTAAAAACTGCCCAGATAATACACAACCTGATACTGATCACATGGGTCCATCACGGTGGACGTTACCGGAACAAATGGAGAGGAGATGGAAAAAATATCGGTTGTAAATACCTGTCCAGTTTTATTTATCGAATTGATACCGATATGTTAAAAAATGACTATCATCGTCCGATACCGATATTGATGCCAATACATTGAATCAGGAGAGAAAGACATGCTGTCAGACTTGATTCCAGTCATTTTAAAATGAAAGAAATCCACTTTTTTCTTGGTCTTGTTTCTCCAACCTGAGGTCGCTCATACCGTTCTATAGAAACCCACATTAGAGCTACTATCAATAACTTGTTTGTATTTATTAGGGCTCTGCTCTAACAGAGGTTAACACGATTCCCGTTCTGGTTCAGGTGTTGCGTCCACAGAGCTACACAACAAGCGGTTTTACCCGATGGCCTGCTCCACAGCGGCCAAAAGCAGCATGAAGATCATCAGGTCCTGCTCTGCCCCAACCTCTCTGCTCTACCTGTGCTGCGCTCGCCTCCGCCGCCTGGTGCCCGACTGTATCGACACACTGGATGTGTTGCCTCTGCCGCCGGGCCTGCGCCAGGTGCTCCATAACAAACTGGGCTGGGTGCTGAGTCTAAACAGCGGCACCGTGGTGGGAGAGACCTCGGACAGGCCCGGGAGGTCCCAACGCTCGCCTGCAGCTCCTTTGGCTGGACCGTCTTATTCTGAGAGTGACTCAGAGGAGTGCACGTCCGACCCCGAAGCCTGTCAGAGGAAACGATGTCGCTGGACGTGACCGGACAGCTGGAATCCATTCCTCCTGCAGAGGCATCCCACCTCCGTCCCTGTTAGCCAGAATTAAAGGAAAGGCTTGATTTAATGTGTTTCTCTTCTGATGTGGTAACAGGAGCCTGCTCTCATCAGCATCTAAACGGTTTCTCTTCATAAGCGAACATGCTGGATTCGAGTGGGGTGGGGGTGTAAGTGTCACACGAGCCTCTAGTGAGGCCAGACTCATCACGGTGTAATAAAGGCAGAAAGCTTCTTTGTCCTGTATGCAACTAATAAATGGTGTTTTAATGTTAACATAACCAAAGTAGGCTGTTACCTGTTTCTGGCTTCTGTCATACTTTTATTCTGTAAGTAAACTTAAATGGTCTCCTAAATGTTACGAGAACACTGTTTTAGTGTTGTATGACAACTAATCTTTACTGTGTCATAAATAATCTGTAATACTTTTGTTTGTTTAGGATGTTGCTGCTTCTCTCACGTCTGTGGAGCATATCTCACTTTGAGTAACTCACTGTTTTTAAAACCATATTAAATTGTGATTTATTTTTTAATGCTGACAATTTGAACCTTTAACCTTTGTCTTATTTATGCAAAGGTGTTTTATGATCTCTTAAACACTTGTTTATTTTTTGCTGCTTTTCTCAGATTAGGTTAAGATAATGAATCCTTAAGGGTGCATTTTATAACCAACAAAATAAAATTATGTTGAAAGAAACCTCTCAACTTTACTCATGTAACCTCCATGTTTTTTTATTTTTCACACTTTGACTGTAAATTTGCAAAAAGACGAAGAAAAACAAGGCTTGTGAACCTTTCTGTATATTCAGGATTTTAACTCATAAAACTCATGAAATGTCTTTTTTCCTGACCTGATAAATAAACCAAGTAATCTCTGTTTGCTGCTGTTGACCACTGAGTCCACTGATCTCAGGCTCAGGGGGAGAGTTCCAGAGTCTGGGGGCCACAGCAGCAAATGATCTGTCACCTTTGGTCTTTAGCCAGGTGCTGCACAACCAGTAGGCTTTGGTCACTGGACCTAAGGGAGCTGCTGGGGGTGTAGGGACTAAGAAGATCACCAATGAATGATAAAGCTTGTCCATGTAAGGCCCTAAAAACCAGAACCAGGATCTTGAAATGAACCCTGAAGATAACCGGCAGCCAGTGAAGCTGGAAGAGGCGCGGGGTGATGTGGAGGTGCTTTGACGATTTGGTCAGAAGCTGTGCTCAGGCATTCTGAACCACCTGTAGACGTTTGAGGGAGGTTTTGCTCAGACAGGTGAAAAGCAAGTTGCAGTAGTCTAGTGTGAGATGAAAAGTAGAGATCCCAGCACAGAACCTTGTGGGACACCATGAGTGAGGGAGGTGGTGGAGTACCAAAAATTGGGAGATGGCCACAGGAAAGGAACCACTGCTGATTCATTCCTTCTAGAGTCCACTACAAATGTATTAAATGAGTGAACCTCACCTTTAAACTTGGTAGGAGCACCAGGCTTCCTTGGAACGTGCCTGAAATGCTGAAATATAGGGGGATGGAGAAATTATCGGCCTGATACATCAGCCAACCGATATATCGGTCTACCCCTAGCTGAGATGAATACTGGAAACAAAAAGCATTACTCTGGTATCGTATTATTTAGGACTTAAAATGATAGTGCAGTCAATAATCCTCTTGCAGCGGAAAACTCCACAGATCACTGCAACGCCAGCTAATAAAATAAAACTAATGCAACAATGTTTTGAAGGAGGTTGTGTTTTATTTGGAAATCTGACAGGCATGGCTGAACAGAGAGCTCTCACTTTAAACAAAAAATAAGTTAAATAAAATACAGCAGCACTACAGGTAAACAATACTAGTGTCTGAGAATGTCATATCAAACATAAATACACTTGCACATGTATTGCACTCAAGTCTCTCAAACACACACACACACACACATCGTGTCAACTCCATGTGGACGTCTTCCAATAATATTCACACTAAATCCAGAGGAATTCTGAGCATTTAGAACAACAACCCACAGTGCAAATAATCTAACTTTACACAGATAATTTATAGATTTTATGTATATAGGGTTTCATTAAACAGTATTCCATTTAGACAGTTTCAAAATCTTCAAAGCTTTCCATAAATAGTGAAAAAAAAAAACGTCTGAAAATGGTCCCCAAAAAGAACATGAAACAAATCAAATAAAACACTAGTGTGTACAACTTTTCCAGCAGTCTCAAAACAGAAAACAATTAAAAACCACCCAAAGAAAGGAAAGGAAATGAGACAAAAGTCCATCGGGAGGGATGGGTCAGAGGGGTGAACGCTGATACTCACTCACAGCACAGACTGGTTACTACATTTACCGAGGGTGGGAGGACTCTGGATCACTGCACAGGTTAAGATTAGACATATCAGGCAGACTGTCCACACATCATCTCACAACAAACAGTACATGTTCATGCCTGTTCTGCACGCACGAGACCTGACACGACCGGATGGCTTCAGACAAAATGGAACAGATCACATCTACTGGGAACAGAGCCGTCCACACGGACAGCCGTCATACTGCTGTCGCCATCCCATCCTGTCAGACCCACAGGGTGTCATGGATGTAGGTGTTTTGTTCTCGCTGCTCTGATGTGGAATGAATGAGATGGTGCTGGATGGAGACACTTATTTTGTAGATAGGATGAGGGCCACGATCAAGCCGTAAAGACCCAGCACCTCGGCGAAGATCAGGATCAGAATCATGCCCACAAAGAGCCGAGGCTGCTGTGCAGTGCCTCGCACTCCGGCGTCGCCCACGATGCCGATGGCAAACCCGGCTGCCAGACCGCTCAGGCCCACGCTCAGACCGGCGCCGAGGTGTAGGAAACTCCTGATGGGAGGGAAAAAATTATCTGTATGTAAAAACAAACGTTTAACCAATCTTACCCTGAATTTATACATTTTAAACTGAATTACTGTCTTTAAATGAAGCAAACATTAAAGCTACTGTTCATTAGCTTCTCTGCTCCAACACACCTGATTCAGTGGCCAAGTCACCGGTTCAGCAGCTCATTAAGCTCTGCAGAAGCCTGTTAATCACTCGCTGATTAAAATCAGCTGAGTTGAAGCTGAAAAAGGACTAAAATAGGGCTGCTCGATTATGGCAAAGATGATAATCACGATTATTGTGACTGAAATTGAGATCACGATCATTTAGGATGATTTTTCAATTTATGTTGATTTTATTTGTTTTTATTCAGTCATAAAATTGCTCAGGGCACAATCAGGACAAAAATAAGAAACAAGATGATCACTAAAATAACTCCTGATTCCCAGTATAAAAAGACCAATATACTTATAGCTCATAGTCTAGGACCCAAGGGCTATAGACCTTGGTTTAACTCATTTAAGTCTAACCAGCACAGACCCAAATCTTGCAAAGACTGACAGCAAGAATTATACAGTGGCATTTATAACAAATAAATGCAAATAAATGTTCACAAAATGTTGCATAACATTTATTGAGTCGTGTCAAGGTGCTGTAGGAGAGTGCACTAGCACCGTGTCCTCAGAGAGATTAGTTAATATTTATCAGCGTGAGGAACTTATTTCTACCTTATTTATAAACTATTTATTTACAGGTCCATCAGTTAATGTAATAATTGTCCCAACCACAGCTGCACCCCCCACCCTCCAACCCGGTCTCACAGCAATCGGGGCAAGCGGCACGTGTGTTTAGCACGCCGCACACGCACATTTAGCCGTTTTTAGTGGCTCAGGAGTCCGCAGGTGCGGTGTGTGTGTCACTCACTCTGGTTAGTCCAACAGGGAGCCGGCTCCGAGAGCTGTCTTTAGCGACTGACACATCACTACATCATTCCCTTTCCTAATGTCCTGAAGAACGGTCCGGAGCGCAGGCGGAGTGTTTAGCTAACCTGCAGGAAATGTCGACGACAGTTATCCAGAAAGTAGCTAAGGGTTACCAGAGATGTTTCTGAGGTGTTCGCTAGGTACTTTTAAGTTAAAAAGCGAAGAAGGGGGTCTAAAAAGCTGCTAGAAATAGCGTCAAAGTCGCCAAGTTGGCAACACTGTGGGAGGAGCGCTTCATTTGCAACTCAGGGCAGCGCAAGCGGGAGGAGCAAATAATCGGCTTGTTTTGTTTTTTATAATCGTTCAAAACTCAGATCGTAATCGTGATTAAAATTCGATTAATTGAGCAGCCCTAGACTAAAGCATGCTGATAGGAGCCCTTCCGGACCGGGGTTTGGACTTTTACCGGCTTTTCTAGGGCCGTGCGATCTGATGATAGAAGATCGTTAAGGATTATAAAGTGATGATGATCGACCAAAGCTCGGAGATCGTAGGATTTGCGTTCTATCACCTGTACCATTATTTCTGGACGCGTCCACGGGCACACATTTTTTCTCAGCAGAGTCGCACTGTTTGCTAGTCTGCTTCTGACGGCACGACAGACACACCCATGAACCAATCAGAGCAAGTTTAAGGCAGCGTGTTGGTTTGTTTAGCTTGGTAGAGCTGAGGAAAATCATTTAATACAAGATGTATTAAGATGCGGACATAAACGATAATGAATCTTTGAAGAAGCACAACATACTCGATTATAGCAGCTAGCATTAGCCGCTACCTTGTTCAGTATGTGGCAAGGTGGATACATGAGGGCCCGGGCGGGATTCGATCCCCAGACTCCCGGGTGAGAGTCATACGCTCTAACCAGTCAGCCAAAGGGACATCCCCTTGGCCAAGTAGCCAGGGCGCATGATCAATCGGGACATTGTGACAGGACACTCACACTGTCACAAGTATCTCGCGGTCATTACACGTATTCTCACGCGTCTGCTCGATCAGGGAGACTCTGGGTCAACATTCTGCTCTAAACTCTGCATTTGGCTTTGTGGCTTTTATTATTTGTGGACGTTTGTGTGCGTTTTGGCAAGCCTTCACACCGTGGCTGCCGAGCTTTGTTCATGCTAAATCCCAGCCTGCGTAGTCAGGAAACAGCTATGGGGAGCAGTGAGGCACAAATAGAGTGACAGGGAGTGTATTTCTGACAAGAGGATGCACGAGATGAGGATGCACCATGAATTTAGCTTAACATGATGATTTTGTTCTCTGAAAAAGAATTAGTGGTAAAATTGTGGATGATGGGGTATGAGCCACCCCTCGATGGAATTAAAATTATTTTACATTAATTATAAATATATAATTAAATTAAAGTGCCTGTGGGACATTAGCTTTTAACTCATTTACTGCCAGCCGTTTCCTGATCAGAAAGCCCCTGACTGCCAGTGCTTTTGAGCGTTTACAGTTTTTGAAGAGTCACAGAACATCGTGCTCTATGATCACGTCAAAACACCAAAACTACCAAAAGAAAGCGTAAACTCACTTCTTACATCAGGGAGAATCAGCTTGTTTTTAGCGTTATCCGTTTTTTATAAAACATTGTCGAAGCGTGAGTTGCAGACGCCTTTTCTGTTGGTGCCTCGCTTTTTTCACAGATGCTTCATGGATTTTGTGCTTCCCGATCATGTGACGTGTGACATCCGCGGATGAAGATCAGCTTTAGAGATGTGATGTTAACTCTTACGGTTCCCAGGCCCACCCTGGTAAAAAATTCAATTGACTACTTTAGGCAATTGAATTTAATCGTCAATGGCAGTAAATGAGCTATTAGACAGACAGACGTTGGAATTTTAAGATTTTTTTAGGATTCTGAAATCTTTTATTTGATTTTCTGTGAAGACGTATGCTTTTAAACTGATGTATTCCTGGTAAATAACTCCCAAAACATCAGAATTGTCAAAATAGAAAAAAATCGTGATAGTGATTTTACAAAAACAAAATCATATGATTTTTTCCCCACATCGGTCACCCAGCGGCAGACAAACCACACAAATCCGATTCCATGAGAACACTTTAAAACCTCTACTGCTTCCTACACAAAGACGCCTTGCCAAGGTACAAAATGAACTCCAAACAGAACATGGGTACAACTCCTAAGTTTTAAACCGTAAATGACAGCAGAATGGGACATTCAGTCCGTTACTCTTACCATTTTTTAATTCAGTTTTAAGTCGAATCATTGTCTTTTTCTGATGGGGATCTCTCCTCCCTCTCAATCGCGTTTACAACCTCTACGTCTCCTCTACTTCAGCAGTCACTAGCCCGATCTTTATGTCAATGTTTCTCTTATTCTTTTGCCCCCAAGAACAACACAGGGATTGCCCTCATGAGCTGAGGACGTGGTGTGACCAAATGGTTAATTGAGGCAGTTCCTGTATAGTGAATGGACACAAGCACCTGGGTATGCACAGGTGGGACTTAAGACGATTGCAGAGGAACGTGTGTACGAGTGGCCACGGCATGTTTCATGAATCAGGATTTTGGCCGTTCGTATGAACATTCCTTTTCTTCCTGGCTCTCGCAGAGTACAGAGTAGACACTTCTCTTTTTTGCTCCCTTATCTTTTTTTCCCAAGGCTCTTTGTCCTGTCTGCCCACAGAGCTCTTCTCTGCATTTCTTCTGAAAAACCCTATTTTTAACCATGGATTTGATAAGTTGGTCATTCAACGCAATCGATAAGATTTTTTCAACAATGAGAACGGAGCAGGGGGCTCCCACATGCCCACAGGGGACACACCCAGCGGGATATATGCTGAATTCCTGGAGGGAATGGAAGATCATATGCCTCTCCCAGCTGTCCACTGAGGACGTCAAAGACATGTGGATATTCGGCCTGATGATCACTGGATTTCTCCTGATTGGAGTGGGAGGAAATCTAGTTTTCTGGAAATTTGGGAAGACGGGAGCGATTGGGAGGGCGACCCGCACTCACGGAAAGCACCGTCCGTGTGGAGACCTCACAGACTGGGATGCTACTCGAGGTGAATCTTAAGCTGGACAATGTTCTAGCTGCGATACCGGTATTAGTGCGCAAAATGGATGTCATCTCGGAGAGAGTCACCGGACGGTATGGACAAGTTTAAAAACCCAAATTGGCTTCACTGAAGGACTGGAATGAAGGACAGTTTAAAGACTGAAGGCAGAGAGGAAAATTATCTCAGCCTGACCCAAACAAAGTCTTGTTATCCGAATCGGACGCCCGAGCAGCCTTGAGAGGCTGGCAACAAACCCCCACGAAGGAATGCAGACAGATGCTGTGAAAACCCGACCCCCCCCCCCCCCCCCCCGCGCTCGGATTGGTGGACTTCAGCCTGGCGAGGTCATCAACCTGCAGGAGTCAATGTGCTCTGCGCTTCTCCCAAGATCTCCCTCCCACCTGTGACTGTACAGTAGCTGAGCGCCGTAGATGGCTACTCTCGCTGGGGGAAACAGGATCCCCCCCCCCCCCCCCCCCCCCCCCCCCCCATTGGAGTCTCATGTTATTTTGTGTTGTCTGAAGTCTGTTGCATATCCGTCTGAGGTGTTTTTTTGCAGAGCAAAGCTGCCCTTCTGGTGGGAGGGTAGCTGTGAAGTGCTTTTTTTCCCTCCACCTGAACAAATCCTCATGTAACCCTCTGATCTCTATTAAGGTAGCGCGACTCGGGTTGCGAATGACCACAGTCACCAATTCTTGTCATGTGTCTTGCCCATGTATGTCTGATCTCTGAATTGTGTGTACTGAAACTCTAATTTCCCTCTGGGATTAATAAAGTATCTTTGATTTGATTGATTTGAATTTCTTTCATAGAAAGGAATATTTCTTAGCCTAGTGAACTAGACCAAATTCTTGCTTTGCAAAGTTTGGTCTAGGCATGCTCCACTGGAACCTCCGCAGCTCCTACCAGGACTCTGGCTAGCCAATCACAGCTCTCTAGAGGGGTTTCAAACACAAAGAGCTGTGATTGGTCCATAACGGTCGCCCAATCATAGTGCTCTATCTGCTTAGTGAACAAATCACAGAGCTTTATCCGCTTTGTGGGCCAATCAGGGCACTCTATATGCCTGGTGGGTGGGATGATGCAACAGAGTGAAACAAGAGTATGTCACATTCATTGTCCAGTAGCATGCGGAGATCATTTGAAAGACAACGGTAGAACCCGCCCCAAAACCGAGAGCCGTCAATGGAGCGTTGCCAGACTAAATAATACATTTATTTAGTCTGGCTTGCCAGGCTAAATATTTCTATGAATGTTTGATGAATGTTGGATCTTGCTTCTTGTCAGCTGACTCACTTCTCCACTTGTTATCAAGAGGAAATTGTTAAGAAACAGCCTTGTGACTACAACTATTTGTTACCCCCCCCCCCCACACACACACACACAAAACAACCTTTTACAGACTCACTCGTGTATTTGATTTGAACCACCTGGCTGCGACTCGACCCCTTGTTATTCCTGTGCACACTACTTCAGCATTCTGGATCGTTCCAAATTAAATAACGTGATAAAATCATCTGAAGTTGTTTTCATCTCACATTCAAGCCTCACAAGAGGATGAGTGTTATTCTCTCCTCACAGATAAACTCAAGGCGTTTCTTTCGTATGGGGTTATTAGTTCTGAGATGATCTTACTTGTACAGAGTGACTCTCTCAGAGATGTTGTTTGCTATCAGCACAGCTACCACCAGCCCGTAGATGGCGATGATACCAGCCATGACGACAGGGATGATGGACTTCATGATGAGCTCTGGTCGCATCACAGACATGGCGGCGATGCCTGTGCCGCTCTTCGCCGTCCCATACGCTGCTCCTAATGCTGAACAACAGCACACAGAGGACAAGGCACTGAGCTTCATTTGTACTTTAATTCAGACACGTGGTGTTAAAGTGCTCCGTAAACACGAGATAAAACGATGAATAACCTGCCACTTCTCTGCTTGACTAATAAACACACAGCTACACAATAAAACAACTAGGGTTGTCACGGTAACCGGTATAGCGGTAAACCCCGGTAAAAAAGTTGACAATAAAAATAACCGTCCAGTTTTTAAAAAACTATATTATCTCGGTGGGTTTACCGTGGCCGCGGTTTCAGCGCGGTGACCCTTACCAGCCACCGTCGCTTCAGCTGAAGTTCCCGCGGCGCGCACACGCACTTTTTAGTTTGCAACGGCACCAAAACTTTGAAGCTGAAATAATGGCCGAAGGAGGAGACGGCAGCGCCCAGGACATCCATCAGCCCTCAAAGAAGACTAACTCGGAAGCATGGGCATATTTGGGATTTCTGAAAAATGCTGAGGGACAATTAATAGAAGACTGCTATCCCGTTTGCAGAACGTGCAGGAAACAAGTGTCTGCAAAAGGTAACACTTCGAATCGAATGGCACATCTGTGTGACGATCACCCACGTCTCTACAGCCAGTGCAAGATAAGTTAACATTAGCATTTTAGCTGAAATGCATGACGTGAGGACTTTTGGTTGAGGGAGAATGCAACGAGTCACTATATACTGCAGCCGCAGCGTCCTCTGCCAGCATTTACACCGTGTCACGGACACCCTGTTGCTGGATGAAGCATCTTATTTGTTGATGATGAAGAGAAATATACAATTAGTTCCTTGTCATTGATTTGTTTACTTATTCAATGCCATTTATACTTGAACATTTGGATTTGATTACATAGTGTAGTAGTTATTTTAGTAATTTGTTTAAAGTGGCTATTTGTTTTAAATACATATTTTTTAAGGTTGACTTGTACAGCGCTCAAGTCAAGTGTGGACTGGAGTTTTAGATTTTCATTTTGATAATGAAGAAAACAAGTATATGAGAAAACAAGTGGTGTTTCTTTGATTTGTTTACATATTGTTTATGTTTTGAATGTTTGGATTTGTATAATTTAAACCTGCACTGACTACTGTAACATGTTCCAGAAAAATAAGCTATTTGTTCCTTTACTTGTGAAAAGTTGCACTTTTGCTAAGGCTTTGTGTTATTTTAGGTTTAATAAACACTGTTAAACATTTTCAAAACTATTTCAGTTTGTGTAGAACAGGACTATCAATGCTTTCTGAACATATGCAACACCGTTTAAAAAATACCGCGATAATACCGAAAACCGTGATAATTTTGGTCACAATAACCGTGAGGTTAAATTTTCATACCGTGACAACCCTAAAAACAACCATTTGTCTCTCTTCTTTTCTGTTCCATCATCATAATGCTCATTAGCACTTGCCGTATTTTAGCATCGCAGTCACCAGCCATAACTAGTGGGAGCCCATCTGAGTGCCAAACATAAAATTAGAAGAACGTTTCTCTGATTTCCTTTGCTATTGTTCACAGCGATTCCATTTATATACATGATGCAGACAAAAACACATTTTAAGTTACTTGCCATCCAGGATCCCCACCCACCTACTGTGTGTACCTAATGTCACATCGTTGGTAGCTTCTCCTGCGGTTTTCCTCTCACTAAGCCGTTATCACTGCTGCTGCACATCTAAACCAGACATATCGTTTAAAAATAATCGTCTCTGTATTAATCCCAGTTAGAGGGGGTATCATTTTTGTCTTCAGGCCCAATCAAAACAAGACAGATGACTTTGTTTTTTAAATCCTGGCTGGAACTATTTTGGTAAAAACGTCTCAAAAGAAACGAGGCTACATCCTCGTGTTTGACTGCAAAGCTAATACGAATGAGGTAACAGTGTAATGAAACTTGTCATTTTTGGAGTGGATGCCCGATTTTATTGGTACAAAGACAAGTTAAATCGGGACTCGATTACACCACGCATTAACATATAAATCAACTCAAATTGTTATCTTCACATCTCCAGTGGTCATTCGGCGTAATCATCCTTCATCTCATCCACATATTAGTCCAACTGATCAGAGATTTGTGCTTTATGATTGTTCCAGGTGACAGGGAATGTCGGTGTAAAAGTCCAGCTGTTTATAAACTCTGAGATAAAAATAAGAACTGCTGAGAAGACCATGAGCGTGGATTTTTTTGGGTATTAATTTTTAGTTCTAATTAATGAAGATGTGTGCTTTTATGGGTGTAAAAATAAACCGTTAATAGTTAAATGACAAAAGCATCAACTCAGTTCCCGTTGTATCGGAGTGATGCAGACTTTCGGTCAGCTGATCTCTTTGTCTTTAAGAGAAGACAAGGAAGTATACTTACTTTTTGTTTGTTTAAACAGTGTTCATTAATAAAAAATGAGCCACGCACTAATGCACGTTTTCAGTGCTGCCCCACACACTAAGAGGTAAAACACCTGTTTTTGGTTTCTTATCGACAAGATAAATAATCTGAAAGGCTTAAAAGTGACAGCTTCTTGCTAGATGGAATAAACGTAGATTATTTTTGAAAAGAAAGGGACATGAAATTTTGTGAAAGTTCATCTGTCCCAGTTTGTCTAAAACGAGTCAGATATGAGTCAAACACATATCAATGATCTTATGTCAATGCTGAACAACAACGGTGCTAAATGTACACACAGGAAACTTCAGCTATGCCTTTTATTTGCTTCTGCTCTAAGAGTAGTGGACAAACTCAAATATGAACCAGGATCGGGATGAGCTACTCTACATCCTGCCTGAATAAAAGTTTTAAGTAGGGGTGCACTGACCTATCGGCCTGATCTATTTTTATTTTTTTTCCCCAAACTGCAATCGGTGCACCCCTAGTTTTAAGTTTAGCTTTAAATGTCTTGATGTTTTGTTGTAAATCACAGAGCTGTTAAAAATACCTGCTGCAGTTTTTGACTTTGTCAGATCACCAAACTAATTTAAACCAGACATAAACTGAGTAAATGCAAAACACAGTTTTCCAATTTTCTAACTTATTAGGGGAAAGATCCAATCAAACCAACCTGGCCCCTAAACTGAACCGGTTTGAAAGTCTTTGGAGGCGACAGCTATAATCCAGCATTTGTGAGAATCAGCTTGGGGGGGGGGACCTCGGTGTCGGTACAGGATCGGCTCGGGGTCCTTCGACTGCTGATGACGTCACATTACTGCAAATCTACTCGGGGCACTCTTATTTGTTTAGCCAGTTTCAAAACAAAGGTCATGCATTCACCTTTTGGGATTTTTGCTAGAGAGCAGAATTCACAACTTTATCAGTTACAGCAAACGGTAAAGGTCCTGCTGCAGGAAAGCAGCCCCACACCACCACACTACCACCACCATGCTTGGCTGTTCTTCTGAAATGCAGCTCTAGTTTTTCACCAGATGTAACAAGACAAACACCATCCCCGGTCTCTTATTGTTGAATCATGACCTCTGACCTTCACCTTTGCCAAGTGATAACTAGAATTTTTCCAGATGCTCTGGGTTCTTGTGTTTTTTAATTTATTTAAAATGGGTCGTGACATGCTGCTTCTTAAGATCCTTTAGCCTAATTCATGTTAGTCAGAAAGGTTTTATTCAAGTGTTTTATTAACTGTACTGGTCTGGCAGTAATCGGGTCAGCGTGTGTCAAAAGAAACCAAACTCATGTTTCCAAATAATGTGGCAGTTATAGAACCAGGTTGGTTTGGACAGCTCTACATTGCCAACATTTTAAATTCACAAATCTTTCTCTGATGTTGTAAAATGTTTACTGATGTGAAACATTTAAGAGAAAATAAAAATCTGTAAGGAGACAAATGCTTGTTCACACCACTACGTAATAAATACAGATGAACGAACGAAACGTTTAAAATTATTTTTCCGCAAAACGTTATTATAGCATCAAAGTATTTCAAAATGATTTACAAAGACGTGAAAATACGGCAATTTAAGTGGTTTAAATGACTAAATGTTTGGATGTAATTTAAACAGGAAGACAAATTTGGGTCGGTGATCGTCAATGATTCACTTCTAATACTGAGGTTTAAATTTTGCTGAATCGAGTCACTCAACTGGAGTGTTCCCTCTGATTTTGGGACAAAAACACAATGAAAGCAGAATTTCTCTAATAGACTGGATGATTAGGGGATGAAATAATTAATGGATGAATGTAAGCCTCTGTACCGCTTCCCTTCATTTTTTTCCAACAGTAAACGTTGACTCTGTAAAAATGAGCTGACCATGATAAATGATGGCCTTCTCCGTGCTTTTTATAACTCCACTGTGGCAGATTGCCCCGGCCCAGAGAGCGATCACCCCGGTGATGGTCTGCGTCATAACCCAGCTTCAAAAGACACGATTAGAGGCTGACTTTAATAAAACCAGGCAGCAGGATGGAGGCAGCGGTAAAGATGTGGAGGACGCGCACGGCGGAACGCATCCCCGGCAGGTGTTCCAGCCACGACTCGGCCTTGAACCGAGGCGGGTTCTCTGAAAACGCCCATGATTCTTAACACCTGGCTTCTGACTCGACTGACTCCGCGTGAAGCAGAGGTGTCAAATGAAGGAGTTGGTGGTGTAGTTACCGCTGAAGACCATGGCCGCAGAGGCTCCCATCACAGCGAAGAAAGGCGAGTACTCGGGGCTCTCCTCAGAAGACATCCTCACACTTCTCTTGGGGCGTTAGAGCTACACCGTAGACTGTCCTCTTCTTTTGAGTGAAGGAGGGGGTTTCCTGTCCCACCGTCACCTCTGGAAAGGTTAAAACACAGCAAAGTGGCGCCACAAGCAGCAAAGGCTCTAGTGTAGAAAAAGAAAATGGCGAAGCGGAAAAAGTCACATGACCGACCATCTCGGAAGATCCCATTCATGCTAGCGCGGGGGTGCTCGTCTGGAAAGACCTACTCTTTAATTTTATCTCCAGATTAAGCAGTTGTGTTAAAACATGCACACTGAATTGTATTTTAAACACACATTATACACACCAAAGCATATATAATTTAATATATGTATTACACTAGTAGTTTGAACACTAGAACATAGTGGTAAGTTCTGCTGCAAGCACACTGACTGCAGCTGAGACGCTAGTCCTCTCTACACGCGCCGTCATATTAATTATTTATACAAAACGTTCTGTAAATTCAACCACGAACGAGGGATTCTCATTGAATTACCAAACACAAACAGCAAATTAATTATAAGTTCTGTTTTAGTGGGATGATCTGATCCGCTGGCATGAGATACAAACACGGAGTCTGTCAAGGTGACACCAATGAAAATGGGTGTTTCTGATGTCAACCAGAGGGATAAATCACCATCTGAACTGTCTGAATCTGGAGTAAGTGGTTAAGGGGAAAACAATATTATTTTTTAAAGTTTTAATTTTTACAATTTTTTAGAAATAAAATGGACAATCAACATTTTCATTTCCTGGTAGGTTGATAAAGAATTACAAAATGTATAATAAAACAGTAATTAATTAAAACAAAATTAATTAAATAAAACAGAATTACAAAAAATACAAGAAGGCTCGTAAAAGAATAAAATACAAAATGGAAAAATTAAAAAAAACTGACATCATTAATAAAATTTCCATCCATCCATCCATCCATCCATCCATTTTCTTCCACTTATCCGAAGTCGGGTTGCTGGGGAAGCAGCCTCAATCGAGACTTCCGGCCTAGACTTCCCTCACCCCAGCCACTTGGGCCAGCTCTTCTGGGGGAATCCCAAGGCGTTCCCTGGCCAGGTGAGAGACATAGTCCCTCCAACGTGTCCTGGGTCTACCTTTAGGTCTCCTCCCAGATGGACGTGCCCAGAAAACCTCAGCAGGGAGGCGTCCAGGAGAGGAAGAAGAAAAGAGGAAAATATCATTTCTATAGCGCCTCTCAAGATAAAAATCACGAGGCGCATCCTGACCAGTTGATGCCTTAGCCACCTCAATTGGCTGCTCTCAATGCGGAGGAGAGCAGATCTACTCTAAGCTCCTCTCGGATGACAAAGCCTCTCACCCTATCTCTAAGGGAGAGCCCAGCCACTTTTCGGAGAAAACTCATTTCGGCCGCTTGTATCCGCGATCTTGTTCTTTCGGTTACTACCCAAAGCTCGTGACCATAGGTGAGGAACGTAGATGACCGGTAAATCGAGAGCTTCGCCTTCTGACTCAGCTCTCTCTTCTTCACCACAACAGACCAGTACAACACCCGCATCACTGCAGATGCAGCACCAATCAGCCTATTTATCTCATGCTCCAGTTTTCCCTCACTCGTGAACAAGACCCCGAGATACTTAAACTCCTCCACTTGGGGCAGGACCTCATCCCGGACCCGGAGAAGGCACTCCCTTTTCTGAACCAATAAAATCTGATAATTGTAAATATAAGAAATCATTTAAAAGGACTAAGTAAATATTTCACAAAACACAACAGCTGAATATAAAGAAACTTTTATAAAGGAGCACTTCCTGGACCCAACTAGAGTTGGGGAAAAATAATTTCTGAGGCTAAAGACAATGGTTGGATTTCTGAGGCTGAATTTAGATATCTGGTTAATGAAAAACCCTAGAATGGCTTCATTTTATATGCTACCAAAGATACAAAAATGTCTTAAGAACCCTCCAGGGAAACCTGTTATCTCAGGAAACGAAAGCCTAACTGAACCAGTATCTAAGTACATAGACTATTACTTTTTTACCTTCTCCCGGCATTTGTGCAAGACACAACTGATGCTTTAAACTAGGTGGAAGAACTGCAAAATATTGGCACTGATACTTCTCTCGTCACGATGGATGTGGATGCACTGTACATCAGTATAGACCACCAACAGGGTCTTGAAGCACTCACACATTATTTGAGTATATGAAATGCCACCTACTGAGTTTTTTGGTCTCATTGAATGGACTTTTACTAACAACATCTTTGTGTTCCAGGACAAGATTTACTAACAGATAAATTCAATTCAATTCAAAAATACTTTAATAATCCCAGAGGGAAATTGATTGCTGTAGTAGCTCAGAATAATAAGTCGTCAGAGAGTTGTTGTATATTACAATGGCTGTTGGCAGGAAGGATCTCCGGTAGCGGTCAGTGTTGCAGCGAAACTGAAAAAGCCTCTGACTGAAGACACTCTTCCGTTGTCGGACAGTCTTGTGAAGAGAATGCTCAGGGTTGTCCATAATTTTCTTGATTCTCTGGAGAATCCTTTGCATTATCTCCTCCAGTGGTTCTGAAACTGCCGAAACTCTGGCTGAGTCCTTGAAAGGGCTTGGAGTTCCTCCATCTTGTTGTCCAGTGATCTCACATTGCCCATTATGATCGATGGAAGAGATGGTTTGAATTTCCTCTTTCTCTGTCTCCGTTTTGCTCCCACTCTGCACCCACACTTCTTGCGTTTTAGCTCATTTGGGATTTGTGGCTTCAGTTGAGGTAATATTTCAGCCTTTCCAATGTTAATCAGCTGCTCCCGATTGTAAACCAGACTGTTGCCATGGTTATGCATCATAACAAATGCTCAAAAAGTGAAAAAGCTTAAAAAATAGCAGAAAAATCCTCCAAGCTTCACAGCACAAGGGTGTGCCATGGGCGCTTGTTCAGGGGTGTGTCCAGGGAGTGGCCTGGGGTAGCACATGCCACCCTTGAAATATGATTGGCCACCCCAGGTGCCACCACACTAATTTACCTTTAAATAGGCTTTTCGTTGTCTACAAAAGGCTTGAGGGTAAAACAAAAAAGCATAACCATTGGTGCCACCCATGCAAAAAGTTGTGCCTCACCTGGGCCACCCCATTTTAATAGATCTAGACACGCCACTGGGCTTGTTATAGTCCATCATATGCAATATTTGTCCCTAGATACAGTACAGAGTGAACAAGTTCAGCAAATCATAAGAAATAACTGGGGTATCATTTTTAAGCCAGGTGTTTCCTGATCCACCTCTGGTAAGCTTTAGAAGATGTCCTACGCTACAAGATAAACTGGTCCATAGTTATCTAAAACCAGATTCCCAACAAACTTGGTTGAATACTAGACCTAGAGGTTGTTATAAATGTCACCACTGCAACCATTGTAGTAATGCTGTTCAAACTAAAACTTACAGACTTTTTCTCCCAAAAGCATTTTTGATTAATCATTTCATTAATTGTAAAACTACTTTTGTTATTTACAGATTGGAGTGTCCTGTGTGCAAAGTATTTTATGTTGGCTGAACCAAACGACGACTACAAGATAGATTGGCTGAACACAAATATACTATTCGCACAGGTAGCACTAACCAACCAATGGCAAGACACTTCACGGAACGTCACAACAGTGACCCGTCCACTTTACAGGCTTGTGGTATTGATCATGTCCCACAGTCTTTGAGACATGGAGACAGGCTGAGACAGCCAAATCAGAAGGAGACTTTTTAGATATTTAAACTGCAGGCTACTAAACATCCAGGCATTAACGATGACCTAGACTTTAGAGTTTTTCTTTGATTGGTTTAGTCTGTTTTAAGTGTTGCAGTTATTCTTGTCCCTTTTGCTCTTGATATTATAATTTAACTTCTATTGGATGCATTTTAACCATTTGTATATAACGGATGATATTTGGTGTATTTTATTTTATTTACTGTCTTTTTCTTTCTATTTAGTAAGGATGACACCTTCTTGTTTGTTTTGACACTTGTCACCTGTCTAACACATCTGCTATGTGGAACTTTCGGACTAGTGGCCTAGTGGTAGAGTGTCCGCCCTGAGACTGGGAGATCAGGGTTCGATTCCTGATCGGGTCATACCAAAGACTTTGAAAAAATGGGACCCAATGCCTCCCTGCTTGACACTCAGCATTACGGGGTTGGATTGGGGGGTTAAACCACCAAATGGTTCCCGAGCGCGGCTGTGTCTGCAGCTCACCGCTCCCCCAGGGGATGGGTCAAATGCGGAGAACAAATTTCGCACACACACCTGTGTGTGTGACAACTAATGGGACTTTAACTTTAACTTAACTTTCTGATTGGTGTTTGTTTTGGTTAAGAACCTCTCCTTACTGCTGAGAACTGTTTGACTCCCTGATGAAGGCTATATTCGCTGAAACGCGTTGGAGTTTAAAAAAAAGCCATATGTGACCTATCCATCACAATAAAGGCTTTTTAACTTTTTCTATCTGAGAATGCCTTGGAGTTTCTCTTGTGTTTTCACAACAGCTGAATATTGGAAAATGTAGTTAGTTTACTATATATTTTTTCTGCAAGAGGGAGCTGAATGTCCACGCTCTCTATTTCTGGTTTAGATTTTACAATCTACCCTGGTTACATCTCTGGTGATTTTTTTTTCATTTTGTTCAAAGAAAAAAAATCCTTAATGGGAATAAACCGCAAGAAATCTCAACCACAGGTGAAATTTAATTCAATCATGAAAAACAAAATAAATAAAAAGTACTAAAAAATAATGATTCTGTAAGGAAAAAACTTTCACATGGAATGTCTTTCATTGCCATCATGGACTAGCACATATCAACAGTAGGTTCATGGACCAGAAGAAATGTCAGAGTTTATAAGAGCAACTCAGGGTGGCTGTGACTAAAATGTAGCTCATCACCACCAGTGTGTGAATGACTGATGTGTTGTAGGCGGTTGTAGGACACAGGAAGGCCCTTTGTCAGTGGCACATTCACAACTGAGAGCAGCAGACCTCCCAGGTACTACCACATGTCCCCAAAGATTAAAGGGGCCAGTCTAAAGCCTTCGGTTGTCTCTCAGAAGGCCTTTTAATCAGTTCTAGTGAATCATGTGGTTTTACTGATACAGGGCTATTTCAGAAATGGATCAGGGAAAGATCACGCATGACTGTCAGTAGCTTCTACATCATGTGCTAAAACAAATACGTCACTAATACCATGTGACCGGATCCTGCTTCAAGCATGATCACAATTTCTCCACAGCAAAAAATACAGAATAAAAAAAACACCATGCTTTTGAGAAAAACTAAAAGCATTGAATTGAAAAGCCTAAATAATTTATGTGTACATTTTATTTAGAACAAGTTCCTATTATGTTAAACATTTGCTCTGACCTGCATTCTGCTCTTTAAAAAAAGGGTTTTTAAAAATACTGCTTAGTTGCTAGCTGCCAATAGCTCCAGTTGTAGCCAATTTATTAAATAATGTTGAACACAGCAAAATAAACTATATTTGTTGAGTTTTAATTGTTAAGGTAAATAGGCCAAGTATTCTCTTGCAAATGGATAAAAAGATTGATGGTGCAGTACCAACTTTAGACACTAGAGAGCAGCAACTCCCATATTACCAGCCATCCATTATCTGAACTCGCTTGTCCATGCAGGGTCACTGGTGCCTATCTTCAGCAGTCAACGTGCAAACAGGCGGGGTACACCCTGGACAAATTGCCATTGCAACACAGAGACCCACAGGACAAACAAACAACAATGCGCGCGCGCACACACACACACACACACACACACACAAAGGACAATGTAGGCACCAATTAACCTGGCAGTCATGTTTTTATGCCAAAGGAGCCAGAGTACCCGGAGAGAACCCACACATTCACAGGGAGAACATGCAAAATCCATGCAGACAGACCCCAGGCTGGGATGTGAACCCAGGACCTTCTTGCTGCAAGACAACAGCTCTAACCACTGTGCCACTGTGCTTATTATATTCTATAGGATTATAATAAAGTAATTAATATTTTGATTTCACAGATTGGTCACATCTTATTATTGACTAACACTTTGTTTGATTAGCTTTATTAAAAATAGAGTGATTTATTAAAAGAAGAGAGTCCTTTTCTTCATTCTTCTCTTGAGTTGGAGAGAAGCAGTTTAGAAGCAAATGCATGAGACCTTGAGGCCATATCTCATGCAGACTAGTTCTGTGTCAGAGGAGAGGGGGGAAATGACTTTTGGTGGGAAACAGTCATGTCATTCCGTTACAGTATTAAACTAACCAGCAGAAGTTGAGGCCTGAATTCATTTATTTACATCCTGGCTTGATGTTATTTTAGTCGAGCACGCAAATCACACCCTAAACATTACAACTGACTAAAACACTACAGTTATTTCTCCTGCTTATTTACGACAGGCAGCAAAAGTTATTTTGGTGTGTTAAAACGCAGTGAACTACAAAAGCTGGTCTCACAAATATTATGTCATCGAACCAGACAAGGAGGAAAAAAATGGTGTTTAGTGATTTCTGCATCCATCTTTTACTATGAAAGGAGCATTGACTGAGAAGAAAACCAATATAAATCTGGCCATGTGGTAAGTAGCAGCTACACTGGGGGAGAAGCAGAGGTCCTGCTGTGATGTTATACATGCGACGTCTGATTTGTAGTCTTTTTAATTATGAACTTTTACCAGCAAATAAATATCAAATTATGTCACAAACATAGTCAAAACACACATGATTATCATTTAAATTGAAGTACAGCATATGTGTGATTCAGGGCGTAAGGCAAAGCGGATCGGAAAATAACTTTTATAGCCCCGATGTTCAGGGGAGCCATGAGCCGACTGAAAGGGGAGGAGACTTAGGCTCCCTATAAAAGCAGTAGAGACCCACTTGTCAGAAAAAAACGATGCAAAAGTAAAGTTTTGCACATGTCCTCTTTAAGTATCCTGTACAAGCAGCAACTGGACTTTGTCTTGATTTGTGACATTTTGCCTTCTAATTCAGACTTTTTTGAGTACCTTTAAAATTGTTGCTGATGCACGTTGCAGTTTCCGATATTAAACCTTTCGGGCTTGTGACCAAAACACGTTAGTCAAAGAAGGAACATTTTGTGAGTTGGCTTGCATTAACTGAGCTCACAATTTAAAGTAACATTAAAAAGTATTTTAATTTCATCATTTTCCAAATCTGTTGCCCTTTATTTACTTTCTTTTGACTTAAATGATCAACCACACGCACTTGTATAGCGCCTTTCAGAGTCAGAGGACTCCAAAGCGCTTTACTCTACAGCGTATGATTAATCCATTCACACGCTGATGGTGATGAGCTACGATGTAGCCACAGCTGCCTTGGGGCGCACTGAGAGAGACGAGGCTGCCGAGCACAGGTGCCACCGGTCCCTCCAACCACCAGCAGTAGGCAGGGCGGGTTAAGTGTCTTGCTCGAGGACACAACAGCAGAATTCTGTCCGGAGCCGGGATCGAAACCTTCCGATTACTGGACAACCCGCTCAACCTGCTGAGCTACTGCTGCCCTGACATACGTCAAGCAAAAGATTTCATCCAGATTGCTGAAACCGTTTATTTAAATCATCTGAGTCTTTCACCTTTGGTTCGCACACCTGAAGTGTACTGCCTTAAGGCATGAAGCTAGAGCTTTAACATTGGTCTCAGCGATTGAGTTAGAAACTTGAACAATGTCATGTTTGACACAACTCTAGTCCTCTGCTGACCAACAGTTTTGTCGAGAGGGTTAGGTACTCTATATGTGGAACTGTTTACCTGCTTGTAATGCTAGCAGTTAGCATTTTCAGTTCGCCGATCATCAATAGAGCACAAGAAGAAGAAAAAGAAGTTAGCTTTTGTTGTTGGCATCATGATTCATGGCAGAGCCTGGAAGGAAAAGTAAGAGTAATGTCTTGGAGGTGACACAAAGAGCTAAAACCAGAGTGAACACTGGTAGGGCCTACACTAGTTTTAGGAAGCTAAAGGAGGCTATGAAATCAGACTGATGGTGACCTGGCTTTGTTGTTGCTGGACCTGTAATAATTTTTGCCCAACAAGGTGGATCATTGTACTTTGTAATTTATTTTAGTATTAGTTGGCTCATGTTAGCACCAACTACAGCAGGGTTGTTTACAACTGTTGTAATTCCATTTTCAACCAGTAGGAGGGAGGAGCAGGATATTGCGCTGTTACTTTAATAGCTTAGTAATCAGTCCCATGTTCTCCATTTAAACCCAGAATTACTTTCGATGACACAAACAACAAAACTCAAGTCACGTCATTTTACTGGCAAACTGTAGTTTAATGAAAGACTAGGTTAAAATAACACTTTAAAGAAAGCAGACATTTAAAAAATAAAAATCACCATAAATATGCTACATAATCCTAACCACACTTTGCACTAACACAATCAAGCTAATATGTCTGTACAGGCAGCTCAGTGTTAGATAGCACGCAAATGTATGAAGGATAAACCTCATTAGAACCAAAATAACAGGAAGTGAAGCCATCACATGTGAGCAGTGGACTAGCTAGAAGTGAATCGACTAATGCTTCACAACACGCCGCTAACACCTGCTTCATAAAACTCAAAACAGAGGACTCATTCTACAGACTCAAAAATTCTTGCAGGAGAATTCTGTTGAATTTAAAAATAACGAAGGAAAAAATAATAATAATAATCATAAATCAACACCCGATAGCCACGTCATTAATTTCACAATAAAAAAATATTGCCATTCATTAAAAATAAAAAGAGCTTGCCTGCTGCTCTGTACGTTCCCATTTTATTCCTACAAAGTTTACTCAAAACGATCTACCATTTCAACAAACCCCATTACTGAAACTCATTTGGGTAAAGACGCAACGATAAACTCAATCAGGGTGTTTAAGATCAAATTTGTTAACATTCACGGCCTCACCACCTCAATGCAAAACTGTTTAGTGATAACTATTGCATTTGATTTAAAACCCAACTCAGTCGGTGGTGCTTGTGTAACAAGAACACCCTCGCTTCCACACAAGCGTGCACACACACACACACACACACCCTAACCATACACTTATCAGTCCCAGAACAGCTATAACTGGAATAACAACCCCAGCACGTGTGCTGCTGGACAATCATGAAGAACAGAAGATAGATAAGGCATCACATGCTATTCTTAGCAAAGTTGTATGACATGACAGTGTGGCACAGCAATGGCTTGAAGGCTGGATGAGGAAGCTACACTTAAACCCTTGAGGGCATGCAACCTTTTTTTTGAGTCGTGAAGAAAAAACAAGTATTTTCCTTTTTCAGTCCCAACCGTTGTCCTTTATCATGTGGGAGAGCTCAATGATATACTTCCCCTCCTTGTACTTCTGACTGAGTTCAAAGGCCTGTTCCTGCAGACAGAGAGTGAAAACACACATTTAGATGTTGTTATTTGATGGTCTCAGCAGGTTTGAACTACACTAAAATATTCACTCAGAGATAAACATCAGGCTCTTTTCTAAATGGCTTGGAGCTAATTACACTAACCAAAGTCACCACCAGATGGCGGTGTTGACAAACCTGTGTTGGGTCATATTAACAAGAGTACTATATGTTTGTTACCAGGGGGTGGAAGCAGATTATGCAAATAGTCATACGACTTTTGTCAGCCTTGTTTTTAGCTCGTCGTTTCTTTTTATCTTAGGAGGTCCTTTCAACTTGAAGATGCTAGTCAAAGAAAATCCCGTGAATAAAAAACACGAACTAGCACGCAGTTGTCACATCAGTCCACCATCCAGCACATTTTAGATCAGGGCTATTGAACTCCGACCTCTGTCCAGCATGTTTATGTTTACTTATTTAGCAGACGCTTGTATCCAAAGCGACTTACAATTTATAACCTATAGGGCATGTTGTGATCTGTGGGGGAAACCGGAGTACCCAGAGGAAACCCACGCATGCATGGGGAGAACACGCAACTCCACGCAGAAAGGCCGCAGCCGAGTTTCGAACCTGCAACCTTCGTGCTGCGAGGCAACAGTGCTAACAACTGCGCCACCATGCAACATGTTTCAGTTGTGTTCCTGCACCAACACACCTGCCAGTTTAGCAGCGCTGATTCAAATCAGGCCTGGGTCCTGATGAAGTGGAAGAAGAGAACGCTCTAAAACGTGGAGGTGTGTCTGCTTCAACAAACTAGATATTAATTCAGTGGGTGATAAACAGCAGAGTTCTGCAGAGCTTGACGAGCTACTGAACAGGTGTAAGACGTAACAGGATGGAGGTCGTACAGGTACACAGATCAGAATCAGCTGTTCGGGACAAAAGAGGATAAAAAGTACCGTATTTTCCGGAGTATAAGTCGCACCAGCCATAAAATGTATAATGAAGAAGAAAAAAACATATACAAGTCACACTGGACTATAAGTCGCATTTTGGGGGGAAATTTTTATTATATTTCTTGCAAAATCTGAGACCAAGCATTTCACACTGCAGGACAAGTACCGGTAACAATAACAGAATAAACAGTCAGCACCACGGTCTCCAGCAGAGGATGGCGGTGTTTGAAACCCTCCCAGCGGGGCAGAGGAGCTGAAACCAGGTCCAGAGCCGGCCCGCAGCAGCGAAGTATACATAATTTGGTACATAAGTCACTTTGGTATATGTCGCAGGACCAGCCAGACTATGAAAAAAGTGCGATTTATAGTCCGGAAAATATGGTAAACAGCTTCTAACACAGAGTTAGAGGGTTTGCTAAGCTGGAAGTTTTAAATTGTATAATCTGATTAAAAATGCATCACAATTAGGGCCCGACCGATATGCTTTTTTTGGGACAGATACCGATATAAAACTTTTAACAAAGGCCGATAAATCTCCCTCACACACACACAAAAAAAAAGAAATAAAAATTTTCCTAAGCTTAAACCCTTCATTCTCCGCCTTTTTGATGCAAACTTATTTCTCTATTACACACCAAAGAACTGTCTCAATAACTCACTAGGGTTCCCAAGAAATGCAAATAAGATTTATTTAGCAGATCTAAAAACAACAGAACACACAAACTCAGTCGCAGCATAAATCTAACATTCAAGTTTTTTCTTGTAAGCTGGTTTCCACAAAGACATTTTAACGTAAAGGAATATTCCACCACTCAGTAAAACTGTCTGGTTAAGATTCCCCTGTTAGACAAGTCAGAAAAAGCATTTTATAACCAGGTCAATGTGATCTGGCAGCAGTTGGTTGTCTTAGTTTAGCATAAAACAATGTAAGTTAATTCACATACATTGTAGTGTTTTTTATGTAGGTGAATGCAAGCCTTCCCTTCCATTGCTTTATGCTAAAACAACTGGTTACAACATGTTTTTTCTGACTTGGCTAACTCTGGGGAATCTAACAACACACACACGTTTAGGGACAGAAGATCCCTATAAGAATATTAAAATAATAAAAATGCAGCAATAAATAAAATGTAATACTTGTGCTTTGTAACAAAGTAACACTCCGTGGAAGTTAACTTGGTGAACTTATTCACCCTGGACAGGAAATAATTGCACATAAGAAACAAAAATAAGAATTAAAAAAAAAAAAAAAAAGTTCCAAAACAATAATTTGTGTCCAAAGGAGTGGAGCCACACAACACGAGTTCATAAAGCTGGCGCCATCTGCTGGATAGGTAGCGCAATATCGGCCATCTTTTTAGCCGATACCCGATGCGGTTAATGACCCCAATATCGGCCGATATATCGGTCAGTTCCTAATCACAATCACACATTTTGTGCAGAAAAAATAAACTGACATAACTTTGCATGCTGTTATTTGTGATTATTTTACAATAAAACAATATTTAAAAACCAGCAGCGAAAGTAGAAGTTTATTGTTTTTAAAAACTAATTTATAAACTAAAAAGTTATCAATCCAAGATCTGCAGACATGACCATGTAGAAACTTCTCTGCAGCAGAGGGGGGGTCACTTACGTATTTCCAGCCAAGTGTGGTGTGACAGTTTTCACAGTAGATGTCGGCCACTGCATGGAGTCCTGTGAGCAGGAGCCTCTCCTCTGCAGGACCACAGCCAATATTCACCCTGAAAATGACCAAAGAGCAGCGGATCTCTGGTTACAGAAAATGGCTCCCGCGTTGTAACTTCACGAAACAGCAAAGTTCTAAATTAAAACAAGCCGATATTAAACGAAGAGCAACTGTTGCGCAACTGGCTCGCTCATGTGCCCGTTTCATCCCTGACCCGCTAACCGAGGAGGACCGTGACTAAAGTGACCTGACCCAACTTCAAGATTCCATTTAGAGAAAATCTAATGACTGCTGGCATTATTATGGGTTGCGTAAACATGTCTGATACTAGGAATCGGTCTTCAGAAAAATCAAGACCATTGTGGAAACATGCTGTTGGAACAAAGGTCACAGGTGTTCCAACCTACACAAAGGAAGTGAGCGTAATACCTGTATGAACATAATATGTGCAAATACATAAACACTCACACAGAGTTAAAGAGGTAAGCTCGTCCTTGACTGCCTTGGAAAGACTAGGAGACAAAACAAACGTGAAATCAGGAGGGGAAAAATGCAAACATCGGATGTGTGTCACAACAAAATACTGATTTAAACTAAAAAACAATTTGATTTATGCTTGATTAACAAAACGATCAAGATCCTAATCTGCATAATTACCTTGGAGATAAGATCATCGTGGTTTGCCAGATGGGCGCGGCAGTGCACACAACTGTAACGGCGGTGGCAGGAGTCCAGGTAAGCCTGGAAAGTCTTGGCCTTTGTGAGCTTCACCATGTCTGAGGGGGAATGGGGCACAAAGAGCATTTGCTGTGACTGTTTATGGTCATCAGAAATGATTAGGTTAAATAAAATCCAGATCAGACCGGGGGAATGTAAACAGCTCGTCACGAGGAAGCCGAGATATCAGGCACAAACAGGTTTTAAAGTATCTTTGACGTGCAAACGCAAGGATTCATCGTCGGATCCAAGTTTTACAGATGAAGCCGACTGATTAGATAATGTTCATGAAAAGATTCAAGATTTCACAACCAGTGAATACAGCTTCTGTAAAAGTAACAGTTCAGACTCAGAGCACTCCTGCATTAATGTTATAAACAATATCTGACCTGTTTTAGCACCTTAAGCCTGCCACACGTGAGAGCAATCTGCTGAGCAAATGACCTCAAATGGCCGTTTGCTCAGCAGATAATTCGCTGTGTGCCTGATTTTTACTGAGTTTTCTGCCTCACGAGACGCTGAGGTGAATATCTGACCAGTTAGATGTTTTCCGCACCATGGGGGTAAAAACTCGCCGTGTGTGCACTACTGAGCTGCTGGTTGAGCGGAAATATTCTAGTGGCCAATCAAATAGTGTTATCCGCTCACATGACCCCCAAGATGGCAGCCGCCTGTCTGCATGTCAGAAAATAAACAAAACGGAGGAAATGCCTATATTTTTTTTGTTGATGAAGCGTAGCCGCCACCGGCATTTCAAGGTTAGGAAGGTATGTGTACGGTGGCTGGAAAGAAGGGCCAGGCAAGGAGTTTATGCCAATCTACTCCAATAGATGCGCCTGGAAGACCCAGAATCCTTCCGACAGTACCGCCGCCTCGATCCTTCCAGAGGGTAATGGAAACAGTGGGCCCATCGATCCGCAAGGTCCGGTTTTGTTTATTTTTCAGACAGGGCAGGGGGCTGCATCTGAATACATCTTGGGGTCACATGAGCGGAGAACGCGCTTTGATTGGCCACTAGAATATTTCAGCTCAGCCAGCAGCTCAGTAGTGCGCACACGGCGAGTTCTTGCCCCCATGAGGCAGAAAATATCTAACTGTTCAGATATTCACTTCAGCGTCTCGTGAGGTGGAAAACTCCGTGAAAATCAGGCGCACACGGCGAGGTATCTGCTGAGCAATCGGTCTTTTGAGGCCGTTTGCTCAGCAGATTGCTCTCGTGTGCGGCAGGCTTTAAATAAACTCAATTTAGCACACCAGAGCCCAGTGGGACCAGTTAAAACGTGTTTGTTACCTTAAAACAGCTTTAACCTCAAAGCAATTCATGCAAATTTTGATTTTAGAAACTTTTACACCATAAAGATCACATTGTGTTTTTTATAAACACAAAATTCAGAGACTTTGCAATGGAAATCAGAACCAGTCTGCTTCTGTTGAAATTATTTGTTATTTCTACTGGAAAAACCATTAAATATAGAGTTTATTAAATAGAATTTGTACAAACTGATATAAATATATCTGCTGACTGTTTCAGAACTAGTCTGCTTTTTCTCAAACTGAGGTTGTTCAAAGTGTCCCCTCCAGCAGGTAGGATTACCACTTCTGCAGTCTAAAGATCCAATATGCCAACTCTATAGGCAAAAACAACATTTACACATGTTCTCTTATTTAACTTTTACAGGTGGATGACTGAGGTTTATTTTAAGTCAAGGAAATAAACTATATAATCATTTGACCAGAAACAGCACATAACACTGCCCTGTGCCAAATCCCTCTAGCCAGAGGATAATTTCCAAATCCAATTCCTAATTAGGATTAGTAAAATTTAGAATTGCTCAAACAAACGACTAACACTTCTAAGAAAGCTGTAAAACGATAAAGACAGACAAGAGATTATGAATACAAAAACAGGATACAATTGTGTTGACCAGGTAAAAACACAGTTCATCTACCACCTTCCTGTTTTCTACAGCGAAGACGATATGAAAAGTAAGCGTGCAGTGTTGTTGGTGCCCGATGAGCGCCTGTATGTTGTTATTTACGGACAAAGGACCCTCTGAACAGGCTGATACTTATGCTAATTAATAAACACATCGCTAGGACCTAGCTTGTTGGTAGCTTTCCCGCTATAGTTAGCTTCTCATCGATATTTTCTGGTATTCTCACACACCTGATAAAAATGCAGCTTTTCAGAGTAATGAAGCGTGTCAACGAGGGCGACAACTCGAAAAAGGTGATGAAAAACGACGGTAGGCCGTTCAGCTCGACTCGGTGCAGCAGCCCACCACGCGCTGACGACCCAGACAAAAAGTAAAAAAAAAACGGCCGTAGAGCCTTAGTTGCTGTCACGCTACAGCTAGTTCCTCTGAGTCCAAAGCGAACCAGACAATACTGGCAAAGGGTCCAAAAACAGAGCAGAGCCGTCCCTGGCGGGAGAAAAATGTGGTTTGTTTATGAAAACACGCAGATGGAGGAAGTGTGAAGAGTGCAAAACAAATCCCCGTCAACCAATCAGAGCACGCGTTTGGAATATGGGTCAACCAATCAGGTTGGACTTCACATGAGTCTTTCATGGCTGTCGTTTAGCACGCTTTTGGCCCAGTTTCAGGAATGGCGTGAAAGGGTTTTCTTTTCCCGCTCGCGGGTTTGGGATAAACGGTGACCAAAATGAGCAAGAAAAAAACTTTAGTGAACATCAAAAAGGGTAGTAAAAATAGTCAAGCTGTTGTGATTTATTGCTTAGTTTGCATTAGTTTTCTCCACTCCCTAGTTCCATACAGTCTCACCTAACAAATTTTAATTGCCTCAAAAATTTCACTGTTACGATTGCAATAAAATTTCAACATTAAAATCTGGTCCATCCTTTGCAGAATATTTTTACATGGTTTCCCAGCATTAACATGTAAACATTTAAGGTCAAAGGTCAGACTTTCTCCTTCCAGATGTTCTGGTAGAGAGCAGAATTCATGGTTGCATCATTTACAGCAAGATGTTCAAAGCAGCCCCCGACCATCACACCACCACCACCATGTTTGGCTGTTGCTATGCCTTTTTTTCTTCTGAAACACTGATACATTTTACACCAAGTGTAATGGAAACACACTGTTTAACTTTTGTATTGTCAATCCAAAGTCGTGACGATCATTCAATATGATTTTTTTTTGTTTGTTTGTTAAAGGAGCAATTTCCCCCCCATCTCCTGCTTAAAGTTGAATCATGACGTCTGATCCTCACAGAATATTTGTAAATTAAAGGTCTGACATTGAAACGTGTTTAAAGGTGTGGGAAATTTGTTCATTCAATACACGGGCAGTGGTCTCTGGTAGGAATAAATGCCTTGCAAGCCATATTTGGGGCAAAAAGCCCAGAAACGCCTGCTTTAGCCCAGACAACTCTGCCACATCAAAAGATTTGGAGTCTTATTTTCTGTTATTTGGATATCTTGCCTCGGACTGGATAACAGCAACACAACTATACCACTAACGCCTGCAACAAACCAGACGCGAAAGCGCGACAATGCGCCACAAAGCGCCATGGAACAATGAGAGCTTCCATTCGGCGCCCTTGTTAACCTACGCTCTCAGTCACATCAGCTGTGAAGCGCCGCGACGGCTTGCGCCGTGCAGCGATCGTTTCGGTGTGAGCTCTAATTCTTGTCGTGAGCTGTGAGTGAGCTGCGTCTATTCTGGCAGGAAAGTCAAACCAAAACAGAAGAGGCAGGCTGGTAAATGTAACAAATGTTTCAAAATAAAACAACGCGATTGATAACTGTGATCATTTTTGTGTATCTAAACAGACTAGAGAGAAGAAAATGAACAAAGACACAAACACACGAACACACACACACACACACACACACACACACACACACACACACACACACACACACACACACACACACACACACACACACACACACACACACAGAGGTTTGGAAAACAGTAGGCGTGAGCAGCAGCACTCGTTGAAAATTCTCGCCAGATGTGAACAGAGGAGGAGCGGGCAGTGTGGGAATTTCGTGAGCGATCCACTTCGCAGCTCTTCGCAGCCGGTGTGTTCCGGGCGTAACTCCGTTTGCGCTGTTGCAACATGGATGTTTTATCTCCACAAATAACTCAAACCCGCAGGAGTTTATGCTGTGTATTTGAGTAGCTAATGCTAATGGTTAGCTTCTGCTAGCTGAAATAATTCTGCTGTTGTTTTTGGACGCTAAAACAACAACAGACTTCACTGTTGCGAGCCAGTACGGGTGAGTCCAAGAGACCGCTTGACGTAGATCTGTCAGGCTTTTCAAATCCTAACGTATCACCTTCTGTTTTCTATCAGAAGCGAATGCAGGAAATAGGTGTTCAGCCTGCACGAAAAACTCACACTGACCGAATATTTTCAGAAAAATACATTTAAAAAATGGTTTTCAGTGAACCACAACTTTAATGACCTGAAATATTTCAAATTCACTAAAAACAAACAAATAAATGAATGGAAGTAACTTGTAAGGGGGCAAATACTTTTCCTAAGAACTGTAATAGATTAAATGAGCATTTGATTCCGGAAACACTTGTGTAATTTTAATAAGAAAGAGCATTAACATCTTAGAAATAATGTAAATAACATCCTTTCAAAACAAACTCTCTTACTAAAGCCTCTGCTTTTGGCGCCATCCCTTTTTACTGTCACACCGCACAAACGCAACCAGGTCAGAAAAATACCTCCTTGGTTTCTCCAACAGATTACTATCACAGCAGAGAGGCTGGACTTTGACCGTAGCTGCCTTGGATAATAGGGGGACAGGTGAGGTTCTCTGTATATAACAACCCTCATCCTTTGGGTTAAGTGCCTACGTTAAAGAAAAATTATACAAACATTTGTGCTACTTGAATTTACTGTGCTGAGCCAAGAATGTCAGAAAATAACACCAGAACCCGTCAAAACAAAGTCATGTTTATTTAATCTCTTATCACTGATTGTCAAGTGACCCGATTCAGCTGGTTAAATATTAACTCCTTCAGCTGCAGACAATAATCATTCATGGTTCCTTTAAATACTGACCTGATTGAAGCCATTCGTGATCAAACTGTAGATTTCACTGTCAATAAGTCGTTAGGACAACAGTGATCAAGCACACCTCATGATTAAGGAGCGTGTTCTCTCTGATGCAGCCTTTAACTAATCTATTTGGAGGCTGAAGACACTCTTTGTCTGATAATCCCTTCATGCAGTCTTTGGTGTTTGACGCTTTTCTCATAACAACTCTGCCTTTTTCTGAGCCGATAATGATTCAGAGATCAGTCCTGACTTCTGTTTTTGCAGAGGTAAGTTGAAAGAAGAGTTGGGTAATCAGTCATCACTCCTGTGGCTCCCAGTTTCAACGCTGCTTTAATGTCTTCATTTTCATTGCAGACAAATAAATGCACCTATAATTGCACAGAAAAACACACACATATAGATTATACAATCGTTCGTTTTACTTATTATTTGTAATTCATCTTTATTTTATACTAGGCACCGTATCTTATACTAAGCTTTGTAGTGCATCCTTTTTTACATAATGTCTTAAAATGAGATGGATTTTATTGGCGATGGGACACACACATCTTAAAATTTCAGGTTGATGAGCTATTTCGAGCAGTTTGAAAAACCTTACAAAATGATCGTTTCAGATAGTGTGAATGTTATGCTGCAAAGGTTCCCACCATCGTTTATTGTTCACTTTGAACAATTAAACTGGTAGAAATATTCTGATACTCCAGATTAGGTGCCCCATGCTGCTCTGGAGACAACTACTGCTGTTTATGCCGCACATTATTGTAAAGATCAGGTCAAACTAAGGCTGCACAAACCCTGCGATATTCGATAACAGTGATTAATATTGCGATGACGATATTACTTGCGATAAATCAAAACTTAACTCAGGAATAAAAAATCAAAAACAAAGAAATAAAAAAAATCATAAAACTGTGAAAAGCAAAAGATGAGAGGAAAGGGGAAAAGAAAATGAACAAGAAAAGGAAATCAGTGGTTCCTGGAAAAAGAAGAATCAGCAAAAAGAGCAGAACAAAGCTAACTCAGGTGTTTGCTAACCATCAAAATTAAGTGCCGTCCACCTCGGGGGCGGGCATCTGACCTATGAGAACCCACCCAGTTGGCCAAATGGGTGAAGAGCTCCATTTGATTTGTTAAAAAAAACATCATGCTTCTGTTTGATTAACAAAATGCATTATGTTCAGCAAACATTTGAGCTGACCATTCATTGCTATATTTATCTGTTCTTTGCGATATGCATATTGCGCAAGCTGATAACGATAAATTTACGATATATTGTGCAGCCCTAGGTCAAACGCTAATGCCAGTTATCATTAAAGTGACAGTATGTATGTTCCCTGACGATAGGGGGCAGTAGATACCTAAATCATTGCAATTAAGCAGTATTTTTGTGTTGGAGTAGGACCTTACCAATGGATGCCCATTAGGGTCAAAAAGCCCTGGGGAGTGCAAACTTCAGCAAACTAAAAAGCACACCAGACTCCCTTTCATCAATGGCAACAAGTGAAGAGGTAAATATGTAAGACAACAATATTTAAGAATGACTAAAGTTTTGTAACCGTTTGGTACAAATCAGTAAATGTATTTTGTCCTCATGGGCTCCCGTAGAAAGAAACATGGCATCTAATATGGTGTCGCTGAGAGATTTAGACCTGCTCCCATGTATTTTAGACCTGATTTTTATGATTGTATGTTACAAAACTGCCAATATTTTTCAAGAACTTCAACAACATTTTGATGGATATTTCCAGAAATTAAAGGGACTTTACGGAGTTTTGAATTTTTATGCTCGCGATTGCCCCCTCAGGCCAAAAGCGTAACGGCAGCTTCAATAGTAGGCTCGTGCACAAGGTGCGCATGCTGCACGTGCACACTCCTTAACAAAAATAACAGCTGAGACAGTCCTGTGTGTGTGTGTGGCCCGGAGGACAGAGGACAGGAGAATGCGCAGCTAATTAAATAATTTGGTTCTGTACCTTTCTCTTTAGCACAGCCGACAAAGGTTTATGATGGATCAGTCCTCCTGCATGCTCAGATAATTCCCTTCCCTTGCTTGAAAATTTGTTCCAAAATGAAAGTTGAACCCACATCTTTTTTATCTGTGCCGTTCGGCGAGTCTCAAATAAAAATTTGGGCATCTTACTGTAAAAAAAAATACCATTAATGTAAAAAAGAAACTGTAAATAAACTATGTTCACATCCAGAATCGATCCAGAGTCTTCTGCACGAGAGTCCGGTGTCATACTAGGTGAGCTTAAAACCAATGATGTCTTTTGTATCTGTAACATTTATATCCTTGATGAGACAGCTGCAACAACGTTCAAAGAACGGTTCGGATTGAAAATGGCTATTTTGTTGCTAATTTGCAGGAAATATCTAGAAGAAAGTAGCTAAGGGTCCTCAGAAATGTAGCTAGGTTCATCACTAGGCGTTAGGAACAGCGACAAAGTCGCTGAGTTGGCACTACCTCACTCTCTGCTGCTAAAGCTACTGATAGCAAATGCTACGGGCTATGCCTGAGCGTGAACGCCCATGAAGCAGCCTGCTCAACCCGAGCAGTTCTCTTTTTCTGTGATTTTACAGAAAAACAGGCAATCACAGTAAAAATGCCAGGGCTCATTCTACAGGACCAGGACATTGCAGGAGAATGTATGAAGAAGATATTTATTATTTCTATACATGTTTTGGCTGTCAAACTTCCATAATGCCCCTTTAATGGTAAAAACTACACATTGTTTCTTTAAAGTGAAGGCATCACTGAATTTAACGTTAAAATAATTCTTTAATGAACTCAACAGTCATACCTGTATTCCGCGGGCTGCAAGATGTTTAAAAAGACTTTTCCTCATAGTTACTCTGAAAAAGGAAAATACACGCATTGAATAAGATAAAAGGGCAATGTTTTGCAGAATAATCTGGAACTTGATTAATTTCAACATGCGTGTATTTTTAAATGTTCACTTTTGACATTAAATGTATAATAATTATGCAATTATGACCTTGGGTTTAGTAAATGACATAGCTGAATAAAGAAACTAAGCAGATTTACTTTTCTATCAAAGACACAACCAGACGGTTCCGCAGGAGGCCCTCACTGGGAATGTACGTCCTTTAGTGAGCAGACATGAAAAGAGACAGAATCATGGAATTAGCTATTTGTGGCCTGCAATGAATACAGCTATATGGCAACACAAAGAAAAAAACATAAACGGTCAAATTCAGAAGGGAGCCTTTAAACCAGGAGTCTACAACCTGCAGCTCATGGAGTCACAAGCCCCTTTGGACGGTCCACAATAATTAATGATATTCTAGAGTCCAATAACCCCCCCAGGTCACTTTACAACTCAATCATTCACCCATGCACACACACACACACACACACACACACACACACACACACACACACACACACACACACACACACACACACACACACACACACACACACACACACACACACACACACACACACACACACACACACACACACACACACACACACACACACACACTCTGACTTCTGAAACATTGGCTAAAATTATAAAAAGCTAATTCGTGTTTTCAAATATCAATCTGATAAAAAAATTCAGGTTTAAGCAGGTTTTTGTTTTTTCTTTTCAAAGTATCAGTAAAAAAACATGTTTTTTAACATTGTTTTTCTCAAATATCAACATTCCATTGAAAAAATTACATACAATTTCAAAAGTTTATTTAATTAAATTAAAAACTAAATTTAAAAAATCATTTTTTATGACAACAAACCTCAAAGTAAACATTTATGGAAGAAGAAGAAGAAAAAATCTACTATAATCTCTGAAACCTGTTTTTGGGTCAGAATTCTCACATTTTTCTTCACTTTTTTTCAATGGTCCTAATCCTCTTCTATAGTCATTTATCAGAAATAACAAATAGCTTTTTTTTGGTTTTCAAACGGACCCCTGGTGTAAGAGATTTCCCCCGGAACCACCTGTTGATGATCGGTATCAAGTAAAACTGCAGCACATTCTCTCCCAGCGGCACAAAAGGCAGCAGGCCAGAGTAGAAAAGAAGAAGAAGAGAAATGCCTCTATTCATGGAGAAACTGTAGGGCATGGAGCTGTTCTGCAGGGAAAAGACAAAATCAGAGATGTGCCAGGAACCAAAAAAAGACCTTTGTAAGAATATGTGGCTCGTGGGTGACAACAGGAAGTAATAAAACCATGATTTTAATCTCTAAACACATGGTATTTAAGGAGAAAGCTGTGCTGCAATGACTGATTACTGCCTATGTGTATTTACCTTGTAATCTTGCTTTATTTTTCTTCATTTTATCTAACAGTGTGTGCTGCTGTAAAGAGTGAATTTCCCCACTGTGGGATTAATAAATTCTATTCTATTCTATTCTATTCTATTCTATTCTATTCTATTCTACTCTATTCTATTCTATTCTATTCTATTCTATTCTATTCTATACTGTAGGCCAGCATGTATTTTTATGATGCATGATTTGGACTGTAGCTCCCTCTGCTGGTTGACGTACGATTTTGTAGCATTTCTCCAGGATGAGTGACTTCTCAGAGGCCCACAGAGTGATGGCCTCCCTGTTGTAGCGTTTTACCAAGTCTGACACCTGCAAACATAAACAAAAACAAGGTTGCCCCTTGCTTTCTGACTTTTTTCTTCCATAGCTCGCAAAGAAGATTAATAACAGTTATTTTGTTAGACCTTAAGCATGTACTGTACCTTCTGTATCAGCTGCAGGTTGTTTTCTTTGATCTCAATGCTCACGGGTGTATCAGGAAATGTCTTGAACACATCCTCGAGTTGGGCGATCTTCCTGTCTGAACCACTGCTGAAACGACCTGTGGGATCAAGAAAAAGTCAGGTGACATCTCACACACACACACACACACACACACACACACCGAGCTGGGGAAGGACTCTCTCTCTCTCTCTCTCTCTCTCTCTCTCTCTCTCTCTCTCTCTCTCTCTCTCTCTCTCTCTCTCTCTCTCTCTCTCTCTCTCTCTCTCTCTCTCTCTCTCAAAAGTCTAACATGTAGCTTTTCATTCAATCGCATAACTTTTGTTCAAAACAGAATAAAAATGTTGATTTGATTGTGAAACTCTATCTTTTTGCATTTTAAATCATCACTTTGGATTTGAATGGAACTAAATATCAATTTAAACCAGTCAACACAAAGTTTTTGATTTTACTCAAAACATACTTCTGTTCATGTTCAGCAGACACATTTTTTACCTTGGCTAAATGGGATTTGCACGTGAACACCTGCAGGGAATGCAGTGGGTGAGGTGCATTGTGGGTATTCATGTTCTTAGTAATTTTGTTCCATTTTGGGATGTTTATACATGTTTTGTTTTGGGGGGATTGTGTTCTTAGTTATAACTTCATTCACTGTTGCAAATGTGGCGTTACTTGACATGACATGTTGGCACCGTAAGTGAGGAATGAGACTGGTATGGTGTTCATTATAAAATAGTGGTTCACATCTAAACCTATGGAATCAGCTCCTTCTGATTCACTCTCACTTGTTGTTTGCATGTGTATGAGACATGTGAAAGTATAGTTTGATGATATGTAAATAAATTAACTGGTGACAGCACAACCATATTAAGTCATGTTAATTTGGTTTAATGAAAATGCATTAGGGTGGTTCAATTATAAAATATTAGCTTGGTTCAATAACTGAAATTCGGAATGAGAAGAAGTTTATTTGGATCAAGTCAAAGAATTAAGGTTTGTTCAAGTGAAGTAACATGGTTTACATCAATTTAAAAAAATCAGGTCTTTCCCTTTCCGTACATTTTTAATCACAAGTTTTTTTTCATATTAACCATATTTGTAACTCCATCCATCCATCCATCCATCCATCCATCCATCCACCTATCCGGAGTCGGGTCGCGGGGGCAGTAGCCTAAGGCGAGAGGCCCAGACTTCCCTCTCCCCAGCCACTTGGGCCAGCTCCTCTGGGGGAATCCCAAGGTGTTCCCTGGCCAGGTGAGAGACATAGTCCCTCCACCGTGTCCTGGGTCTACCTTTAGGTCTCCTCCTGGTTGGACGTGCCCGGAAAACCTCACCAGGGAGGCGTCCAGGAGGCATCCTGACCAGATGCCCGAGCCACCTCAACTGGCTCCTCTCGATGTGGAGGAGCAGCGGGTCTACTCCGAGCCGCTCCCAGATGACCGAGTGTTAAGTAAAAATTGATATTATAGCTTAATTTCTTGACTGATAAAACATCTGGTGCGCCTTAAGAATGAATAAACGCAGGGTTCATCCTGCAGCCTCCACAGGGAGGACGTGACCTTCGAGCTGTTCCTCCAGTCAGATCAAGCTGTTTTGTCAGTAAGAAGAAGAAGAAGAAAATATCATTTCTATAGCGCCTCTCAAGATAAAAATCACGAGGCGCTTCACAAAAACAAAAAAAAAATGTAAAAATATAAAAAAGCATTTAGAAAATGTTTAAAAATACATTTAAAATGAGCAAAAATAGGCAATTGGGATTTAAAAGAAAAAATGTAAAGAAAGAGAGAGAGTGAATAGGAAAGAGGGAAATCAGTGGATCCTGAGGAAGGTGGAATAGGTGGGGAGAGCAGAATAAAGAGAGAGGGGTGAAGAAGGTCATACAAAAGCCAGCTTGAACAAGTGAGTCTTCAGCTGCTTTTTAAAGGAGTCCACTGAGTCCACTGATCTCAGGCTCAGGGGGAGAGAGTTCCAGAGTCTGGGGGCCACAGCAGCAAATGATCTGTCACCTTTGGTCTTTAGCCTGGTGCTGCACAACCAGTAGGCTTTGATCACTGGACCTCAGGGACCTGCTGGGGGTGTAGGTACTAAGAAGTAAAACTCCCATGAGAAAGGTCTAGAAACTGCTTTGTTGATTCAGTGTGCACCTGGAGCCGAGCAGCTTCCCGCCTGATGGCCTACGTAATAATGTGATATGTGTGTGTTTTTTTCAACTTAGTGTGTGCTTCAATAAATACTGTCGGAGGACGTTTGTCTGACGAGAGCGAACTGAAATTCATGCTTGGTGTGTATTGATTTTCCTCTCCACTTTGCAAAGTCTAAATTGATTGTTTATAATTGGTATTGGTGTTGATTGGTTATTACTATAACCCCCTGTGCATTAAACTTTCCCTAAGGCAACCCTGGATTGATAAAAATGACCTAACACCGAGCTTCTCACCCTATCTCTAAGGGAGAGCCCAGCCACTCTTCGGAGAAAACTCATTTCAGCCGCTTGTATCCGCGATCTTGTTCTTTCGGTCACTACCCAAAGCTCATGACCATAGGTGAGGGTAGGAACGTAGATCGACCGGTAAATAGAGAGCTTCACCTTCTGACTCAGCTCTCTCTTCACCACGACAGACCGGTACAACGCCCGCATCACTGCAGATGCAGCACCAATCCGCCTATCGATCTCACGCTCCAGTATTCCCTCACTCGTGAACAAGACACCGAGATACCTAAACTCCTCCCCTTGGGGCAGGACCTCATCCCTGACCCGGAGAAGGCATTCTACCTTTTCCGAATCAAGACTGATATTTGTAGCTCATAAAAAAAAAACTTTTTTATACTTAGAATTTTTTGTTCTTGTGAAGCGCCTTGTGATTCTTATCTTGAGATGCGCTATATAAAAGATCCTCTTTCTTTCTTTCTTTCTTTCTTTCTTTCTTTCTTTCTTTCTTTCTTTCTTTCTTTCTTTCTAAGTGAATAAATTTAGTTTCTGTGAAGTCAAATTTTTTGGATGTAAAAATTGGACATCAATTTTTTAAATTTAAGTGAAGTTATTTTTTTTACAGTACACACACACACACACACACACACACACACACACACACACACACACACACACACACACACACACACACACACACACACACACACACGCTTCTGTCTTTCTATCATAGTGAGGAGCATCCATTGATTTCCATTCATTTTTGTGACTATATTATGCCTAAGCCATACCCTAACCATAATTATTTAAACTAAAATATATTAAAATAGACAAAAATAGAAAAGTTTCTTCAACTGGCTTGCCAATGTTGCCTAAATGCTTAGCAGAAAATAATTAACAACACAAAAAGATTTTTAAAAATGTAAAAAAATGTAAATAATCCATGATCTCATATCATTTTTGACAACTGGAAATCAGTAATTATCTGTCAAGTTCTCTTTTTACTTGTGCAAATCCTCTACTTGAAAAAGGGATGGATACAATCGCGCAGCTCTCTGATGCCTGTTGTGTCTCTCTGGTAGTCACACACAAGAAGTGTGTCTACATAAGACCAAGTTAAAGGAGTATTGGAGAAGGGTGTCGCTTCAGACCTGGAGACCGCAGATCAACCGCATATTCAGGCCAAATGCTGATTCAGGCTAATATTGTTTTTGAGACAGTGCCGCCCACTGCTTCATAGCAATCCAAGATGGAGAACGATTGGAGAGTAAGTGTATGTGAAGCACATTTCTTTAATGGTGTCAAAGAATCCTTTCTACCTAACTTTCAAAACTAAATTAAATTACCAAGTTAAGTTTGACAACAAAATTAATGTTTTCTGTGTTTTGTTTAAAATTAGCTGATGCTTCTTTAGAGGGAGCTGTCTCAAATACAAGAGAAGCTAGATTCGGCAGTCTCCAGGTCTGCAGTCATACACTCTTGAGTTAAAGGAGGAATAATCCAACAGTTTTAAACTCCAGCCTCCATCTCTGTACTTAATTAATGTTTTACCTTATAAAGACAGTGAGATATTTGCAGCTGCATAAGAGGGTAAGGTCCGTGTTAACACACGTTAGTGAATGGGTTGACTGTCCTACTTCACTATTACATTTGTTCTGTGTTTATTTGAGTAAACATGAAATCAGTGATTTTGTATTATATTTCATAAACACGTAAATTATATCTAAAATGTAATCTATGTAATCTAAAATGTAATAGTTTTTTTTAGCTACACCTGTTTCCAGTTTAAGTTGTAAGCCTTTAAGCCTAAACTTATTTTTACTTTCTTTACAAGCTTAAGCAGCTTTTAATTTAGTATTTAGTATCATCATTGGCTTTCCATATTGATTTGGGTGGCCATTGCCTACGTTTTTTTGCCCGCTTTGGCATCCAAATGCACGTTCAACATGAAGGTTTTGGTAGCCATTACACGCTTCATAACACGCGCTTCTTTGTTCGCACTGGCTTGCCACAACACACACATATAGGTGCACGAACAACCCTCAAAAGTCACTCATATGCACACACACATACACACACACACACACACACACATACACACACACATGTGCACGCACAAGCACAAACACCCACGTGTGCATGAGCACACACACAAACCCTCAAAACACCCTCAGAACACACACACACCCTCAAAATACACTCATATGCATGCATGTGCACACACACCACACACACACACACACACACACACACACACACACACACACACACACACACACACACACACACACACATAGAGAATAACCACCTCCTTTGTTAAACACATTTTTATCAATAATTGACAGAATGTAGGGGAAAGAACCAACCTGCATAAAATGCCACCTCCAGCTGCTCCTTATAAAGAGGCAGATCCTGACAGAGTTCACATAACAAAAGTTTAACTGGTGGTAATTACAGTATTAACGTCCACAGACACGGTGGTTATACATAGAGAAATATTCCAGATCTGCGTTAGCTCGTAAGCTCGAAAGCTTTTTCATGAAGTTTTTAGTTTTAATTCTGCACGAGTGTTTAAAAGCTTTGCTTTCAGTAGCTTACAGTTAAAGGAGATGCATTTGTTTGACAGGTTACACTGTGAACACAGTTTGATTAAAAAAAAGTCCTGCAAGGTCCTCTACCTCCAGTTTGAGCGAGGAGATGGTGACGTCACAGCCCGTCTGTCTCAGCAGATTCTCGTCATGAGAAACCACCACGTGCCCATCTTTGGTCAGGTGACAGTCCATCTCCAGCATGTCTGTGCCCATTTCCACAGCACTGGAGACAGCAAGATAAAAAAAACAGTGAATGTTAATACTAACTTTGTTTCTGCAAAACTGTAGAAACAATAAAAGCTCAAACTCTTTAGTTATGCTGCTATAGGCTTAGATTGCTGGAGGCCATTCTCACGACTTTCCACACTGCTACTTTCTTCTACCACTACTCTCCAATTTCTTCCTGGCACTCGCAGAGTACAGACACTTCTCTTTTTGCTCCCTTATCTTTTTTATCCCAAGGCTCTTTGTCCTGTCTGCCCACAGAGCGCTTCTCAGCATTTCTTCTGAAAAACCATATTTTTAACCATGGATTTGATACAGTGGTCATTCAACACGATTGATAAGATTTTTTCAACAATGAGAACGGAGCAGGGGGCTCCCACATGCCCACGGGGGACACACCTGGTGGGGTACATATATGCTGGATTCCTGGAGGGAATGGAAGATCATATGCCTCTCCCAGCTGTCCATTGAGGACGTCGAAGACATGTGGATATTCGGCCTGATGATCACTGGATTTCTCCTGATTGGAGTGGGAGGAAATCTAGTTTTCTGGAAATTTGGGAAGACGGGAGCGCTTAGAGGGCGACCCGCACCCACGGAAAGCACCGTCCGTGTGGAGACCGCACAGACTGGGATGCTACTCGAGGTGAATCGTAAGCTGGACAATGTCCTAGCTGCGATACCGGTATTAGTGCGCAAAATGGATGTCATCTCGGAGAGTCACCGGACGGTATGAACAAGTTTAAAAACCCAAAATTGGCTTCACTGAAGGACTGGAATGATCAGTTTAAAGACTGAAGGCAGAGAGGGAAATTATCTCAGCCCGACCCAAACAAAGTCTTGTTATCTGAATCTGACGCCCGAGCAGCCTTGAGAGGCTGGCAACAAACCCCCACGAAGTAATGTAGACAGATGCTGACCCCCCCCCCCCCCCCCCAGTTAGTTTCTCTGTAAAGAGGAAACATGAACACATTTATTAAAACTTCCACATAAAAGAAACTCACCTGCTGCTTTTTTCATCAATCATGACACCATGTTGCATAAATAGATCCTTCAGTCAGCTCTGACTTGAGGCAGTAACGTTTCACCAGTTTTATTTGTGCTTGTGGACGTTCCTTTTATTAACTGAAGAAACTCATGCCCTAACCTGTTGGATTTCATGTCAGAGTGCAGTACTCACTGTGTGAATGCCTCCATGGTGCTTTCTATCCGCTCTCCAGATCCTGAAAGCAAACAGCAAAGTCAGCTTAACAAATGGCTGCAGGCTAGAACAGATGAGACGGTGAAGGAAAACATGGCACCAACCAACAGACATATTAATTTTGTTGGGGGAAAAAATCTCAGAACAACTGATTAATGCAATTCAAGATGGCGGCTGTGGTTAATCGACATTGACAATCAGCTACAGTTTGGTGCAGCTCTGAGGCATTTTTACTCCATCCCATTCATTTGGTGCAAGTAAAAAAGAGAAACTATGTTTTGGATAATTGAAAGCAGGGTTCATCTGTTTGTTTGTTTTTACTCAAGACAAGATGTTGGATGAAACAGATCCACCTCCTCTCAGTGGGGCAAGACTTTCCAAAAACCATAAAGGATTTAAAATCCCCGGAGCATCCCAGTCAGATCTCCAAAACACCTCAGCTGACTCATTTCAAAGAGGAGGAGCGGCAGCTCTACTCTGAGCTCCCCTTCTCTCTAGGCCTGAGTTATGATGGAGTCACTATGATCAGGAATGCGACCAATAATTACTCCCCATTCTAGAAATAAACCATCTCCCTCCCACTCATCATACCTCCATGAGGATCTGCCAAAGCACTAAAAGATCTCCTGTCCCACCCGCCCCGTCTTACCTCCTCTGTGTGAAATGTGTTTTGCCCAGAAAGCTGTACGTTTCTTCTTGTGCAGAACTTGCGGGTTCCTCAGCAGGTACTGCGAGATGCAGGTGTACACTCCCAACACCGGGAGGAAAACGTAAAGAAAAGCACCCATGCTTCCCAGGAAGATCTCACAGAGGGTGGCTGAGGGAGGAAAAACTTAGATCCAGCAGAACAGGCGGGAAGTCACTCAGCTGTTGCTTTCTTGGAGCAACGACCACATCTGAGTGAGTCGGATGAAATTGCTCTGCATCAGCGCTGTCTGTTGCGTAATAAGAAACTGAACAAACCGGCAAAACAAAAGAAATGAGTCCAACCTTCCTTCACATATTTCAGGGTTGGACTCCTCCAGATTCTTCCAGGTAGAACGACATCTGAAGTCCGGTTCACTGTAAATTAAGAGTTAATGGAAAACCAGCTGATAACCTCACATCACTCCTCTCCTACTGTCAACAGGCAACAACACTTCTTCCTCTTTAACCCGCGGCTGCTCCGCTGGGAACAAAGGCCGCTGCGTGCGTGCGTGCGCTTTAATGACAGTTGTCACTTTTGCCTGAAGCGTTCCAGTTATGATCACAGATGTAAATCCTGGTGGAAACCTTCAGTTTTACTCTTCAGAATATGAGAAAACGTGTCATCTTTTCAGAAATGGAAAAATCACCATGCACAGAGAGAGAGAAAGGGCATGATCCTAAATCTGCACCTGAATGTCGCACCTACACCTACAACTGCATGATGCACATGAACTACAAAGTCAGCAGAGTGAAGTGTATTGTTTAGCTTCATTGCTAAATGTAACAATGGTGCAATCACCAGAGGGGACCAGAAAGGCTGCAGCAGAACAGAGAACACATCCATTTACCACAGCGTGATCAAGCTGTCCAGAACAGACTCAGGTGCACATTTCTGATTAGCTGAAGTCTGTGTTCAGATATGTATTTGAGTCTGAAAGAGGCGTTTAATTACAGGAATGTCAGAGAAAGGGCATCAGCTGTGCTCAGGCATGCTACAAACATGAGAACAGCAGGAAGAGCAGGTTGGGTCTGAACCCTCTGGAGGCAGGCGTTGCAGATTTGCAACAGTTAAAACCTACCTACCTGGTTACTCCACACACGTATTTCATGAGCATTTTTTAAACTCAGAAGTACCCCTGAAGGACTTAGTTGTTCGTCCTTTTATCACAACTTATTTTGGGCCTGAGAGGGTTGAAATGTGGTCTGCTTTCTCTCAGGTTTCCTTCTGATGGAGGTTTTACTTAGTGACTTCAAACATAGTGGACATTTTCAGACATCATAAATAATAAAAACACAATTTTTTTCAATAGCTTTTAGTCTTACGTTCTTTCTTAGGCAGAATTTAACCCATTCAAGCAGATGTGAACCAATTTTTTCAAGACGAGGTCCAAAATGGTCAAGTATAATGCTGTCAGGGGCTACAAAATGTGATTTAAATGAATAAATAAAAAACAGAAAGAACAAAAATGTTGATGTAAAACAATGGCGGGCAGGAAAGATAGATCTACCATTCTAGAAATGCTGTCAGGGACCACGCATAGTCACTCTAGAGCTGCTGCTGGCCCCTGGGCAGCTTTAAAGCCCAAAGCATGAAACACCAACCAGAAAATCTATTCATTAAGACTGAACTACTAACTCATGTAAAACCACTACTATAAATACTTTTTTATTATGTAACTTAAAGAGACAATGTGTAGTTTTCACCGTTAATCTCTGGATATAACCATCAAATATTGGTGGCTTTGTAACATATAACCATAAAAATCTGGTCTAAAATACATGGGAGATGTAACCCAGAAGCTAGAACCTTAATGAGGTATTAACTAATTGGCTTACTAATATGATCCATCCTCAATTTAGATAAAATATAAAATATAAATTAAGGAAATTAACAATACTAATTAATAGATATCTAATTAACTAATAGATAATTTCATAATGAATTATTGGAAGGGTGAATAACTAAAATAACGAGTTTAATATTAAACATCGGTTAAAACAAGAATCTTGAACATCCCTAACAGAAACAGAAGAGGAAAGCTGTATACTATTGGTCCAGGTGGGAATCTGAAATTTCATTGGCTGAGAGAAATAAGTCCCGCCTCCGCGAAATAAAACCGTGCGACGCAGCTGAGCGAGAGGAGAGACAAACGGCTGTGCAGCACGCAGATACAGAAAGCAAAGACTGAGCGGTTAGAGAGAGAGAGAGAGAGAAAAAAAAAACAACGGTCGAGGCCGTGAAGAACCCTGATTTGGGTGCCGCATAGATAGAGGGAGAGGCGGACTTGACTCCTTCTAATAAGAGCTAGGAACTTGGAACCAACGCGGTGAGTAAAGAAAAAAGAAGAGAAAAAGCTAACGATGCAACTTAAAAAAAAAAAAGGAAACTTAAATAGCTTATCAAATTAATTCCATTCTTATAGATTTGTGTGGAGACGACAGAGTGAACCAATCCTCTGTAGGAGGGAACCGTTGGAGCGCGTTGGTGAGTGAATGAGATTAAATTCAGTAAATTATTAAATTCAAAAAGCTAATTACAGCAACCGAGGTGACAGCAGTGGGCTGCTAGACGTTAGATCCCAGGAGTTAACATCTCAAACTACCAGTTAACGGTGGTAGGGCATATAGGAGTTAACGGCTCAAACCGCCAGTTAACGGCGGTACGGCATATGGGATTCCCAGGAGTTAACGGCTCAAACCGCCAGTTAACGGTGGTACGGCCTAGAGGTACAAGGTCCTCAGGGGCGTTATAGCTAACGCCATAGAATTAGCAATGCGTCCCTTAACCAAACATTTAATAATAAAAAAAAATAGATAAATAAAAATAAATAAAAGCTAACTGATTAGGGAGGAATTATTTTACAAAGGTGGACCAAAGGACCAGAATTTATATTTTGTTTAATTTTGTTATAGAAAATTTTATTTATTTATTTATTTGTTTGTTTGTTTATTTATTTATTTATTTATTGTGTTACAGATATACAAGGTGTCACAATGCTGTATAGAAACACAACTAAATGTATCCTTGTTGTCATGAATGTATTTCTTGTCGAATAGTGTAGAGTAATAGAATCTAACTGAGCCTATTGAGCTGAACAATTGTTGTCATATGTAATTATATTTCCAGAGCTACTGAGAATTATTTTAATAGACAATCAAATTGATGTTATGTTAGTTGAACTGTGAACCCAAACATGATTGGCTATGCCAATAGAGTGAAGCATTTGTTTAAGTCTGTAAGACTTTATGCTGTGATGTGACGAGAAGGGTCGATGCCAACTTGCTAACAGTCCTGTTGTTTACAGGCTGGGTTTTTTTTTTCCTTGGGTTTGATCCCGACTCCTATGATCACTCACTTGGAACGAGAACTGGATTTCTTCCTGACGAGGGAGATGGCGAGCCTTAACCACTGAACGAACCAGGACATCTCAAGTAACTGAAGAGCAGACTGCTCTCTTCTGTGAACAATCTCAACGGTGTGGTAGGAAAAAATCGCACCACCGGACTCTGACTTTCACCCCAAGCGTGGGGATTTGACTTGACGCCGGCTGACTTGTGACTCATATGATCAAATCTCATACCGACCATTTTACTATTGTCGATTGTTTTCATCTGTTTTTGTGTGTTATCTTTATGTGTTATATTTCCCATTATTATTAAAATTTAGTATATAAACCGTTTCATGCTATACCCGTGACTCCAGTCATTCTTAAACAACCTCCAATTCTCCCCGAACCTAATTATTGGCCCATTTGTTTATTTTTTCTTTTAATTATCTTATTGTATCCTGTAATCCGGTTACATAAAACTTGGCGAGCCAGCCAGGAGAATTGTAGAGTTGTTACCTTAGCTAACCATTGACTGACATCATAAGAGTGCCTGGAGGTCACAGTGGTTTGCCATTTTGGCATTATTGGTACTTTTGAGTGCTTTAAAATGGAAGTTGTGAAAACAGAAAAGGTCAAAGTTTCAAATGCTGTTTTAATCAGTGGGTTAACTGATACAGACCTTGATAACGAAGTCTTTGGGTTTATGGAAGGATTCGGACCAGTTAACAGGCGCATTAAGTTACCAAACTGTGATCAGATTATTGTGGAGTTTCAACATGAAGCCACTGTTAAGGAATTAAAGAAACAATGTTTACCCTATGACAAACCTTGTACTAGGAACCCAGATGTTTTCTTCCATATTCAAGACCTAGCCAGCGCGTACAGTCTAGAAACTAGCACATCTGCCACTGATGCCTATCTGTCAGAGCTCAGGGACATAGCTGCGCGTAGCAATCAATCATTTAAAGACCTTCTAATGGAGGAACTGGCAAAAATTGGGGAATCTTTAGGAAGGGATACCCATGCATCTGAACCAGTCACTGAACCAGAGCCAATGCTCCATAGTGACCAAGTTACATATTCCCTGCCTTTAACACCAGAAGTTAACTATATGAACAACTCAAAGGACAATTGTCCACCTACAGAGACTGGAAAACAAAACCCTTGCATTCCACCAAATCTTTTAAACACACCTGAGGTTCAGCGAGTTATTGTGGAACACATTGTTAAAAGCAGTGAGGTTATCCCTCCGCCTACTTCACAATACAGACTAAAACCGTTCTCAGGGCGAGTTCCACACCCTTCTTTTGAAACTGACTATGATACTTGGCGTAGTAGTGTAGTGTTATGCATAAATGATCCTTCACTCACCAAGTCCCAAATTGTACGAAGAATCGTGGAGAGCCTGTCAGCCCCAGCAGCGAGCATCGTTAAAGCTCTTAGTCCAAAATCCGACCCGGAAACGTACCTTGAACATCTCGATTCAGCTTACGCAGCTGTCGAAGACGGCGACGAGCTCTTTGCTCGCTTCTTAAACACAAACCAGGACAGTGGTGAAAAACCTTCCGATTACTTTCAGAGGTTATACACCTTGTTAAACCTAGTTATTCAGAGGAATGGAATTTCCTCCAGTGACGCCGACCAGCAGCTGCTCAAGCAGTTTTGCAGAGGCTGTTGGGACAGCTCGCTGATTTCAAACCTGCAACTCGAACAAAAGAAAGACAACCCGCCTCATTTTACAGCACTTCTCCTCAAACTGCGCACTGAAGAAGACAAACAGGCTACTAAAGCAGCACGCATGAAACAACACTTAGGGGCACAACGAACTAGAGTGTATTCAAATGTGCAAACAACATGCTCTCAGAGTAAAAACACTTGTGAACTGGAAATAGATGATAACTGTGATGACTTACGCAAACAAATCGCTGAGCTCAGGAGCCAAATTGCACAGCTTAAGGTTAACAACACAGATAAAAAGGCAAAGAAAACTCAAAAAGAGTCAAAACCCCGTGTGGGGACTAAAATTCCAGATGAGCCCAAACAGATTCAGCAGATAACAGCAGTGGTGCCCAGACCAAAGCCTGGATACTGTTTTAAGTGCGGAGAAGATGGGCACATAGCTTCTAGCTGTAGCAACGAGCCAAATCCAGCACTAGTTGCAACTAAAAGACTTGCTCTTAGACAGAAGCAGCACGAGTGGGAGATGTCAAAGCCAATTGCTCAGTCTCCTCCTTTAAACCGGTAGAAGCTCCTATCGTGGGACAGATAGGTGCTAAAGTAGAACCAAGTCCCTCTAAGGAAAGGACAGAGAGACTTTTTTGCAAGCCAGTTCATGCTCATTCAGTGCCAAAACTTCCCAAAAGATTAGTGGGTGGGCGATGCACAGCTACAGTCTCAGTTAACAGTGTTGAATGTAATTGTTTACTGGATTCAGGGTCCCAGGTAACCACCATTGCCAATTCTTTTTACCAAGAACACTTACCTGACCTCTCAATTAAACCCATCAGTAATCTGTTAGAAGTCGAGGGCGCAAACGGTCAAGCAGTTCCTTATTTAGGATACATAGAGATAAGTGTCACATTTCCAAAAGAGCTCGATCAGTCTGGACTTGAGTTACCTACCCTTGCGTTAGTGGTTCCGGATATAAGCTCAAACTCTGATACACCACTACTCATTGGCACAAACACACTCGATCCTTTGTATGAGCAATTGTCTGCCAATAACTTACCTGATTCCAAGGCACTCTCTTATGGGTACCAACACGTGCTAAAAGCCTTAGCAGTCAGAAAAAAACAAAGCAAAGATGGACGAGTTGGTGTGGTGAAGCTTCGAGGGAGAACCCAAGAAGTTCTCCCTGCAAATAAAAAACTGTTACTAGAAGGGTTTATGCAACCCAGCCAAAACAAGCATGAGCCTTATGCACTCATTGAACAACCCACCAATGGTTCTCTACCAGGGGGTATAATTGTAGACTGTTGCCTCATTTCCTTACCTTCACATGGTCCATACAAAGTACCTGTTGTACTAAGAAACGAAACTAACCATGACATCACATTACCCACTAACTGTGTGATCGCTGAGTTAGTTAAAGCCGATCGTGTTATGCCATATCCAGAACCTGACAAAAGTGATCAGAAAGTACTTGCGGCGTGTAGTTCGCAGCAACAGACTTCACCTTCAAACCCTCCTCTCAGTTTTGACTTCGGTACTTCGCCCTTGTCCGAAGAATGGAAAGGGAGGATCACCAACAAACTTAACACTTACTCCGATGTGTTTTCGCACCACGATCTTGATTTTGGTCATACACAACAGATAAGACATC